CAAGCTGGCTTCAGAAAGGCAACATGCCCACAGCTGATAGCAGGGCCCACGGCTTGTGTTGCCCGGGACCAGTGCTCAGCTGGGGCCTGATGCATAGCAGCATCTCCTGGTCTGCTGAGTGGCCAGGGAATGAACAACTCTCTCATTAGCTACGGACTGTGCACTGCGTTCTATGCCAGGTGCTGTGCAGTTCCAGATATTGAAAAAAAAAGAAATAAGACCTGTGCCAGTGAGCCAGCACTACAGAGTATTGGGAGGGTTGGGGCTAACATGTGGGAGCCACGTTCTCCTCCAAGTTTTGCAGCACAGGCAAAAACAGTGTGATGTAAAGCTGGGCTTCCTGACCTGTGTTATCTGCCTGCCTGTCTCCTGATTTCTTCCACCACCGCTTCGTACTCTCTGAGGGTAGAGGCACAGCCTGGCATGGGAAAGCTTAGTGGGTCGCTCGATGGGGCTGATCACTGGACCCTCTGTTCTGCAGGCTGCCTTCACCCAGTGACTCCTATATAGACATTTACTGAGCGCCTACTAAGGGTCCACCATGAAGCTGTTGAGATCAACGTTTCTTTTAAGACAGACATGCCTCTGAGAGCAACATGTCCTCAGCTGCTTGGGCAGGGAGTAAACAAAGTCCTGAAAGTCCCCACCAGGCCAGGAATGCCTGTCCTGCCTTGTCCCTGGGACTTCACCTGGGTGAAGTCACCGATTCTTGCCCATTGTCCTTGTATTATCTTTATGTGATTGCAGAGGATTCTCTGTGACATGCGTGTCTGATGTCCCCCATGCAGCCACCCTCCACCCAGGTCTAGTCTCCTGGCCTTCTGCCCCACAGACACGCCCCTGTTTTGGCTGGCTGATGAGTGCCCCCTTCTGTTCACAGAGTGGTCAATGGTGCCTGGTCTTCTGGACCCAAATCCATCAGAACACTGTTTGTGCTGGGTGACTGGCTCTGTGCCAGGAATCCACTTGGCAGAAAGACTGGGTGTGAAGAGACAGGAAACAATGTCCCTTCCTAAGAATTCTTATCAGTGTCTGTCTCTGCTTTCCAGCTGACTGTCAGCTCCTGGATGATCATGAGCTTCGTTTCCCTCCCACCCTAGAAAATGCAGTCAGCTCTCAAGAATCACCAACTTGGATTTATTGCCCAACAGGCACGCTGCAGTTCAAAGGACCCAGGCAGATAATCATGTTGGAGGCACCTATTTAATGATGAAGCAAGTGCGACTCCAGAAAGGGATGACATCAATCCCCACTGACTCTAACAGGTTTCTCTTGGCTCTTTGGGCTGCCCCCCAGGGGAGCAGGTCTCCCTGGAGCTCACCATTGCACACTCAAAGAGTGAGATTTGGAAAGGCCCAGCACTCAGTCACTGACCTGCTGTCTGACCTTTGAGGAGATGCTTCCCTTTGCCTGGAAATGTCTTTGTGGTCAGTGAGTCACAGGGCATCACCCCCCCCCCACCCCAGGGTGCATAGGGAGAAATGGATTGCTTCTCCACTGAATTCCCCTCCATCCCCCTCAAAACCTGCCTGAAGGCTACACCCACCGTCTTGGCCTTTTGGTGATTCTTGCCCTTGAGTTGTTTTCTCCCACCACTGCAAGTTTAACCAACACACCCCTTAGGGGTTGAAACCAACTTTTTTTGGGGGGGGGCGGATTTCCCTTGTTTTTCTCTATTCCTTTGTCTGCATGACAATTCAGTTCATCAGTAGCTCTATGATAGCATCCATCCCATTGTCCGTATTATCTTTATGTGATTGCAGAGGATTCTCTGTGACATGCATGTCTGATGTCCCCCATGCAGGCTCTCTTCTCACATGCACTATGTGCGTCTCCTGTCCACATTACACATGTGTGTGTGCTCAGAAAGCAGGACCATGTGCAAATTTCTTTGTCTTCATTCCCATGGTGGCAGACCCTATTCCTCCAGCTTTGTACAGGGGCTTGCACACTGTAGGCATTGAAGAAATTCATTTGCATTATTAATGGTTTGAGCATCTATTGTGTCCCAGGCTCCCTGCTGCGTGTGGGGACACAGATGGATGTGACAATGACAACAGCGTGTGACATGTGCTACAATATGGGTGTGGGGCAGAGATCTGTGCTGTACTTAAAAGGGCAGACAGGCTGTGACTAGGCAGAAACGGGGAGAGAGAGCCCCTCGAAGAACAGCATGGACAAACCCTTGAAGCAATCCCATTTGCCCAGAGTCTGGGCCTAGGCATGGGAGGTGGGGATGGGGATGGGGGCTGGGAGGTCAGGACATGAAGGTAGGAAGACTAGCAAGACTCTGCTTATAACTACTTAACTGCAAGACTTGGGTTGTCATGCTCCGCTGCAAAAGTCAGGAAACCAGACTACCTCCACCATATATCACCTAACAGCTTTCTCCTCTGTAAATGGCATAAAGGGTCTTCCATACCAGGCAATATTACCCAGGCTAAGGCAAGTAAGGATGCAAAATATTGGGATATGCCAAAAAGAAAACCTCAGTAATGGAGTTTAATATCTAAGGGGTTGTAAAAAAAAAAAAAAAAAAAACCAACCCTAAATAATCAAACTATGTAACGTTTTAATGTAACACTTTAAGGATGTCAAAATGAATGTGAAAGAAGTCCACCATGAGCAAAATACCAAAAATGTAAATAAAGACAGGAACCGCCTAGCACAAAGTATGCAGCTCAGGAAAGTCAACTCTGATTGGACCGGGAGTTCTCAACCTTCAAGAGACTTCTGAAAACCCGAAGAAACCCATGGCCCCGCTCTCCAAGAAGACTGCACAAACAAGCGTCATGCGTGCAGAGTTTTGGGGTGTTCCTGTACTCCCTGGGGCCTCATCCACGTGGAAATGAAGGGTTCAGGTTCAACGTGGGGTGCTGGGGAGGGAGTGGGAGTGGGGGTTGCACGAGCCATCGAGCCGCCTGTGGGTTCCCCAGCACCACCCTGGGCCTCCTTCTTGGCAGCCGTGGGTGCTCTGCCCCCTGCAGGAAGCAGGGCACAGCTCTGCGGCTTCATTTTCTTTCTTCCTTGGCTCCCCCCCACCCCACCTCGGCTTGGGACTTTTCCTAAAGTTTGCTGAAACCAGACACCTTGCTCCACCGAACCGGCGTGCAGCCACGGTTTAAAAGGCCGCCTTCAGCGCGCCCCCTCCCCGCCCTCTGCGGAGACTTCAAAAGGCCCGGCGGGCGCCGCGGCCCCAGCACCTATGAACCGCCCCCCGCGCCCGGAGTCCGCGCGGCAGTCAGAGGACGCAGAGCCGACGAAGTTCGTGCGCACGCGGACCCGGCCGGCGGCGCAGCCCCGAGCGCCCATGCCCCTCCCGGTGCCGCTGCGCCCGGAGCGCCTGCGCCCAGTTTAGGGAAGGGGACTCCGCACCCCCGCCCCCGCGCCCGCGCCCGGGGCTGCGGGGACCCATGAATACAAATGCCGTTAGGCGCGGGAGGAAGGACAGACCGTCCAGCCTCGCACCTAGGGACCCAGTAAGTGCCGCGGGGCTCCTGGGGCGCTGGGGCAACTGTTGTGTGCGTGCATGAGGTGCGCTTGCATGGGGAGGGGGCACACGTGTGAGGAGTGAGTTTAAGGACGCCTGTGGTGGGGAGAGCTGTGTGCCGGTGGGGTTGCACACGCGTGTGCTCCTGGGGCCTGCGTGCACGTGAAAATATGTATGAAGGTGTGTGCGCGGCTGTGTGCTTGGGGGGTGGGATCTGGCTAGACTAGGCCAGTGTGAGTTTGTGTACGTCTAAGCATGGGTGTGCAAGCGTCTGCCCGTGCGAAGACCCGGTGTGCGCCTGAGTCCCGCGAGTGTGCTGTGGGAACCCAGGAGGAATCCTAGCCCGCCTGCCTGCATGTACATGAGCGAGAGCCTGTGAGTTGGGGTCAGTGTGGGTTGGCGTGGGTGTGTGTGAGTGCACTAGTGATCAAGTCTTGGAGTTGGAGGCGGAGGAGCGAGCGCCCGGGTTTGGATTTAGGTGGTGGGTGTGCTGATCTGCCCGTGTTGGTGGCGGGTCAAGGTGAGCACAGCTGAGCCCCAGTGTGAGATGTGAGGAGTCTCTGCTGGACTCTGGGAGAAGGGTGAGCTCTTCCACTTTCCCAAGTGGGGAAGGAAGAGAGGGGAGGGTGACCCCTATCTAACCAGACCACTCCCCAAGTCCCAGAAAGCCTGTGCTCCTGGTTGCTGAGTTTGGGAGGAAAATGTGTGTGTGTGTGTGTGTGTATGGTAGGAACCTGGTTGTTACGGGACTCCGGACGCTGCGTCCTGGTCCCGGAGGTCCCTGGAGCTCCAGGCTCCTCTCGGGAGTGTTATCTCTACTCTCTCTCCGTCATCTCCCTCCCCCTCTCTGGCCCAGTACCCCCAGCCAGAAGCCCGGAATCTTGAGACTGCGGTGATCTGCGGGGCAGCGCTGGCCAGCGTTTCCCCTCTGCGCATCCCAGCCGCCCCACCTTCACCGCAGGGCGATGCAGAAGCGGGCGTCCCAGCGGGCAGTCGTGCGCCCGCCCAGGCTGCGCCCCCGGTGGCTGCGGGCAGGGGGCAGCAGCGGGCAGCGGAGGGCGGCCCGGCGCGGGGAGGAGAGAAGGTGGAGAGCCGCCGCGGGCCGAGACTTTAAATCGCCTTCATTTCCCCCAAATCCTTCCTTTTCCTCTCCACCCCCTGGCCGGCGGGGAGGCAGCTTCCACCGCCCTCCGCGCGCCCTTGCCCGGCCTGGCTTTGCCTCCGGGGGCCGCCAGTGGCCCGCCTCCAAAAGTTTGATCATCTCTCCCCCGCTCCCCGCCGCTGCTTTTTCTTCCTTTTCGTTGGAAGCAGAAAAAGAGCGGTGCAGGGGCGAGCGCCGCGCCGGGACTCCTGGGACCATGGGCCTGGCGCAGGCGCCCGCAGGGCCCGGGTCGCGCTGCCTGCCTGCTCGGGCGCCCCTGGGCGCGGGGCTGCGTTGGGGGCGCTGGGGCCGCGCGTTCTGAGCCGGCCTGGCGCGGTGGGGCGGGGGGCTGGCGGCCCCATGGGGCGCGCCCACACTTGCCCCCCGGGCTCGGGAGCATGAAGTAGGGGCCCGCCATGGGAGCGGGATCCGCGCGGGGGGCCCGAGGCACAGCGGCAGCAGCGGCGCGCGGGAGGTGAGTACAATCTGGGGGGCGCCACCTCTCCAGCTTCCAAGAGCTCCAGCCTCGGGGAGGCTGGGGTTCCCCGCCGCGCCGGACGCTGCCAGTGAGACGTCGGCTTCCTGGCCCTCCCTGCGCCCCAGCGGCGCGGGCCACCAAGGGTTAACGCAGGCGGCGACCCCCAGCCCCGCGGGGGTTGGCGAGCAGTGCCCGCCCCGCCCCGCCCTGTGGGCTGCGGGATCCCGCTGGGGCGGGGGCCGCGCTGGGGCAGGTCGGTGCGGAGCCAGCCCGGGGTCGGGTTTGGGGGTGGGTGGCGGCTTCTGAAGGGGCCGGCGCGGGGGGGAGGGGGCTTTTTGGATGCTTGGGGAGACGAGGGGGAGCCTCCATTTCTGGCCGTCTCGGTGTCTTCCGGTGTCTGGGTGTCCACAGGTCCCGAGCCTGTAGTCTCCACTTCTGTTCGTTCCTGCAGATACTGTCCGCATGTTCCTAGAGCTCCAGGTCTCGGCTTCGGCTCCTGTCTCCGTGTCTGTGTGTCTTTGCACGTCCCCAAGTGTCTAGAAATCTCCGCGTGTGTGTCAGTCTGAGTCTGTATGGCTCTGTGTTTCCTTGCTGGGAGGGGGGCCCAGGGGGAGATCACCACTCCTGCGGCTTTCCCCTGTGAGGGAAAGTGAGAGCCAGCATGTCAGAGCAGAAAGGACCCTGGGAGCTCACCAAGCCCAACCCCTCTTGCAGAGAAGGAGGCCGGAGAGGGGCAGACACTCTCCAAGGAGGGCTGCGTGAGCGTGAGTGAGGATCCAGAGGCGCTGATTCCCCAGTAGCCTCCCAGTAGGCGTTGTAAACGAATGAGCTCTGCAAGAGCCGGTCACTGAGTGTGAGTGTGTGTGTGTGTGTGGGGGGGGGGGATGCGGGGGTCAGCCAGCTTGGGAGCAGCCCAGGAACTGTGTACTGTGGCTCCTGCTCATTGCCCAGAGAGCACAGAACTTGCTCCCTTTCTAGCCTGCCCCCTCCTGCTAGGACACTCCCAAGAGGCTGGTCTTGGGGTTGTAGCTCCTCCCTACCCCACCCTGCCCTGCCCCCTTGGAACTGGACTCTGGGGGATGATGGCCCGCCCCCTTTTCTTTCCCATGTCTTGGAAAAAACTGGCTGGCTGATTTCCCCCCGCGACCCCCCCTACCACCACTACTGCAACACACAGCCACACAGGGCACCAGTAAGCACACTGCTGACTCATTTTCTCCAGAGGACCCTGGACCAGGGCAGATGCCAGTGGTTCCGTAGAAAGTGGTGCCAGGCAAGCACCCCATAATGGGGCCCAAGCTTTGGGCGAGTGGGCAGTTATGCTGCTTTGAGGCCCAGCCTCTGCTTTCTCCTCTCTCATGGCCTCCCTCGCCACTGCAGTGCACAGATCCTGTGCCCTTTGGCCCTGGCCTGCCTTCCAGCAGCTTTACTCCACCACACGGCTCCCCAGACCCGGCTGCATGACACTGTGCATGGAGCACATCCCCAGCCCCTGCTGTCCATTCCTTTTCTCCTTGTACTTGCTCCCCTCCACCCCACCAAGTACTTCCACATGCCCAGATGTCCCTCAAGTCTCAGTTCAACAGCCATCAGTTCCCCTGGTGAACTGGAGGGGGCCTGCCTGCCACTGTCCCTCTCTGAGCACACTCATTTGGTACTGTCCACATCTCCCATCTCTGTGGCCAAGGCCTTTTGATACACCACAGGCTGGCTTGGCACTGGCATTGCCACATCCACTGGTGGGTGTCTGAGGGCTGCAGCGGAGCACAGCCTCACATCGGGGTGGTGGGGCAGAGAGCATGTAATAAGCCAGTGTGAATCCTCAGTATCCTGCCACCTCAGGCCAGCCACATGCCTCTGCTTCTCATTTTTCTCATCTACAAAATGGGCACCTGAACTCCTAGCTATCAGGGTTTTATGAGGATTCATGAGTTTGTGCTTATGAAGGGCTTAAAGCAGTGCCTGGCATGTAGTGCTCAGTAACTGGCAGCTGTCCTTTGTATTATTCTTCACTTTGAATGGGTGTGGGAGTCATCTGGAAAGGTCTGGGCTGCATCCTGTCTAGATGGATGACCATCTGTGTCCCAAGGGGAGGTGCAAGGTATGAAGGAGGGAGCGGGGTGTGGTGTCTGGGCCCACGTAGTAGCTCAGCCATTCTGTGGAGGCAGGTGGGGCAGGTCCATCCCTCTTTGCTGTTACGTGTTTCTCTGGCCAGCTTCCTGACCAGCTTCCCCCGTGGGAGCACAGCCCAGCCCGGAGTCAAACGGGCTGCTTCCCTTGTGTGTTTCAGTGCCCTGGTCTCAGCTCTGAGCTTCAGTGGAATGTGAAGCTGGTTTGGGTCTCCCAGTCTTCCAAGGTCACCAGGAGGGAGGAAAACCCTTGCAAATGAGCAAGTCTAGGAGGGACCACACTCCTTTTGCAGGGCAAAGAACACCTGGGTTCCTTTCTTGGAGGGCTGTGTGGCCAGGTTGTGGGACCAGGCCACCTCTCCACGGCCAGGTTCCTTGATGCATGACTCCCCTTTCAGCCGCCTCCTGCCCTCTTTTGGCCTCCTGCCCTGCTTTGGTCTTCCCGACATTCTGGAGCCCTGGCTTCCCCAAGCCAAGGAGCCAAGGCCCACAGTCAGCAGTGAAAACAGAAGTCTGGAAGAATAAAGCTCTGAGCCAGCACAGGCACAGGACGTTATTAGCAGTAGCCTAAACAGGATTGGAACAGGAGCAAAAGAATCGGCAGGGCCTCCCTCCGGGAGCCAACTTTCCAGGGCTGAAGCTTACTTAGATGGCTTCTTGGTTCCCCGGGCTCCGTCTCTGTTCCTGTTGGTGAAGGATGAGACTTGGTCTCTGGCAAGTAGGAAGTCCCTGTAAATCTCCAATTCCTTCTCCCTGGGAGAAGTCAAGTAGAAAAGACTCTCTGTCAAGTAGTAGAGACAGCGTATGGGTCACTGACACATGTGGATTTGGGTGAGTCACTTCCCCTCTCTGGACCTCAGTTGCCTGTCTCTAAATAGGAGACAGGTCTAGAAGCTGGCCTCTAAGTGATCTGAAAGGACCTTATTCCATGCAGTAGTCCCATGCTGTGTTTTCGCTGTTTAATGGATCAAGTGTGCACAGAATTCAGGTCTGAGAGGGTCACATGCATTTGTTGAGGTGAAAGAATGGAGAAAAGGGCCTTCGGAATTGAAGTTCTCAAGTTGGAAACCAAGTGTTAGGAAGCTTAATTGGAGAGAAGATTCTGATCCTATCTCCCCATGAGTCTTTTCTCTAAACTTTTAGGGACTGAAAACGTTTCCCCCAACTTACCCTCCTGTTCTCTACAGAGTAGTCTTCTTGCCATAACCACAGCAGGAAAACTTGACCAAGAAGGACATGCATGGTTCTTGCACTTTCTTTCTCCACTTGGCCTCCCTGTATCAGCTTGGAAACGTCCAAAGAAGGGTGGATGTGACATCAGGCAGTGAGGCTGAAGGGGAGAGGCCTAGTTCCTCTCTCTCTGGAAGGGACTGGAAGGAGAGAATGGAAGGAAATGGAAGAGAAACTAGTGAGGTTGCAGGAACTGGGAAATGCAGGACTGTGCCTCCTGAGGAGGCATCTTCAATGGAAGCAGTTCCCTGGTCCACTGAGCTCTGGGACTGCTGACCTATAGCAAGTGTGGTTAATTTCTTCATTGCAGGACTTCTCAGAGCCTTTGATGTGCAGTTGTGCTTTGGAAATGCTAAGACTGGGGCATGGGAAACAACGCTTCCCCTATATACCTGGCCGCAGTTTCCTGGTGGATGTAGGGAATAGTGCTGAAGAATTAGGACCCCAGAGCTTGACCGTGAGCAAGGACCTGCCCTCTCTGAATTTTGGTTTTTGTCCAGTGTAAGCTGCCTAGTCTTTCTTTTCAGGGTGGATAAGGCTGCCATTCACTTCAAGCTGGCAGATCATGCAAGAAGGGTCAGGCCACCGCTCAGCATGCTGACTTTAGTCATTGGTGGTGATTGAGTTGAAGGTGAGACCCATGGAGGCAGGGAGGAATGCCCCCATGCAAAAGGCATCCTCCAAGGGTGGCAGCAAATTGGAGAAGGTGAAGAGAGGCTGAGGACTAAGCAGGAGCACTCCTGGACCTGCTAGCACCTCTGGACACTTTAAAGTCCAGAGTCCTGTCATACCAGGAGGTGACCCCCCCACCCCAAGCTGGAATCTAACACTTGCATGGCAACTGACTAGGCAAAAGAGTAGTGTCTATATAATAGGAGCAGCATGTGCAAAGGCCCTGAGGCTTGAGAAGCTGGAATCTAACACTTGCATGGCAACTGACTAGGCAAAAGAGTAGTGTCTATATAATAGGAGCAGCATGTGCAAAGGCCCTGAGGCTCGAGAAACCTTCCAGGAACCACCATTAGCATCTGAGTGCTGTTTCAACTAGTTTGCTTTATGCTGCCAGTAACTCAAAGACTTACCCAATATGGCTTAAACAGTAAGTTAAGTTATGTGCTCCCTTATCAAGAAGGCCAAAGGGAAAACAGTAATGAGCTGGTTAATGCAGCATCTCAACCCCACTCTTGTTCTATTCTACTTTCCTCTTGTGCTTATGGTGCCATTTCCTGGAGTGTACAGAATGGCTGCTGCAGCGCATCCTCACTCACCAACTCACAAACACTGGGAGAAAATCTGCCTGTTTCCCAGGAGCCCTACAGGCATCCTTCATGTCTCCTTGGCCACATTTGGGTGACATGCAGGCCTAAACCTTTCACTGGCATGGCAAACGAGATTCCCAGGATTGGCTTCAACTTACTCAGATTCATCCAGTATCCCCTGAAGTCTGTGCCTCCCTGAACAAGCAAAAAGGGCGTATGACTGTAGGTTGGTAACCTCCATTGTCTTTCACATTGCCCAGGTCAGGATTATTATCCACCTTATTGCAATTAAATGGAAATACTTGTTATTAAATCACAGGGTGTGAGCTTGTTTTCCAGGCCACCCACGGGACTAGGAAGGACCCAGGGCTCCAGACAACACACTGGTAGACAGGTTTCCTGGATTACATGCTTCCCCAAAGCACACTACCAGAGCTTCCCTCTTGGAAATGGATCCTGGGCCTGCATGTCCCAGCCTTAGGCTTCACCACCTGTCTGTCTGGGCTCTCTCTGCCCACAACCCAGCCCACTGTCCCTGGCCACGTGCCTCCCTCCCCTTTGCCTGCTTGCGGATCAGATGCCCTGGGTGGCTCGTGCGTCCCAGTGGCTGCTCCCACAGGAAGGTGAAATCAGATCACTGCCTTTGCCCATCTTGGCAGGAGCCACTGAGCAGGCTGTTAACCCTTCCAGACTCCAGAGTTCCGGGACCGTCTAAGGAGCACTTTTGTGACTGGCTCCAGGCTGAGCCCTTGACGTGTATGAGCTCATTTAATTCTCACGCCTGCCCTGGAAGATAGGGAGTGTCAGTCATGCTGCAGAGGAGGAGACAGGCTCAGGGAGGCCAAGTGACTCATCCAAGGTCACACAGCTGGTGGCAGTAGGGCCAAGTTTGCACCTGGTTCTGCTTAACTCCCCACTATATCTTTTTTCTCCCATTTTCCATCAGCATTAAGCTAGGTAGGTAACTTCCTGCATGCAGCACTAGTTCTGGTTAAGGGGTTCCCCCTCTCTGCCCTGAGTGTAAGGAGACTCCTTTCTCCTGCTCTTTGAGGATGTCAGTCATCCAAGCTGACCAGTCTGGTCTTTCTGCTGACCTTTCAGCCCTGGCTCTGCTGCTCATTGGGCTCCAAGATCATGAGGCCATAGTACACATGGGGAGATTAAGGTCCAGAGAGGGGTAGGGACTACTGTCCAGTAAGTTAGCAGCACATTTGAAGCTAGAAACTGGGTCTCTAATGCCCAGGGCAGGGCTTCCTGCCCACTCTTTCCTGCCGTGTGACCCTGCTTTATGGATCTGTGAGAAGTGAGGTAGTGTTTGTGCTGTGTGTGTGGGTGAGGCTGCGCCTGGAGACCTGGGAGTGGGGGCTGCAGGAATGGGGTCCCAAAGCCTGCCTGCTGCCTCCTGAGGATGAGGCTGAGTGGGACCGGGCCTGGGTGATCGTTTCCCAACTGCCCCAGCCGGATCTGGGCCCTGGGGCTGGAAGCTGATGCGGCATCTGCTTGTGTCTCCTGGTCTCTAGGGGGTTTCTCTTCACCTGGATCTTGGTCTCGTTTGCCTGTCACCTGGCCTCCACCCAAGGAGCTCCTGAAGGTAATCCTCTAACCCTTTCTTTCTTTGTCAGGGGGAGACAAGGGAGGACAGCAAGGACCTGAGAACTTGAGGATAGGAGATATCCATGGCCCTAATTGTAATTCAATACCTCAGTTTTCTCATCAGTAGAATGGAGCTGATCACGGGCAAATTCCTTCTGGGCTTCAAGGAATCAGCTGGAAGTTTTGAAAGGGCTAGGAAGGGCTTAATGTAGAAATATGAAAAGGTGATCCTTGTGATCCCGTCAGGGTAGAATTTGGCTAAGTCATCAGGGTTCCTAAGTCCTTGGTTTTCCTCTATGTCCCATGGTTATCCCAAGAGCTGCTGAGAGGAGTCTCGAGGCCATAGTGACCATGGTCAAAACCTGTGATCCACTCTCCTCTTCCCGTGAGAGACCCGGCTTTCCCCTGCCCTCCCTGAGGAGCTATCCAGGGGGCCAGGGAGGCGGTGGGCTGGCTGTACAGCTGCCTGTGGAAACTGAAACCTCTCCCACATCTGTTTGTCAAGCAGCCATGATGCCTCTGGAAATAGCAGCCCTTCCCCCTCCACCCCTGTCGGTGCATGTGCCGGGCTGGCAGCTGGCACTCCTAGAACCCTGTGGCTTGACCTGGCCACTGGGCAGGGATTGGGCCCCTGGGAGGGGAGGGCTGTGCCCGGAAGAGAGTCCTGCTGCCCGGCAACATTTTGTGCAATTGTCATATTTTCCAAGCTTGCTGTTTCCCCCACAAAGTAGGTGAACAGCTGTCCAGAGTCCTGAGTCAGGCACTGGGGGGATGGGGGTGGGGTGGGGTGGGGAGAGGCTGGAGCTGTATGCAGCCAGGTTTATGTAATGAAGGGATCTTCCTGTGGCCAGTTGGCCTGGCCCTTCCCTCCTGGTACTGGGCTACCCTCATTCCCCTGTCCCCTACCTCCTCACCCGCTGCGGGGTTCTGGCTATGTCTCCACCCTGCCTTCCAGCCAGTCCAACGAGGTCCAGTGCAGTACAGTTCTTTTAGAACAAGGGCCCTGGAGCCAGGTGGCCTGGGTTCAAACCCCTACATTATAAACTGCATGACTTTGAGCAAGTTATTAGAGTAACTTTTCTGACCTTCATCTATAAAGAATACCTGCTCCCTAGATGAAAGAGTGAATCAAGTGCAATAATGCCTGTAAAGCACTCGGCATACCATCAGTGCTCAATAAATGCTTGTTTTTTTTTTGTGCTCGAGCATAAAAATGTTCATTTTAGTATGGATTATGTTGACATCCATGGGGTCCATAGAATCAGCCATGCTGCCTGGCCTGATCAGTTGTCATTTGCTTGGCCTGTATACTGCATTCTGTAGGGAGAGCTTCGTGCAGTTCTGGGGGCCTCCTGGGGCTGCCCAGGTAGGACAAGCTGAGGGGAGCAGCTTCTGGCCCCTACATCTCCATTATGTGCCTCCTCCTTTATTTAAATTGTTTATAGTGAATAGTATTTTGGAATAAGAGGGTTTCAGTGTTTAAAGCATACACAATGTGCTTCTACTAAGAGCATCCTTAAGTGGTGCTTTATTTTAGCTTATGATCCAGGGACAGAGGGAGTTGGCAGAAAGGAGGGGCTTGGGAGGAGTAAGCATCATCAGTCCAAATCAACCTGAAGTAAGAACCTGGAGCTAGAGAATTCTTAATTTTCTAAGAATTCTCTATGGCACCATGTGGCTATCTCCAGGACTGTTTCCCTGTGTCTTACTGGCAGGGAAACTGAGGCCCAGGGATCAGGAAGAGACTTGCCCAGAGTTACTCAGTACAGCGCGTAAGCAGGATGGTGAGGGGGTGCCATTTCATACTCCCAACCACCCTGTGATGGCGGAGGCACTCTTGTGGCCCCATTTTATTGCAGAGGGAACTAAGGCTGGGAGTCAAGCTCTGGAGCTTTGCAGTCTGACTTCAGAGCCTGTTCTGGAAATGTTATGCCTTGTTGCCAAGCTTCCAGTTTTTACAATGTGTCTATATGTCCATCCATCTGTCCATCTGCCTCACAGCTGTCCACGGAGTACCAACTAAGTGCTAAGTGCTAACATTCAGCCCCAGGCACCTCTCCCCAGCCCCCGTGATGAAGTGGAAACCCTCTGTGGTGGGGGCGAGGTTCCTGAGCTCTGAGGCAGGGAACTGAGAACCTGACCTGACCCAATCCCAGAGGCAGCCTCTCCTTTCCTCTCTGCTGAGACAGAGCTTCAGAGCTGGCTTCCACAGACACAGGCAGTCCAGCAATTGACCTAGCAAGAGGCCAGATCCGGAAGTCTCTCCATAAACACCCTGGAAGCCCTCCTTTTGCTCCGGCAAGCCCTGCTGATGTAATTACTGGGTGGATGTGACCTGGTTAGACCAGGTCAGATGTGCAAACACCTCGCCAGAGGACAGAGATTGCGAGTTGCTTTGATAACTTCCCATGCTCCCTCCCAAGTCACATAGGGAGGAGGGGAGACATAGGACATTCACTCTCTTTTCAGTGCCACTCTCCCAGACTTCAGGGGTGCAGTGGGGAGGGGAGTAGGGGTTTCTCAAGGGGTGAAATCTGTCAGGCCCCCTGGACATCCTTAGCAAGCTCCAGGTCATGTCACCCTACCCCCTCATAGGACGGCTTCCTGGAAGAAAGAAGGGGAAACTAGCCAAGTTGGGAGCCTCTAGTGGTCTTAACGTTGACATTTGGTGGCTGTCATCGTTTTAAGTATTAGTAGTCATCATTTAAATGTGCTTATTTTGTGCCAGGCCCTTTTTTCAAGTGTGTTAGCTCATTTAATCCTCACAACATCCTTCTGAGGTTGGTACCATATAATCCCACTTAATAGATGAGAAATTGGGGCACCAAAATCACAGCCAATAGTTTGGTTCCCATCTGTGTTATTGACCGCTACATGCAAGGTCATGCGGCCTCACAAAGGGCTGGCTCCTCGGCACGCTCAGGCACACCCTGGGACAATGTTATGTTTGGTTACGGTGGGTGGTCCTCACCATCTTTGCATTGAAGGGCAGGTCCTGACCATGCCCCCTCTGTCCCCCTTTTCCAGATGTGGATGTCCTCCAGCGGCTGGGCCTCAGCTGGACGAAGGCAGCGAGCGGCCGGAACCCCACACCCCCGGGAGTCATTCCGTTCCATTCAGGCTTCATCTTTACGCAGCGGGCTCGACTCAAGGCCCCCACGGCCACTGTCATTCCTGCCTCCCTGGGCACAGACCTGGCACTGGTGCTGAGCCTCTGCTCCCACCGGGTGAACCATGCCTTCCTGTTTGCCGCCCGCAACCGGAAGCACAAGCTGCAGCTGGGCCTGCAGTTCCTCCCTGGCAAGACGGTTGTCCACCTGGGGCCCCGGCACTCTGTGGCCTTTGACCTCGACGTGCACGACGGGCGCTGGCACCACCTGGCCCTCGAGCTCCAAGGCCGCACTGTTACCTTGGTGACAGCCTGCGGGCAGCACCGGGTGTCCCTCCCACTGCCTTTCCACAGGGACCCAGCACTTGACCCCCAGGGCTCCTTCCTCTTTGGGAAGATGAGCCCACATGCAGTCCAGTTTGAAGGTGCCCTGTGCCAGTTCAGCATCTACCCTGTGGCGCGGGTCGCTCACAATTACTGTACCCAACTGAGAAAGCAGTGTGGACAGGCTGACACATACCGGTCCCAGCTGGGACCCCTCCTCCCCCAAGACACTGGCCCCCCCTTTGCCCTGCTTGGCCTGGAGAATCTGACTGCAGCCCTGGGGTCACGGCCACCAGGCCAGAGACCCAGGGTGACTGTAGTGACTGCTATACCCACCAAGCCTCTGAGGACTCGAACCCTAGACCCTCACCAGCGGGTCACAATGGGAGGTCCAGCCCGGACCCTACCACCCCCCAGCAAACTGTCAGCCAAGAAAGTGCTTCCTCCTGTACCCCCAACCTCTCCTGCCAGCTCCACCAGACCTGTCCAGTCACTTCAGAAAAGCACAGCTACCAAAATCCCCAAGAGTCACCCACCCAAGTCTTCAGCCCCTTCTCCTTCAATTGTGCCTGTCAAAAGCCCCCGTCCTACCCAAAAGGCAGCTTCACCTCCCTTCACCAAGTCAGCCCCACTCATCAAGAAGCCAGTGCCATCCCCTTCCCACCTAGTTCCTGCCAAAGCCTCCCGTGCCACAGTGAAGCCCATCCAGAGGAACTCTGTAACACCCAAACCTCTCCCACCCAGCTCCCAGTCCCTACCTCCAGCCTCCGGCTCCTCTAAGAAGCCCTTTCCCGCAGCGGTCCAGCCTGTGGCTAAGATGAGTGAGCCGGCCCCTGCCCGTGCCAGCACACACAGACCTCCCCAACCTGCTGCTTTGCCTCCATCACTTGCCCCCCGTCCTGCCTCCACCAGGACCATTAGGCCACCAGCCACAGTGATGTCTCCAACCTCAGAGCCTTCGACCCTTGCTCCGGGTTCAGCCCCCACTGGAAGCAAGAAACCCATTGGATCAGAAGCTGCAAAGAAAGACCGACCCAAGAACAACCCCCGGAAGCCTATACCTCTCAGACCTGGGAAGGCAGCCAGAGATGTCCCACCGAACCACCTGACAACTGGACCCAGCCCCAGACAGTCCCAGCTCCACCAGCAGACCACCTCGGCCCCAGTCTTGGCCCCAGCACGCTTCCTGTCCTCCAGCCCCCGGCCCACAAGCAGTGGCTATCCGTTCTTCCACCTGGCGGGGCCCACACCTTTCCCTCTGCTGATGGGACCTCCAGGGCCCAAGGGAGACTGTGGCTTGCCGGTAAGACTAGAGGGTGTTGGGGAGGTGTGCATGTTGCTGAGTGGGTGATAGGGACAATTTAGTCAGGTGGTCGCCCAGGGTAAGGGCAGAGGAAACAAGCAACTTTGGGCAGGACTGGAACCCAGGTCCCTCCTCCATTTCTGCTGTGTCTTTATTGCACATCCTGCTTCAGATCTGTGGGTCCCTGGGTCTGGTGGCCACCCCGGGTGAGGAGCACTCTGGTTGACCCAGACCCTGGGTCAGTCATTGCCAGCCCACAGCCAAGTGGCTTAAGGGAAACCTCTGCTTTACTGGGCCCAGGTCAGGTTGCCTCAAAGGCAAGCTCTTCTGAGCAGAGCTCCTCTGGCCCACCAGCTTGTCTGGAAGTTTTGGACAAAGGTCGCACACGGGTAGTCCTGGATGTGTTTTGTTTGGCACACTCAGCATTGTTTAAAAATATTTAATAAGTTGCTAACATTTTAAAAATGTGAAAGATTTCTTATAAAGAAACTTGGCGACCAACTTCTTGGAAGGTGGAGAGACGTGATGGCCCCCTGGCTGCAGCTGGGTCAAGGCTGGCCCTGCCGATGAGACAAGCCAGTTTCTGACTGCTCTGGCCCCACGGCTTCCACTTGGGTATTCCAACCCTGTCTTTCCCCCCATTTATGCTGCCTGTTTGGCTCCTGTAGACATTTCATTTGTGGCCCCCTGTAAAAGGGTTTGGGGTGAGGAGGGTCAAGCCGGACCCAAGCAGTCAAGGAAAGGAGAAAGAACATTCTCTGTGCAGGACATGTTCTCAGGGTCGTTGCTTCCAGCTTGCTTGGAATGTCTCCAGGGGCAACGACCTTTCTGAGGCTGGAAGCCAGTTCCTCCGGGTGGGGAATGATTCGATGGAGTTTCCAGAAAGCCTGGGCCTCTGCGCTGGTGTCCAGCCTTGGAGATGACCAACGTGTGGTTTCCTCCTTCCCAGGACTGGGTCTCCCTCTGGGCTCCATGTTTGAGGTTAGGCTCCCTACCATGTGGAGACAGTGGCAGACGGTGGGAATTCTGGGCCTTACAAACACATTTAATGAGTTTTAATAATCATTAGGAATAATATTTATTCAGCCTGTCTCCAAGGGGACCACGGGCCCGTTTTTATTATTACCATATTGTGGAACTTATGGAAATTGTATGCATTGCTTTGCAATTATGTCAACGTTCTGCTCAAGTCCATGTTCTGAAATTGGCAGGGCAGAGTTGGGAGCTGAGTTGGGAAAGGAGAAGGAAGTCTTCCCAGGCACCTGGTGCCTTGGGCCCCATCAGCTCGGCTTCCCAAACTGTGAGGGTGCTGGATTCACTGGCTGTGAGGTCAAAAGCGGGTGAATTGCCCCCCTCTGACAGGTTGATAAGATTCAGGGTCTCTACCCAGACCTCCTGGCACATCTCAAAGAGGAGGCCAGCCCTGCATCCCGAGGCTGTGTGCTGTGGAGGGAGAATGGCTGGATCCAGGCCAGCAAGACTGGAGCAGCAGTGGGTTTGAGGGGTGTAGAATCTGCCTTGGGGCCTGTTGTATGTCTGAGCCACAGACTTTGCCCCTGGGTTTGGTGATGTGTTTCAGCAGGGCGTGAGGCCTCCTGTCAGATCTCCTCCTCGAACTTGTTCCTCTCTTGTTCCCAGGATCAGAGAAGGCACTGGAGTCGACCTGTTTAGTGGACAGACACTTAGGAATCATTCAGCTCAATCCTTATCATTGCTCAGGGGAGGGGCATGGAGACTGTGCCCAGAGAGGGCCAAGACTTGCCTGAGGCCACACAACACATAGGAGGCAGAGCTGAAGTTTATGCTCTAGCTCCAGATGCTGACCAGCACATTCCATCCCACCCCCTTGAGTGTCCATTCTGAGACTCTATGACTCAGGATTCTGGGGGCTTCAGAGATGTGTCAGGCCCTGTCATTGACCTCAGAGGAAGAGCTCACAGGCAAAGAATCTTCTGTTTCTATACCCATCAAGTTTAGGAGCTACTGCCACATGTGCAGCTCCTTCTAGGGCCTCACAGGAGCTGGTTCAGGGGGGTAGGATGTGTGTGCCAACTCCTACTATACAGATGAAGGGGTGGGGGTTGGAGAGACAAATGTCTTGGCCAAGGGCACCCAGCACGTCCTTGCAGGATCCATGACTCTGCTTCTCTTGGATGAGACAAGAGGGGGTGGGCTTTGTCAATCTTCTGGGTAGCCTCCTGCCTCATGCCTCACACTGTCCCCTAATCCCACTCTCCCTGACCCCCCTCCTCATCTTGGAAACTAACCTCTCTCCAGTAGCAATCAAGAAGCCACTGGAAGCTTTGTCCACTCAGCTGTGTGGTAGATAGCAAGCCATTTACATTTCACCAGCTACCAGAAATAATATAATCTAGTGGCATCTTTAAGTGACAGACTTTTGTTCCTTCTGTCCTCTCTTATCTGCCCCGAGCCCTCATATCTATGCAGGATTTGAGCCCTTCAGGGATGAAGTTATGGTACAGGGGGTGCAGGGCTTAACTGTCCCTAGTCCTGGCTTCAAATCCTGCCTCCACCCCTTACCAGCTCTGTGACGCTGACTGTCCCTTAAGTTTCTGCAGAATGAAAGACAATACTCCACCTCTGCTTGGGAAGCAATTTGGGTGATCTCCAGGGCCACCTTTGAGATGGGGTTTGGTTGAGTGACTCTGGGGAACTTCTCTCCCTGGGGCTATGTCTCCTCACTGGGAAGAACTCCATCCATAAAAGTGACTGTGGGAGCTTGCAGAGCCTGAGAGGGGTGCAGTGGATGTGCAGGACCTGTTCCACCTGGGTCTCCAGGGGCATGAGGCAGACTGGCAGAGGTTGACACTGAGTTCTGGGCCCAGGCCTGCCAGGAGTTGTAGCCACCAAGCAAGGGAGCTCTGTGGAAGCCCCAGGAGCGGGGGCGGGGAAGGAGCATGGAAAAGTTGAGTTTGGCCCTGGGTGAGTTGGGGCGGGGATCCTGTGGTTCACAGAGGCTGCACAGAAGCTGCACAGAAGCCCCACACCCAGGAGGAGGCGAGTGAAGGCCTTATTTATTCAATATCAGGCCGCTGGCATTTGCACATGCTTGCACTTTTTGCAAGCGTCACCTCGGGGAGATCGGCTGAGGTCCTGGCCCACAGCAGACGCTCCATGACTATCTATGAAATGAATGAAGGAATTTGATTCTTACAGAAGGTTGGTTGTCCTGACTCCCAGGCCGGGCTCCTTGAGGTTATACAGATCTCTGCGGCTGATGGGGTCAGGAGGCCACGTGGAGTGTGCTTTTGCACACAGATTAGATTTGCAATGACCTGGATTTGAACTATTCCCTTATCCAGCCATTCTTTTATTCTTTCAACAAATGTTGATCAAATGCCTCTCTGGTGCCAGGTGCTGTGTGATCTTTGGCCAGTCACTTAGCCTCTCTGAACCTCAGTTTCTGCCTCTGCAAAATGGGAAGATGGTACCACCTACTTTCCAGGTTTTTATGTGAGATGAAAAACACGAAGCACCCAACACTAGAACCTGGGTCCCAGTAGATTGTTGTGATTGATGGTTGACTGGGAGTATTGTATTAAGAGAACTAGAAGGGGCTGGACACAGCCTGGTGTTTGCTTGGCAAGCTTTACTATGAAAATAGCTTTTCTCAGGGAAGCAAGTGAACTAACCTGGGGTCTGTCTAGCCCAGGAAACTGAACGGATGAACGACTCCTGATGAGTGTAGGGAGGAGGGGCTTCAAGGCAGTACATCCATTGTCCCTCATCCCTCTGCACTTATGTCTTCACTCAACATTCCTTGACTTTTTTCACTGGCTCATTTTTCCCTAGAAGCACCATCCCAGGGCATAGCTGGAGGGGTATCTCTTAGTGTCTCCAGGGTCTTCATACCATTGGTAGTTAGAAATTGGGACCAGATTTTGAGAAATTCACTCCTTATACCCCTATCCCTCAGCACGCTGGAATGAATTGCAGTGTATTCTGCTCTCCTTTAGTGAGTTGTGTGCCGGTGTCTGTGCGACAGCAAAGCAGTTTGCATGCTGTATCCAGTGGCTTCAGGCAGGAACAGGGTAAACTTAAACTCTGAGGAGAGTTTAAGCATGGGGCTATTTACAGAGAGCTGGGCAGCATCCTGGATACCAACGGAGGCTGGTGAAGCACACAAGGTCGACCTGTAGGGGAGGGAAAGATGTTGCCAGAATCATTTGAGAATTCAACAGTGAACAGGGATTTCCACAGGGACTGGGGCCAAAGAACAACAAACACAGCAGAGAGGACTCAGGGAGAGAAATAACCACCTACTCTCCCCTTCTGCTCTGCGTACCTTGCTGGATCATTCCCTCTGGCCAAGCCCAGCCCCAAGAAGCAGAGAGCAAGGCGCCTGGGGGTATAGCTCATAGAGGTCAGCTTCCCAGGGCCCCAAATGGATCTGAGGAGCAAATGGATCTGTGCACAGAAAATCACCCATGCACACACATGTTACATGCCCATTAAACAGCTAGATAAACTGAGGCCTGGAGGCATAAGGGGATGAAGTGACTTGCTCAAGTCTTCACTGATAAGTTCTGTCTCAGAAGGTCCTTTGCTACCACAGAGGCTGGGAATGGCCAGCACCTTTTGGACTGTTCTTGGAAATAATCATCAGCTCAATGGTTAGAGATGGGAGGGCCTTTGAGAGCCCCTGCCTCCCCCATCAGGCTACAGGCACTGAGCAGAAGGCCAGACACTGAAAGGTCATGGCTCAGGGTCACGGGGCAGGACTGGACTTGGGTCTCCCAGGCCTGTGAAACCTCTCCTTGCTGCTGCTGGGGGCCATGCCAGCCGGGACTTATTTCTTTCCACCAGGCTTGGCAGGCAGGCCCTTGCAGCTGGACACAAGGGTGGACTTGTTCCGTGAATGGGGTTCCCCTAGGTCTGGCTGTCGGAGGCCAGGACCCTTGGGGAAAGCCCAGAGCGGGGGCTGCTTGGTTGTTTCCATGGTTCCGTTTGCGTGAGCCCCAAGCCCAGGCCTCGCCCGCCTGCCCCAGGCAGGCCAGCAGCCCCCACCTCTGCCCACGCCCCCCTCGGCTCTGAGTCCTCTCAGAGGCCCTGTTGTTTGCAGCGTGAAGTGGAAAATCCCACCCCAAGCTCGTGAATCATCCCGGAGTCGCCCTCTCAGGCTGTGGGCCTTGGAAAAAAATGGCAGCATTTTTCCACTGCATGGAGAACAGGCAGGGTCTCGGATAGGGGAAGAGGGGGTAGGGGGTGCCTGCTAACAAAGTGAGCTCTGAGTAGGGGAGGGTCAGGCTTGTGACTGCAGTGGGGCAGCTGGCGGTCTGGGCCAGGTTGGGAGAGTGGAGGGCTGGCTGCCGTGTCTGGAGTTGGGCTGTGAGCCGCCATCTCCAAGCTGGGTCGTGGGTCCCAGCTGGCATGGAGTCTGCTCTGCAGATGTTGTGGATGAGGTCACACTGCAGCCTGGATGCCCCCATTTCTAGGGTAAAAGAAATGCCAAGAGGGAGTGTCCCAGCCTCCATACCATGGCCCTGCCAGCATCCCTGAGGGAAATGCTCCCTGCAGACGGTGTCCCTTCTTGGAGCCCTCAAAAGCCCTTTTCTCCTATGGGTGTTGGCCCTCTTCTCTGTGAGATGCATGATCTCACCTTTCCTCTCCCCCTGGATGACCTAGAGGAGGAAATCAGCACCACTCTCTGTAGACAAGGGACTTCCCGAGGTTGTGCACCTAGTCAGAACTCACCTGCCCAAGGTGGTGGGTGCGGAAGCTGCCCAGGATAGGAGAACAAGTCAAATTATCCTTGATTGGTTCAGACTCTGCCTGTTAGCTGTGTGGTCTTGGCCAAGTCACTTGACCTCTCTGATTTCGCATCTGTTAAAAGAGCTTGGTCATGATAAAGTTATCTGCTTAGCCTTAGCCCCCTGAATTTCCCTTTATTTCAGGATCCCCTGGAAGAATCAGGTTAAGGAGGGCCTTCTAAAGAGAATCTGCCATCTGGAGAGGGTGGCTTACCATTTTGAGTTGGGGAGTTTCTGGTGGTTTGCTTAACAGAAATAGCTACCTTTGGGGCATTAACTGTGTGGTAGGCTCCAGACTTCGGACTTTTTACCTGTCAGTTAGATGCTTTACCCTCAATTCACAGTGAAAGATGAAAGCTTGGAGACTGGAAATAGCTTGCCCAAAGCCACACAACTAGTAGTGGGCATGGCCAGGCCACCAGCATTACACTGGCCTCTACTGCTCCCTGAGGAGGAGGCTGCCCCCGAATCCTAGACCTGCAGACTTCTGAGTGGAAAAGACTGCCAGAGGTACCTGGAGGCTCAGAGGTATGGCCTCACTTGCCTGTGGCCACACAGCAGGCCCCCTCCCTCCACTCCTTACTCCTCATACTTTGCACTGACCCTGGGACCTTGGTACCTGTATCTGCCTGTCTGGATCTCTCTGCTGATTTTTATTCATGGACCAGCAAGCACGTGGTGTTCACAGGCCAGAACTATGAGCGGAGGCTACCCAGCGTGAGATCTGGATTAATTACCAGCCAGACCGTACTGGGTTTTCAACACCGATTTTAACTCTGGGCAGGAAACCTGGAATCTCATTGATGGTTATTTGAAACAAATGAATTCCCCAGGCTTCACACATCCTCGAAAGCCTGGCTTCCCTCGAAGGCTCCGTGTTTAGTTCTTCACATCAGGAACTTAGTTCCTCCTTCTTTAGTCCTTGGGGGCATCCCTTTGTAAAGGGAGTGCTGGAGACTGGGCTGAGGGACTTGAACAAAGCCTCCCACTAGTAAGTGGCAAAACCCAGATTTGAGCAAAGGTAAGCCCTGGCTGCCTGGCTGCCTCCCTTCCTGAATGACAGGAAGAGAAATGAGGCCAGGCAGGGGCCTCTTGAATGCCAGGCTGCAGGGTTAGGCCTTTCCCTTGTGGGACAAGGGGAGCCATTGAATGCTGTTGAGCAGGGGGGTGCCTAGGAGAGGTAAATGCAGCTGTGGAGAGGAGGACTGGAGAGGGGAGAAGGTGGAATTGGGGAGCCAGATGAGGGGGGTATTGTAGGGTCTGGGGGAGTTGTGATGAAGGTTGGACCAGGCTGGACCAAATCACTGGAAGGGAGGAGACATTTGAGTGGTGATCCTACTGGGTTCAGCGCCACACTGGTGCAATAAAGCGAGCCTAGCAATAAAGTGAGGTCACCCAAACCTTTTTGTTTCCAAGTACATATAAAAGTTAAATGTGCAATAGCATTATATCTAAAGAACAACATATACACATTGGTTTAAAAATAATTTGTTTCTAAAAAACCAAAAGTGAAGTGGGCACTTGCTGTTGGAAAAATGACCCCCATAGATCCACTCAGTGCAGGATCACACAAACCTCGCACTTGTGGAAAGCACAAGTGTTAAACACTAATCATCTCTCATTTCATCCTGGGATAATCCTATAAGGAGGAAATTACTGTCCCCATTTAGAGGCACAGGCTGGTAAGTGGCCACACTGGATTTGAAATCAGGCCTGTCTGATCCAAAAGCCTTTGCTTACACCCTTTATGCTGCATTGCCTCACCCTGGCACAAAGATGCTTGGTGTGACCTTGGAGAAGTCCCTCCTCTGTTCTGGCTCTGCAGAGCACTTGGCTGAGCTCTGAGTTGCTTGCTGTATTATCAAACATTTGGCTAGCCCTGGGGAGAAAGAGATGACTCATATCCCTTTAGTTTCTTTGAGAAGACCATGGTCTAGTGAAACAGGCTTTTAAGCAGACAATTCCCCAAGTAATATAGTGGGCTTGAAAGTAGAAGGAAAGAGGAAGTTGGATCAACTTAGTGGAGGGAATAGGGAAGGCTTCCTGGAGGAAATGACACTTTAACTAAGCAAGTTAGGTGAGTAGTGAAACATGATAACTTCAAAGACTAAGAAATGGCAGCTGCAAAGGCCTGACAACCTCCAAAGAGTGTGAGTTCTTCAGGTAGAGACCTCAGGGGACTCCTCATCTCAGCCATGAGGTTTCCATGCCCAGATCTCTGGTTTGTTGAATGACTGTTCAAACCCATTCTCTGCTGCCACCTGGCATTGATGCTGTCTTCTTGATCTCTCTTTAGGGTCCCCCTGGACTGCCTGGACTTCCTGGACCCCCTGGTTCGAGGGGGCCTCGGGTAAGTGATCACAGGTGATCCTTTGAAGATCTGGTTGGCTCTTTGACCTGTATCCACTGACCTTGAAGTCACAGCCCTGCTGTGTGTCCTCAGGCTGCTCCCTGCCCTTCTCTAGCATCCATTTTCCACTTTGTTCAGGGAAGTGGACTTAGGGTTCTGAGGATCCCTAAGAGCCACTGTGTGGACAGACATGGCATGGGGCAGCAGTGAGCACGTGCTGGGCCTCAGTTGTCCATGGTGGGTAGCTTGGCAGCTGGGGTGGGGTCAAGCTTCTGCAGAGCACATCCCCTGAGCTGATGGACTTTAGCATTTGTCCAAGAAAGCTGACCTGAGAGGACATGATCCTTGTATCCACATTCCCATCTCTGCAGGACAGTCTTGGAGCAGGGATGCCAACATACACATCTGGGCCAGCCATGCCAGGGAGGGGAGTGTGCTCCCCATGCTGAGAAGTTCAACCAGAGGCTGGAGGATAGCTTGGCAGGGTAGTGGTGGTTGATGTGAGCTAGCTGGAAGCTTGGAGATAACTCAGTGTTACGCCTGGCTTGTCACTTATGTTGCCTTAGTTGATACCCTCTCTTTCAGTACCCCAGCACCCCATGGGCCAGTATGAGCTTTCTTATTTTAGGGATGAGGAAGTGGGGCATCTAGGAAATGGCAGATCCAGGGCTAGAACTTGGGGGTCATCTGGAGGGAAGTCATCTGTCCTGCTCTAAAAGGACTCGGACCCATGGCACCTGGCATCTGTGCCCAGGCTGAATCAGCCTTTCCCACGCTGGGTGCCTGTCGAGACCCTGGCAGAGATAACTGCCTGAGGCATATTTTTAGCTCTGATCACAACAGATGGTTCTGGTTATGCAATTACTTGAGCCCTAGTTCCCTCCAGACCTGGCCCTGCACTCCCTGGACCTTGGGCTCTGGAATCTGCTCTCTGAAGCAGCATTTCCTTCTGGCTTCAGAGGCTCCGTGGTGCTGGGTAGAGCTGGGATTCCAGCTATGGGCACTGCTGGCCATGAGACCTTGCAGCCTGGGATCAGGATGAGACTTTTGGACCTAGCACTTTGGGGAGTCTGCCCGTGTCCCCAAATTTCCCCTGAGCCTTCCTGCCTCTGCAACTTGGCTCAGGATGCCCCCTCCACCCAGCATCACCTCCTTTCCAAACCTCTCCCCCATGCATAGCTCAGATCGAATGCTACCCCATTGTAGGTTGTAGGGGTTCCTGCAGCCATTCACCCATTCCCTCTGGAAGGCACAGATCTCTTCCTCACAGTTCTCGCTCATGGCTAAAACTCTGTTTGCTGAATTCCATATGCATGATCTTATTGTCTCCCCAGCCATGCTGAGAAATTGATTCCAATATTATCCTCATTTTACAGGCAAGGAAACTGAGGCTCAGAAGGGTTCAGTTACTTTGGATAAAGTCAAACATAAAGTAAATGCCAGAGCTGGGATTGGGCCCGGACAGTCTCACTCTGGAGCCTATGGTCGTAACTGTCCTTTGCTCATGTTTCTGTCTCTGTGACTGAGTTCCTCTGGTCAGAGGCAGGCCTTGGTTATTTCTCTCTCCTGTACAATGCCTGGCAGAGTACTCTGCCTGCAGCAGATGCTTGCAAATGGTTGCTGAAGAGATTTAGGCTGGGGGTTAGGAACGTTTCCACGCAGAAGCTGTGTGATCTGAAACAAGCCCTTTCCTTCTCTGGGCTTCTGTTTCCCCATCTATAACAGCCAGGATCATGGTAAGGCGTTTCCAAGGTTCCACCCAGCTCAGAAATTCCACGAGTGAGCAAATGACTCTCCTCACATCCTTCTAAGGCTCTCTGTGTTTCTGCCCCCCACCACACCCCTGCATCTTCATCCTGTTTCTAGACTAAAAATTCCATAGATCATAAAATTCCAAAGATAATAGAATGCTAAGATTAATCAATCCCAGTTCCTCTCTGCACAGATGGTGACTCTGGGCTCAGGGAAGGGCAGGGCTTTACCTGAGGACACCCTAAGCTTTGGGGCAGGTCCCATCCTACCACTACTCACTTCCCCAGTCCACTGAAGGAAGCTGGGGAATCCCTGGGTTCTCCCCCCACCCTACTTCCTGGGCTGCAGCATTTATAGAATCAGTCTGCTTGGCTCCCAGTCAACTATGTGCTTTATTCTCTGTAAGGCAGTGGCTGCAGAGGGGCAGAGAGGTGGGGGTGAGGGAGCAAGAAGCCCCCACTTCACTAGCTGCAGGTGGGGTACTCAGCCCCCCATCTTTGGGCTAGTTGGGGGCATGGCTAGGGAGAAGTGGCCACCTTGACCTTGTGCAGCCCATGTCTTGTTCTGGGGGTGCTGGGTATGAGAGGCTGCACCTCAAACACGCCCCATCCAACCTGTGCCCAGTTCAGGCTGCGCTCTGAGGTTAGACCCCAGGAGCATGGTGTGGGCTAAATATCAAGTCTTCCAGATTCTTTAGTGACCACTGGGTCCCAGTCATTCAGAAGACAGATGGGGAAAGAGGCTGGGGGTGGGGGCTCAGAACTGGGACTAGGTTACACTACCAGGCACACCCATGTGCCAGGAGACTGTTTGGCGGGATGTTGGGAGGGGTTGGAGACCTGATTATTTTAGAGGGAGGGTCACAAGTGACACTGTTATAAATTCCCCAGGCTGAGCGAACTAAACACACTGCTCCTTCTCCCTGTGTTCAGAGTAGGGGAGGGTTCCAGCCCAGGCATCGAGGAAGAGGGAGGTGCCTTGGTCGGAATGTGACAGGCTGCAGCTGGGAAGTTGGCCTCAGAGAGGGAGGAAGGAAGCAAGTTCATACACAGTTAGCCAGATGAGTCAAGAGGGGCCAGGACGAGGGCGATGATTCTGGAGGCTGGTGTGGAGGCCACTGCAGGACCACTCCAGGTGCCTCTGCCCAGCCCCACTGTTCCTGACTCTTCCTGCTGGACAAAGACACTCAGCAAGTTTGATTCTTGAGCCTTGTTTACCTGACTGGGCTGTAAACCCACAGCACAAGGCCCTTGCTAGAGAAAGTGGACATAGCAGGCCACAGCTATTGGAAGGGGATTCAGATATGTCCTGGGAGTATCCAGTGCCATGAATAAGCCTGGACATGGTGCCAACAGGCCTGGGCCCCATTCCTCACTTGGCCGGTGCTCTGCTGTGTGGCCTGGGCTCAGACTTTTTGACTCTCTGGGCCTGGTCTTCCCAGCTGCTGCTGATCCCTTAAGGACCCTGGAGACTCAGAGCTGACAGGAATTTGAGGAAGAGCTCTGGCTATGTGGTGTGGTGATGGGAGGGATGCACCTTGGTTCAGAAGAGTCCAGGTGCTCCCTTTATTGTGCTCTCTGTCCCAAAAGCACATACAGAAGGAAGTCCAGCTGGAGTTGGTTCCTCTAGAAGTTGGAAGTGTTCCTCGAGGCAGGAGGGGTCCTAGAATGTTCCTGGAGGAAGTGGCTTGACCTTGAAGGAGGAGTTGGATTTCAACTGGAGGGGTGGGTGGGAAAAGCATGCCAGGTGGTGGGAACAGCTGGCGTAAAGGTGATGAGGAAGTAGCTACAGACACAGAGGAAGCCAGCAAGCAGCCACTCGTGCCTTGAGCCCAAGGATGCCAGCCAAGGAAGGGCTGCTGGGGCCAGACTAGGGAATGTGGAAAGACAGGGAAAGTCAGAGGTGAGGGGTTGTTCTTTGAAGTCCCATTTCTGAGACTGAGGTCCAGTTCTTCCCTTAGCAGCTGGGTGACATCAGGTAGTTGTAAACCTCTGTGGGCACCAGCTTCCTCATCTTCAAAATAGGAATAACGATAGTAATTAGCTTGTGGGTTATAAGGCAAAGAGAAATGCCTGGAAAGTGCCTAATGCAGTACAGTGCTCGCCTGCATCAAGGAGGCCCTCCCTGGAAGCAGGTCACCTTGCCCATCCTACTAAGGTTAAGCTGGTGGGTGGAAGGGTCCTGCCAGGACCTCTAATTTCCCTCATCTCTTTGTTTCTTTTCTTACTCAGGGTCCTCCTGGCCCTTATGGAAATCCAGGCCTCCCAGGCCTTCCCGGAGCCAAAGTGAGTATTCGCTGTGGGGTCGGGAGATAAGGCCATGGAGGGAGTACTAGGGTTGAGGCCATACCTGAGGTGCTCCAGGGATCCAAACATTGTGGAGGGGGCACATCCAAGCCATGGGCACTCCCTAATTCCCACCCTCCAGTGCCAGTCCTGTGCTGGTGAGCTGTAGACACAGTGAGAAGTTGGGAGTTTAGCTTCTGGTTTCAGAGACAAGGGTAGCTAGGACCTAGAGTCCTCAAGGCAGCAGGAAGAAAGGTCATTTGCTGCTACAGAGAGCAAATGCAGGGCAATGCAAGGGCAGCTAGAAACTAGTGCCCTCAAGGGAGGGCCTTGAGTGTCCAACTGGGCACATGAAGTTTACTGGGTCTAAGGTGCACCCTGAGGGCCATGCCGAATTGCCATGGAATGACTGAGAAAGATCACTGGATGCCGTGTGGAGAATGGGCTGGGTGGGTCAGAGCAGAGGCAGGGATTCCTGGATGATACAGAGGAGAGATGAGGCTGTCCACCAGCTCAGGGGTATGAGGGAGGGGGTGCATTAGCATTGTGAGGAGGAATAAGGATGATGTTGCATTTGGGAACATTGTAGCCCAGCCAGGTAGAGATCATACATGATGGACACTTTATAACTCATGGGAGCTCTGAGCTAGAGATAGAGCCTGGGGAATTGACTAGCACAAAGATGCCACCTCCCCAAGGGAGCCTTCCTGGACTGTTCCGGTTAACTTTTACAGGAGACCAAAGAGACCAAAGTGGCTGGTGCTCTGTTGACTGCAGGGAACTGGAGCTCTGGAGCTCTGCTGTCCTTCCTGGAGCTCGGCCAGGGAACAGGCTTGTCCAGGGCAGCGCGTGCAGTGAGAAGTGAGCGCTCCAGAAAGCTTGCCGGGTCAGCAACGTTTAGGTCACCAGGAGAAGTCTTTTTTTTTTTTTAAAGATTTATTTATTCATTTATACAAGCACTGGGTACAGTCAGAAGTGCAGGAGGGTGAGAGAATTCACCAGAGCCAGAGCTGGGAACAGAACAGGCAGACCGATGAAGTATACTGCTGAGGGGAGCAGCGGGCAGCAGTAGAGGTCTGCGCGCCATGTGGGACCCTCGCCTGGTGGACGGGATTGAACCTGCTACAGGCAGCTTCGCAACCCAGCACTCAACCGCTGTGCCACCGGGAAGGCCCAAGAAGTCTTGAGGAAATGCTGGGGAAAAAGGAGAGGAAGGAAGATGCAAGTTCAGGGAAGCCAAGAGCACAGCAACTGTGTGGAAGGAATGGGGGGCAGTCTGGGAAGGGTCCCTGGTTGGAGGCTACCCAGCCCTGCCTGTGCTCTGTGGGTGAATCCAGTGAAGAGCATACTTGGATTTTGTTTGGCCTGGGCCCAGGGTCATTCTTTGCTAACCCAACTGCAAAGGTCAAGTGGCTTAAAGAAAGCTATTAACTGACTGGCCACAGGCCAGGTCTAACTCCTGGACAGAACTCCAGCCTATCAGCTCATATGAGAGCTGGGACAAAGGTTGCACACAGGTAGCCCTGGATATAAGGACACACAGCATCAGAGTGCTGGCTGGCTCAGGCGTCTCCCAAGATGCAAGCCCCCAGCCTCAGGCCCTGTAGGTCTGTGACTCTTGCAGCCAGCGCTGGGCTGGAGTCCTTTCTTAGAAGGGGAGGGTTGGAGGCCTCAGGTCCCTTGGTCAGCAGCTGCAGAGGGGTTTTAACAAAGCAAGCACTGGTGATGATAACACCCTTTTGTGTGCTAGGAACTCTGCACATGCTTTATATAGCTTGTCTCACTTGACTTCCCCAGCAGAGATACTGTACCCATTTATGGATGGGAAATGGGAAATTGTCCGCTAAGGGGAAACTGAGGCTTAAGCAGATTAAGACACTGTCTAGGAAATGGCAGCAGGACCTTCCCACATGAAAGAGTAGCCAAGAGAGTGTAATTCTTTTGGAGAAGTTGGGAGTTTAGCTTCTGGTTTCAGAGACAAGGGTAGCTTGTCTTTGTGGGGAGACCTCAGAGCTCCAAAGCCCAGGGGTACAAGATGCTGAGGATACTCAGGGTTTTGAATGGCTAGGTTTGCTCAGAAGCATGCCCATCTTGACCTGCTCTGGGGTGGTCTGGTCTCTCGTGCTCCAAGACTGACCCCCTACTCTGACAGCGATGCTCCTTAGCTCCTCCCCTTGGCTGGTCCTGGGCCCCTTTCCATCCCCCAGGCCCACAGAAATCCCAGACTGGCCTGCGCTCCATCATGCCTACAGATATGCCCAGGCAGGCGGAGGTCTGCCAGCTGCTTCTTCCATTTCGAGATGCACTCTGTGGGTGGGGAGTGAGGCTGGTACTAGAGGTTGAGTCTTCCTGTCATCACGTGGAGCTGGGACCTGTGGATTCAGGCCCTTGTGGACAAGCATCCAGCCTGCTTCTGTGCATAACAGAGAAGGGTGTAGGTTCTAGAAAACACCCCAGAATGGGAAGTTGTTTCTCCCATTAGCACTTGCACAAAGCACCAAAGGGGAAAAGCATGCTCATTGCCAAGATACTTGGCCCTGAGCCCAAGGGTGAGTGGAAGTGGCCCAGGGACAGGCCAGTTGGGTGGGAGGTCCTAGTCTACTGGATTTGGGCCCTCATTGGTGGCATGGCCAGACCGGGGCTAATGCAGGGGCTCTTCCTGGGTAGAATGCCTGATTTGGCTGAGATTGTATGAAAATCCTTTGAATCTGTATGAATGTCTGTGATTCTTGGGACAGAGTTCTCACTATTTACTATGATCCCCTTTGGGTCTGGAAGGTGACTGGGTGGGGTCATAGGACTGGCTCTCTGGGCCCTGTGCTAGCTCCTCTTCCTTATGATGTTGGTGTCCAGAGCTGCCTCTGGGACCACCCAGCCACTTGACCCCCTCCAGTCAAAAAACACCTACTATGTGCTGCTAATAGAGAAATCAGCCAGGCTCTGGTAGCAGGGAGCCTGCCCTTTGTCTGGATCAGGCACTACAGTCAATCCTTCAGTGTACATTTATCAAGCCCTCAGGGGCTACTGATGTCTCCTTGTGGGATGGGGACTGGAGGGTGAAAGACAGGTGGGTTGAGGAAGCTCAAGAAGGGGAGAAAGAGCAAAGGTCCTTCATTTCTTGAGGTCACCAAGGGCCTGGGTGACTAGCCCAGGTCACCCGCAGTCACAGGCAGTGACAGGGCTGTATTCCGAGTCTGGGGTCAGCTATCAGAAAATGCTCACAAGGACCCCACAGCTGGTACAGACCAGAGCCCAGCCTCAACCCACCTACTTCCTCCAGGGGCCCAGGCTTTCCCCAGGGAGCATATAGCTATGTATTCCACACTCAAATCCATCGAGAGATTTTGGCAGCTCCTGCAATGAGCCACATCAAGGACTCTGAGAATGAGGCGGAGAAACTAGGACCTAGGACCTAAGAGGCCAGCATTGGCTGACCTTAGAGCCCAGGCTTGAGGCATTGAGCTGATTCACGTGTCCACGAATCAGAAAAATGTAGTGGTTAAGAGCTCAGACTCTGGAGTCAAGTTCAACTTGGCTCTGTCACCATCTAGTTCTTGGACTGTGAGAAAATTTTATGAACTTCCCATGCCTCAGTTTCTTCCTCTGGAATATGAATAACAAAAGTAGCTGCCCCCGCAGGTTCTTGTGAAGGGTAATGGAGATGCTTAGAGCTGTGTGGCCTATGGCAGGTCCCCTGGAAGGGTCAGCTATCAGCACAAAGGATGCAGGACGTCGGGCCTGCGATGGGATCTGAGCAGGGGCAGGGCCTGCCTGGTGGAAACAAGCTCTTCACAGTGGTCAATGCAGAATTACCCATCTCAGGGATCCACATGGTGGGCACTGGGAGCGCATGAAATTGCCTGGTCTGGGATGGGGTCACCTTCTCAAAGGACAGGAAGGTTGAACTGAGGTCTGATGCAGAGTTTTCAGCAGAGGTGACAGGATCAGATGGTTTGCAAAGGCCACTCAGGCAACTTGAGAAACAGGGCCTGACCAGCAGCCAGTAGGGTGAGGGGTGACCAGTGGGGAGGCCTGGAGCTTCCCTGATGGGGATGCTGATGCTGGACCTCAGGGAAGCCAGGTGGGCTGCAGGACTGTGGTACAGGTGAGGAGTCCTAGGCCAGGGGAGACAGCCCCTGCTGTGCAGGGAGAAAGAGAAGACACCTGGACGCCCTCTCCCTGGCAGCCAATAGCTCTACCCCTGGTGTTTGTTCTTTCTTTCTTTCTTTCTTTCTTTCTTTCTTTCTTTCTTTCTTTCTTTCTTTCTTTCTTTCTTTCTTTCTTTCTTTCTTTCTTTCTTTCTTTCTTTCTTTCTTTCTTTTTCTTTCTTTCTTTCTTTCTTTCTTTCTTTCTTTCTTTCTTTCTTTCTTTCTTTCTTTCTTTCTTTCTTTCTTTCCCTTTCTTTCTTTCTTTCTTTCTTTCTTTCTTTCTTTCTTTCTTTCTTTCTTTCTTTCTTTCTTTCTTTCTTTCTTTCTTTCTTTCTTTCTTTCTTTCTTTCTTATTTAGTTATAAAAGAACTGGGGTACAGGCCAGATATGCAGGAGGGTGACAGAGACAGAGTGGGGAACAGAATAGGCAGACTGACTGAAATACACTGCTGAGGGGAGCAGCGGGCGCTATAGGAGAAGTCTGTCACGCTATGTGGGACCCTCGCCTGCCAGCCAGGATCGAACTGGCGCTGCAGAAGCTGCGTAACAGCTTCACAGAGCTGTGCTCAACCTCCTGCGCCACCAGGGAAGGCCCGCAATGTAACTGTTTCTATCCACAGTTACTATGAGCTTTTGGGCACCAGGGGAGGCCAAAGAGGACATGCTCAGTGACCCAGGAGGCTGCTGGCATTGCTGATAAGACCTGATGGGAGGCAGCCCCATGGATATTGGGCCTCAGCCTCCAGCCAGCCATCACCCTTCCTCTGATGTCTGAGGTAGGGTGTGCTCATTAAGGAAGATGTGGAAAGGTCTAGAAAATATCAAGAAGAGAGTAAGTTCCTGCAGTGGCTCTGCCCAGTAATAAGCACTGAGTGCATTTAGAGCAGCCTGGGGTCCAGAGACTGGCCAGGAGCTTTATGCACTTTGCAGGGAGATGTTACTGCCCATTTCACAGGTGAGGAAACTAAGGCCCAGAGTGGCTAGTAACTTATCCAGGGTCACATTTCTCATCAGTGGCAGACACAAGATTTGAACTCTTTCTGTGTGACCTCAAAGCCCATGCTTTCAGCCCCAAGGCAATTCAGCTCCACAGCTATCCAGCCCTCCTCTGTGGATAGGCAATACGTAGCTATCAAGGGATATAGGTATATACACATAGAACAGTTTAAAATGTGCATTTAGCTGTTATTTTATTAATACTTGCCTTCTAGAAAGATGGAACCTATGCATGCTGCTGTTAGCTTTAGAGGAGAAGGTTTTAAAAAGAAAGTTCATTACTGTTTTCACTTCATGTAACTTTATTGATCACCTATGAGGAAAATATTTTTCTTACGTCTGTCTTCCACCTGTATTTCACCATTTCTGAATTCATTTATTTTGGGGGTTGTGATGTTGTCTTTTGTTGTAGGTTGTTAAAAATTATTTATATCTACAGTTTAAGGTTATTAATTTGCCTTACCAATGTTTCCAGTTTGTTTGCCTGTTAAGTATGCTCATGATGATTTTCACAAGTGAAAGTGCTATCTATTTTAAACTAATAACTATAGCCAACACTTGTCAGGAAATAGGTCAGATCGTTTGGAGAGCATCTACCCCCATGTAAAGTGGGTTGTTTTTACTTTGCTTTTACTTAGATATTTCTTTCCCATTCTAAGATCAGGTAGGTATATTTCATCATATCTCTAATTATGTCATAATATCATTTGTACTCTTAAAAATCTAAATTATCTAGAACTAATCTTTATGGGGGAGTTATAAGGCAAGGCTCAAAATTTATTTTCCTCCCATTTAACCACTTATTCAATAACCTTTTGTCCACTAGTATAAGATACGTCAGGGTCTATTTCAGCCCACTCAAATATCTTTCATTGCTCTGTTTGTAAATCTTTAGGCAAGTAAAATACTATTTTATATGATAGTTACTATCTTTATATCACCATCTTCCTCTCCCCATTTCTTCTAAAATACTTAACTTCTGTCAGAGGGACTTTATTTTCCATCTTTATAATTTCCTTTTAAAATGCTTTTGGAATTTTTATTGGAATTATATTAAATGTGTATATTAATTTGTGAAGAATTAACATCTTTAAAACATTAAGTTTTCCTTTCTATTAAAACCTTGGCATGTCTTCCCATTTGGTTGAACTTTATAAACATGTGTTAGCAAACATTTTTCATTTTTATTGCAAAAACTCTTTAAATTTGTGTGAAGAAATTTTATATATTTTTGCTATTATAAATGGATATTTTTGCCCATTACATTTTCTAGCTGGCTCTCAGCTATTGAAAAAACTATTGACTTCTGCATTTTTGTACTTTTTATGTTGTTTAATAACCATCCCCTTTTCTGAATTATCTTATTTGTTCTAATAAGTTCAGTTTGTTCTCCTGAATTTTTATATAGGCACTCATTATTTACTAAGAAAGATACACTTTGTCTCGTTTCCTTCAAAGGTTTGTTATTATTTGTTTTTCTTGTCTTATTGCTTTGGTCAAATTTTTAAGCACATGAAACAGCAATGGCAATAAGGAAAGACCTGCGAATCTTCAGAGGTGGTTCCAAGGGTCACCTCTTGAGATTTCGTTCATTCCTTTGCTTGTTTGTGAAATATTTTATGATGCTTCTGTGGGCCAGGCACTGTGCTACACTTGGGATCAGAGATGACTTACTAGGGGACTTCTGGCCCAGAAGTTCCCAATCCTTCCTGCTTTGTTGCTCTTTTGTTCTCTCAGCATCACAGCCCAGATCCCTCTACTCTTTCTGCCTCCCAACCTTACTTTTAGAACAGGACTTCAGGGTAGTTCCCATCCCCCTATATTTGTAGCATTTTCAATTTAGAATATACCACTCCATCCATCTTTTGTAACACAAGCTCTGCTAATTACTCCTGGCAGAGTCTATTGTCCCCCACCCAGGGTGGGAAAGGGACTTGCCCAAGGTCTTGTGGGCTCATTGGCTGGAGCACTGAATCTGCTTGACCAGGTTCTTATCCTCAGCAAGGTGTAATCAGTTAACTAGACCAATATTCTTATTTCTCTCATGTAGTGGTCTTCACCCCAGAAGTCACCTGACCAGGGGTATTTCAAGCATTGAAATTGAACCAATTGACCCTCATTGGTTCCCTCATCACCTTCCTCTAAGCTCAGCTGAGTTGTAACTCCCTTTAGGAGTTTACCCAGCATCTGGGTCAAGTTCTCCCTGACTTCTTCCCATCTTCATTTAGTACTGTATTATACTTTTTCATCTGCAGTACATTGAAATGTAAAGAGCTTGGGCTCTGGGCCTGAGTCTAAATCTCAATTTCTGCTTGTATAACCTTGGACATGTTACTTTTTCTCTCTATGCCTTAGTTTCCTCATCTGTGAAATGGAGATGATGGTCGTTGGTACCTGATGAATTTATGTGCTGGGGGTTTAAAAGAACACTCAGTAAAAGTAAATGTGAATGTTTACGGTCTCTCTGGTTTCTCCCTTGAGAATTTCCCACAGACATGCATTGTGTCTTGTTTCTCCACCTTGGTATTCCCTGTATTCATTCCAGGGAATTGATTCATAGTAGATGTTCAATAAGTATCTGTACTTGAAGTTGTACTTGGGCAGAGGTTCCATCCCAAGCCCTGTGCTGGTTGCTGAGAATGCAGAGAAAAATCCATAAATAACTAAAAGGCCCCAATAATGACCTCAAGCAAGGAAGCAAATCCATCCTCTCCTTGGGTCTCAGTTTTCCGTTTTATGAAATAACAGAACAGGATGTAAAAAGGCCCGCCCCTGAAGGCTTTCTAGGTCCTTCTGCCATCTGCAGACCGAGGTGGGTGAGGGTGTGGTGGGCAGGAGATGCTGGCCTTTTTTGGCCATGGAATCCTTGGTAGTCCTGGGCCTGGCCTTGCTCCCTGGACATAAAAGGCATTGGAACTGGCTTATGCACAGCTGAGGGTGGAAGTGTGAGGGGCAGCTGAGCTGCCGTGTGAGGTTGTGGATTACAGAGTCGGGGGGGTCTGCAAAAGTGATCTGGATGGCCCAGGTAGACAGAGAGCTGAGTACTTGTGGCTTTTAGCCATAAAGGGAGTGGGGTAAAGCATCTAGATTTCCCATTTATAAATGAGGGCTTTGAAGTCGAACTAGGGATCTAGTCACACTTAATAAAGATTTTGCCTATGATCTGCATGTTACCCAGTCTCTGAACTCCTGTTTCGATCCTGAGTGCACCCAGGGCTAACAGTTGCTGCACTGAGCTGGCCCAGAGCAGTGTGGAGTGTGGGGTAGATGGGCAGTAAAAGGCCTTTCCCTTCCCTCTCAAGACTGTCCAGTTTGGAATGCAAAAATTTCCTGTAAGAGTGACTGAGTCAGGAATTGGAAGGTCTTAGTTCTGGCTAAGAAAAGAACCAACTGGGAATTAATTAATTCAACCAAACTACCCCTCCCATGTGTCACATCTATTATCTCACCGTCTCCTTGCCAAGAACTGTCAGAAGCCAGTGGGTGTGTAAGCATGCACCTGTGTGATTGCGTGCATGTGCCGTGTGGGTGTTCGCGCATGTGCAGATGACTGAGTGCATGTGCACACCAGTGTGCATGTATGTGTGCCCATGTGTATGCACACAGCAGTATGCATGCGTGTGTGTGTGTGTGTATGTATGCCCTTGTGTATGGAAAGGACTCATTGCTCATTGAAGCTGCATCTAGAATGTTTATGGTTTGGCTCATGGTGGTTGGGGGAGTGGTTTTCTGGGTGGTAGGGATTGTCTGAGCAAGGCCCAGGTAACCGAGAAGTGCAGGGCCAGCCTAAGGAATGGGCTGGTACCTGGGGATGGACAGAGGGACCCCACTTGTGGGTTTGATTGGTGGAAGGAGAATAAAATCTGGACAAGATGGAAGACATAGGACCCCAAAGGAAGAGTTTGGATTTGGCATCAGACAGCAGTGGGAAGCTATGGAAGGTGTTAGAGTCGGGGAGTGATGGGATTGGAGGAGTTTAAGTGTGGGTTTGATGGAAGGGCATTTAAGCAGGAGCAGGGCTTTGAATAGAGTTTTGGGGGACATAGACTCTCTAGATGGCTTGGTGGCCAAAGCAGAATTGTTTTTGTTTCAGGGACAGAAAGGGGACCCGGGGCTCTCACCAGGAAAAGCCCACGATGGGGCAAAGGTAGGTTTCCAGGGACCCCGGCACTCAGGGAAGAGGGCGGGTAGACAGTAGGGAAACCACCACGCTCTGGGGTAAGCCCTGGTTGCAGAGCCCACTGCGTGACAAGGTCAGGAACGTGGAAAAGTTGAAAGCTCAGGGTATGGATTGGTTTTCTCCTTGAAGCCCCTTAACCTTTCCCAACACCAAACCTAAAGCCATTCCTCATTGCCTTCTTCTGGGGTTCAGCCACTAAAGTGCCAGAACATCCTACCTGTGTGCAATACTCAGTGAATGTCCTTTGTCTAAAGCCCTATGTGGCTTTCTGCAAGACCTGCAAGGTGACGCGGCATCCAGAAGCTTCTTGGTGGCACATACCCAGGAAGCTTCCAACAGATACTCAGAGTCCACTCCAGGGGTGTTCATTCGAGCAAGAAGTCTGTGGATTTCCAGGAGGTAGGAAGGGAACCGGGTAGAGATTCAGAGTTCCCTAGCTCTAAATAACTATAAGACTGGAATGTTCTCCCATGGAAGAGAACACTTAGGTCAAAGGACCTTATCCATCCCTGAAGCTTCCACCCCATGAGCCAAGCAGTGGGCCTGGAGGGGGGCAGGACAAGCTAGAGCAGGGAACCCAGGACTCCAAGTAATTTCCCACACCCAGTGTCTCAATCTTCCATATCCTACAAGGAACGCTGAGTCTGTTGGACTTCCTTCCAGATACAGCCAAGCCTTCCCCACAGAACACTGCTTCTCGCCCCAGTGGCCTGTGTGTGGCCTCACAGAAGTGTCTGCTCCCTTTGATTTTCCCGAGACACGGGTGGCTCATGCCTCGTTCCTTCACAGCCTCATTGATAAGTTTTTTCATTCAGTAAACTTTTATTGGGTATGAAATCCACATGCAAATGCTCCCATTTGACCCACATCTGAACCTCAGAAGCCAGAGCTGAGGGCCCGGGTGCAGATGAGGAAACAGAGGCCCCACGGTGGGCGGCTGGCTGAAGGCCATGCAGCTGGTGAGCAGCAAGAAGTCTGCAGGCCTCTTCCCTCCTGCCCCTGTGTTGTCTGCTCTCAGGTCTCATGGCGGCGGCAGAAATGTCCCCTGCTGGATGACCTCCACGCCCTGCAAGACTGAGGAATAAACAGATAGGTGTCCCGGGAGTAAGAGGAGCAAACAGATTAGAAGGGGACATCTGAGTCACACATCTGAGACAGTGGTTTTCAAACATGGTGTTAGCAGTGGAGCCCACTCCCCGGATGGGATCCTCTGCTGATGACCAATCTATACAATAGGCCAAGTGGAGCAGCTGAGTTGAGTGAGAAGGGGCTGGGTACCTTGTCCACTTGGCTGCCCCCACCCCACCCAGAGGCCTCCTGGGAGACCCCTAGATCACTATGAATCCTGTTTGCAAACAACTGGCCATGTGAAGTTGCACTTTCAATGTAATGAGAGTCTCTGCTCCTCTTCTGGCTTACCCCCGTGTCTTGTGTTTTCAGGGTGATGTGGGCTTGCCCGGACTCGTTGGGAATCCAGGGCCTCTTGGCCGAAAGGTATGTCTTAGTTTCCATGCTTTGCTTTTCCCAGTGGGCTTCCTAGACAGGGGTCTTCAGACAGGAGAATTGGCTGCCCACCCTCCTTCCTGTCCCTCCTCCAGCCCAGCTGCCCTGGGCACTGGGGACATTGGTGGGAAGTGAGAGAGGTTTCTGAGGGTCTGTGCTAGCCTGGGAGCTTGGAGTAGGTCCCCCCACTGTGGTTAATGAAGTGTGACCAGAAGCAGTCCTGGTTAGCCATCCCTCCCCCAAGGCCCAGCTGCTCCCAGGGACACCATCAGAGGTTCCACCTCCTGTTGGCTGAGTGCCCTTGGGAGCCTCATCTGAGCCTCAGTCCTCCTCCTCCTACCTGGGAGGGAGACAGTAACACCCTCCTTGGCCCCCCACTGCCTGGGTCTGTTAGACCTGGGTTCTACCCAGGCGCCATCATTTGCTAGCTGTGTGATCTTGGGCAAGTGAATAATCTCTCTGAGTCTACTATTCCTCTCTTCCTGATTTGCTGTAGGAAAATGCTCCAAGATGTAAAGCATTTCCTGTACATTCTGAACTGTTGACATGCCCATCCCTGCTTTAGTAATGGTGGGGAAATTACCTCTAGAATTTTCCCAGATAATGGGTTTCTGGCTTATAGCCCCTCTGGATCCCTTTCCATCTTCTCTCAGGACCTCCCATCCTTCAGTCTCAACTCTAGTGCCTATTCCAGGAAGCCCTCCTGGAGGCCAGGAGCCTCCACTCTGCTAAAAGACCCTTAGCTCTTCTTAGCTTTGTCATTTTCAGCCAAGTCTAGCCTCACCAACTCAGAGCACGCGAATCTGATTTGTAGCACTCCTTTTGGAGTCTAGCACAGGGCCTGTGCATAGTAGGTATTCAGGAAACAGGGAGGAAATGAGGGTCAAGGGCTAACAGCTTTGTGCAGGAAAATTCCCCATGACTGATGGTTTTCTAGGGGGCATACCAGTCAAGGGCCATGTCTTAGGCTTCCTCTCTTGGCTCCCAGCTGTGGCCACAGTTGCCCTCTCACAGGGCCATCTGGTTCTCCTCTGGACAGCTGTGGTTTCTCCTGGATCCATGCTGCCCTTGCTCTGAGAGTCTCCATAAAGCAGAGTATCACATCCCTCCATCCTCTTCTTCACTCTCTATGGCTGGAGCAGGCCACACCTCAAGTCTGAAATGATCAAACCCAGACAGGAGCTCGTGACTGTCTGAGCTAGGAAAATGTGGTATTTTCTGGCTCATAGAACACAGAAGAACTCCCTCTCCCCACTCACTTCCCCTCTGGGTTCCAGCACTTTCTGATGGATGAGGTGTGAGTGGAAAAGGCTCCTTCCAGTCCCGGCTCATAAAGTAACCAGTGGTGGTCTCAAGCTGCCTGGGGGTGGGAGGTGGCAGGAGATGGGAGAAGCAGGCTGGACGGCTCCTGCCTGGAGTTCCAGGACCCCCTTGCTTCCAGAAAATAGCTAGGGAGGCCTAGAGCTCCCAGCCAAGAGGAACCAGCTCACCTGAATAGGGAGAGGCCTCCTGTGGTTGGTAAGCTATCGGGCAGAACTATTTATACTGTATCCCTCTGGCCCTGGCTTGGCAGACATGGAGGAGCTGGGCCTGCACCACTAGCTCACAAGGGTGGTGGGCAGAGCCTGGGGAAGCTCTGGCCCCAAGTCAAGGAGGGGCGCCCTGGGGTGGCATCCCAGTGGAAGCAAAGTATCTAGTTTCAGCAGCCACTGTGCCCCCAGCCTTCTTGTGTGGCTTTTCTGCATTATCTCATGTGGGGAGCCTGGGGGAGAAGCATTGGTGGGGGTTGGTGTCAGGGTCCTCTTTGCTCGCCGGCATGTTGAATTTTGCTGTCAAAGTGACCCCACTATCCTATTCATTAATTGCACAGAATTGATTGAATGTCTGCCCTGTGCCAGGCCCTGGGTAAGGTATTGAGCCAAATAGAAAATATTCCCCGCCCCTCCCCGCCAGGAGCTTGTATTCCTGTGTTTGGGGTAGGAGAAAATGACAGACAATAAAGAAAAACAATAAAAATATCAAGTATGCTAGAAGATGAACAGGACCATGGAGGAGGGGAGGCAGGAGAAAGGCATTTTGGGTTGGTCCCATATGAAATTGTGTGGCAGAAGGACTTCCTGTCCCCCATCAGCTGGTTTTCTTATGGTGCCTCCCAGTCAGGCAGTTTTCACAGCTGAGAAAACCAAGGCCCCAGTAGGCCTCATTCATCCAGTCAGCCGGCAGCATTACGTGGCCATATTCCCTGTGCCTGTCTGGTGTCAGGTGCTATGAGATCTTAGGGGGCCCATGGAGAGAGTGACGGTGTGCCCCACGCCATCTGTGCATCAGAACCTGATGGGGAGCTTGGGTGCCACCAATGGGGTTCTGGGTCATGGAGAGCAGGATCCAGACGCATGATTCTCCTGTGCAGCCAAAACCAACAGCTGCTGTTTTGTTGGAAATCTCTTCCGGGGTCATTCAGTGGCAGAGCTGGGATTTGAACCCAGGTCTTCTGTCCTTAGGCCCTTTTCCTCTCTGTAAGCTGACTGCAGCAGCTTCTTAGATAAGAGCAGGCACATAGAGCAACAAACAGCTTTCCCACCTGCAGTGCTCGCCAAGGCATTCCCAGGGCTGGACAGGCACATAGACTGGGTCATCTAAACCCTACAGAACCCAGCTCGGCCCCTCTCCTGCTGGCCAAATGACCACATGGAGCCTCAGTTGCCTCCTGGCATGGGTGGAAGGTTAAATGCAGCAGTAGTCAGGGGCTGGCACAGGATAAGCCCTTCATACATTTTTGTTGAATGAATGAATGATCACAGTGATTATGAAGAAGCAATGCTGGTCTTGCCCGCCTGAGCCCATCAAATCAGTTTTCTTACCTCGTGCCCAGTTAACTACCCTCCACTAGCCAGGAAGGCTGGGAGCACCCCCTTTGCTCCTGGGAGTCCTTTGTCATTCCAAGCCTCACCCTCCTGCCTCCTCCCCTATAGAGCCTCTCAACTGGGGTGATTTTACTGCCCAGAGAACAGTTAGTAATGCTGGCATCAAGTTTCATCACAGTTAGGAGGCGTGCTAGTAGCTTCAAATGGGCAGAAATCTAATAAGATGCTAAATCTCTCACAATGCACAGGACAGTGCTTCTACCACGGACTGGTCTAGGCCAGTGGTGCTGAGGCTGAGAAACTGCTGTGTAGAAACCCTCACATCTGCTCCTCCGTGCCCTGTGCCCGGCCATGTGTGCTTATGCCACTTGGCCCCTGGAAAGCACTCCCCTCCATGCTGGGCTTCCTGTGTCTATCCTTCGGTTCTGTTCTTATATGCCTTCCTCAAGATCCCTCCCTGCACCTCCTGGGTGAAAGTTATCCCTTGTCTCCCCAGCCCAGATTCTCTGTCTCTCTGGGATGCTGTGCTTTCTGGCTAGTGGGCACTCACTGTGGCCCTTGGCATATCTTGGGCTGGAGCAGGTGTGCAGAGGGCCTGCTCATTTTGTTTCTTCATGAGAAACTTAACCCCATGTGAGGGTGCTCAGTCTCGCACCTCCTTCCCTCCTTTGCTTACTCCAGACATCACTCATTGATCTTTCCTGCCAAATCCTGATATATCCTTGGGATTTTATTCACACACCATCCCAGGTGTGGGAAATTGGTTTTCAAGTTGAAACTTCTTTCTTGTCCCCTCCTGCAGCCCTCAGTCTGCCCACAAGTCATCCCTATGCCCCCCAATTTGGCCACTATCAATGGGAAGGGGGCAGAGGGGTCACCTGGAAATGTTTTTGAGGTTGCCTGAATCCAACTGCAACTTATCGGTTAGTTCTACCTGGACGTGACAACCCCAGTTCCAAGCAGAGTCCCTACCGAGAACCTCCTCCATGCTCTCCTGTTTCTGAGCTGCTCTGGGGTTTTGTGTACACTCCCACTGCCATTTCTGAGCTCCACACCTACCTTGTGCCCCAATGCCAGCTCCTTCAGCCTGTTTGCTCTGGTAGGCTGTCCGCTCCTAGCACTCAGTGCTTCTTCATCCCACTGGTAGGTGGATGGAGGTTTGTTTTGTTCACCAAAGTAGTCTTCATGCTCAACACAGGGTCAGACTCATTGTTGGGGCTCACCCATTTGGATGGATGGATGGTTTGATGAACAGATGAGCCATGCAGAAACTGCCTCCTGCCCTGCCCTATTTCAAGTATTTGCTGTGCACAGCCTGGCTGTGCTGTGATGGACATTGCTTTTGGACAAGCGGCAGGCACATTTTCGAATCCTACAATTTCTGAGCCAATGCTTTGAGAGGGCAGCTGGGGAAATTGAGGTCCCCAGAGGAGGAGGAATTTGGCCAGAATAGCGGAATCAGTCACTCTGTCTCCTGACCTATTCTTTTTATTCCCGATTCTTTCAATTATGTGAGCAGGGTTCTCTGTTGTGCTGGCTGCCCCGGGTGACTTGCAGGCTGCCGAGGTGGTAGGGAAGTTCAGTGGGAAGAGTGCTTTGTGAGGATGGTGAGTTCCATTTTCCCATAAAAGAAGTTGGCGCCACATACAGGTTGAGGTGGGGTCTGGGGGAACAGTTGCATTCTGGGCATATGTTGGTCCCCAGGACCCCTAGGCAAGGACAGAACCCCCTCCCTGCCCAAAGCCCAAATAGCATCCCAGCTGACAGGGAGACTGTCTGCAGCAACAGTGAGGTGATGTCTGGTTTTTCTTTGTGCATTGTAAGCAGTGATTAATCTGGCTCCCAAACCAAAATATAGACCAAGTTCTATTATAAACATGGGTCCTGTGGAGACCCGCCTGCTGGGCAGCCAGAGGCCCTTGCAGACTCTGTGGTCCCTGGAGAGCCCCTGAAGCATCTACTCTCCCCTAGTACCAGTCAGGCATCAATCATGTATGGGGCAATGACTGCCCGTGGGTCCACCTTGTGGTCAGTGCCTGTCTGGTAATTGCTGGGGCCCTGTAGAAGATAATGGTTTAGATTCTTCCAGGTCCCCGGGCCCTGTCATTTGAAGCTGTTTGGCTGGCCTTAGCTTGATAAACACTGCTAAGGTGCTTCCAGGGAACACACAAACCTCCCCCTGCCCTCACCTCATACCTTGACTGTGCTCAGTCTCTGCTCCTCCAGGCTAGCAGAATGACAGGGGCATTCACGGCCATGTTCAGGATTCTTAGGGTCCTCTGATGGTTAGCTAGGAATTGTGGCCTTCTGGACAAAGCACAGCCCAGCAGGTCCAGAACCCTGTGGAACATTTGGGCTTGGTCCTAACTTGCTAAGTAACTCAGGTAAGTCCCTTCACCCCTCTCAGACTTGATGTCTCAGTCTGTCCATCGAGAAAGGAGGCTACTAAATTGATGGCTGAGTTCCTTTCAACTTGGATACTCCAGGATTCTGTGACCATCTTTTGCCCCAATAATGCTGTGTCCCGGGGAGGTGGATCTTCTGGAAGGGGATCTTGTGGGGGTGGCCCTGTGGCTCAAGGTTGATCTCGGGTCTCAGTAATGTGTCTCATCCCATGATTTGGTGATTAAAGATGTAGATTGAGTCACAGCCTGCACTGTGCCTGGAAAGCTGTGTGACCTCAGGAAAGTCTCTTTACCTTTCTGAGCCTCCATTTCCTCATCTGGCAAATATGCATGATAACTCTTACCTCCTAGGGGTGATTCCAAGGAGGTGAGGAGCTGAGGTATCTGAGGCTTTAGTGCGGGGCCAGATTTCAGGCATTCTTTTCATTTTAGCTGCATCCTGAGTCAAGTGTTTACTTGAAATCACCTCCTAGGATTTCACTGGCAACACTGCTCTGCTAAAGCATTGGTTTCCAGCAGGTTTCTTTGTGGCTGTAGAGAAAGCCAAAGGAGTGAGTGATGCCCAGAGGCTCCCCAGACCCTTTCATGCATCTCCTGAGATCCTTCCCCCATATTCCATAGACTCTTTTTTACTCAGGGAGGGAATTTGCCTGTATGGAGTCACACAGCTTAGAGCTCCAGGCTAGATTTAGCTCTTCATGGAAAAATGCTTTACCTCTTCTTTCTTGTCTGCTATTTCCATGTGCAGAAATGATAGGAATGGCTATTTTACATGTCAGATCATGACATGTCCAAGCTGTCCTGTGACTTCCCAACATATTACCCCTGGCCTGCTGTGGCTTCCTTCTTCTCTGACCACCCCTAGCCTTCTCTCCTCGCTCATTCTGCTCTACTCACATAAGCCTTGTTCTTCCTCAAGCCCCCTAAAATCATCCTTGCTTCAGGGCTTTTGCACCTGCTGTTCCCTCTGCCTGGAATGCTTTCCCTTTAAAAAGCCAGTCCTATGTGCAGCCTCCCTTCATTCACCTCCTCCAGGCAGCCCACCCTGCCTGCCTGCCTGCAGGCACAACCCCCTGCCTGACACTGCCATTCTCTATGTTTCAACTGCTCGCTTTTCTTGATAGCACTAGTCACCACCACACATGATGTCTCTTTTGAATTTTATTTTTATTTATTTATTTTTTAAAGATTTATTTATTTATGCATACAAGAACTGGGGTACAGGCCAGAGATGTGGGGGGTGAGAGAATCCACCAGAGACAGAGTGGGGAACAGAACAGGCAGATTGACTGAAATACACTGCTGAGGGGAGCAGTGGGCGAGACAGGAGAGGTCTGCCTCGCCATGTGGGATTCTTCCTGGCCGGCCGGGGATCAAACTCGTGCTGCAGAGGCTGCGGATTGCTTCATAGTGCGGTGCTTAACCCCTTGTGCCACCAGGGAGGCCCTGACTTTTATTTTTAATTATGATCAAGGGAACATAACCTAAAGTGACCATCTTGACCATGTTCAGTGTACTATTCAGTAGTGCCATGTTGTTGTGCAATAAATCTCCAGAACTTTTTCATCTTGTAAAACTGAAATTCTGTACCCATGAAACAACCACCTAGAAGCTCCAGACATTAACTTTTATCTATTTATTTTTTCAAATATTTATTTTTTATTTGTACAAGAGCTGGGGTACAGGCTAGAGTTGCAGGAGGGTGAGAGGATTCACAAGAGACAGAGCAGGGAGCAGAACAGGCAGACAGACCGAAAGCACTGCTGAGGGGAGCAGCAGGTGAGACAGGTGAGGTCTGCCATGCCATGTGGGTATCTCCCTGGCCGGCTGGGAATCGAACCCCCGCTGCAGAGGCTGTGGACAGCTTCACAGTGCTGTGCTCAACCCGCTGTGCCACCGGGGAGGTCACAGACATTAGCTTTTGTGTCTATTTGTTTTGGTGTCTCCTTAATCCTTAATTAAACAGTAAACTCCAGTAAAGCAAAGGATGTTGTCTTCCCACTCATCCCATACCTAGAATGGTAAGGGTGTGTTAAAGCTCAGTGACTGTTGACTGAATGAATGAGATAGGGAGATCATGTTGGTAACAGCAGCTAGTCTTCACAGGGCCCTTGAATTCAGTGCCAGATACTGTGCTAAGTGCTTTACACACATCCTATGACCATGACCCCTGTGCCAATCCTTAGATCCCCATTTTACAGAAGAGGAATCTGAGGCTCAGAGAGGTGACATCAGTGGCCTCAGGTCACACACAGCCAGCCAATGATGAAGCAGGACAGAAATTCAGATCAATCTGAAAACAGAGACCTAAACCACCTGGCCTGCTAGCTACTAGCTGGGCCAGAGCGGAGCCTCAGCGAGGAGAGCTTGTGCCCCCTCCTAGCCTACCTGGCCATGTTGTATCAATCTCCTCGGGCCTGGATTTGAGATGCAGTCATATCACCGAGCAGTCTTGAGGGGTGAGTAGGTGCAAAAGGAATGCTTGTAAACTCCCAAACTGCTTGGATCAAACCAACTCTGCTGTTTATAGTCCCGCTTCCTGGAGGTTTGTGGGGGTGTCAAGTGTGTGCGCCTGCGAGTGTTTGTGTATGTACATGGTCTGCATGTCTGGGATGCCTGCAAGGCTCTCAGTGGCCTCAGGTGTCAGAAGAATAGTGAACTTGGGCAAATGGCCAAGACTCAGTTTTCTCCAAGACTCAGTTTTTTTCTCTATAAAATGGAGATGAGACTCTCTCCCACCTGCCCCCTCTTCATCAGGCTATTGGAAGGGCTGGAGGAGACCATGGAGGTATAATCCTGGGTAAACAGCAGGGCTTAGAGAGGTCTACAGGCATTGTGTTATGTGTGTGTGTGTGTGTGTGTGTGTTTTCTATAACAAAGAGATTCAGAATTCCCAATCCCTCATTCCAAATCCAGAGAGGGCAGTAACTTTCCAAGAGTCACACAGTAAGTTAGGGAGTGTCTGGGACTCCCTGTGTGGCGTCCGCCAGATCACCGTGGCCACCCCATCTAAAACAGAAGCCCCCTGAATGTTCTTACTTCACAACAGCCTGAAGCTGATGGAAGTTTGAAGTCTTTCAGAGAGCCCCTAAGCTTATGAACTAGCACAGGGTCATCCCCAGCACCACCCAAACGCACACGCTTTTTTTGATTTTCTTGATCTAGAGACCTTTGCAGTGTGCTTTTGGAATAGGATGCAAGACAGTGGGAGGAAGAGAGGCAGCTCTTTTGGTTCATATATTTGGTCAACATGTGTGAAATTTTTCTGAGAGGGACTTTATGGGAAGGGGAAGCCCCTGATGGAAGGTTCCAGCATCACTGGTGACTGAGCAAATTTCGACCTTAAGATTCTTAAATGACCCACCCATCCTTTGAGAAATCCCTCCACCCTGTCGTCTCTGGATTAGGAAAGAATGTTTGGATTTGGGGTACAGCATCATTCCATCATAATTGCCATTTCCCAGCTCAGCTCACAAGTCCTGCTGAAGCAGTGAGCCGCCCCCTGACTTCTCCGGTCTAAGAACCTACTATCCCTGAGTAGACAGCCATTCAGTGATGTACTGAGTGTACTGAGCAGGCCCTACTTCTGCAGCAGGGCATGCTGCACTGAAAAGGGAAGCTGGAGACTGAGCCTCTGTGACCTGCAGACCCTGACTTGCCATCTGGGCCTGATGCCTTTTCTTCTTCCTGCAGGGGCACAAGGGGTATCCTGGACCTGCGGGGCACCCTGGAGAACAGGTGAGGGCCCCGACCTCAGCCCTGAACTGCCTGCTCTCCCTGGTTCCAGCCCCAGCCTTCCCTGGCCTCTTACCAGCACCCTGCTCTGAGTGAGCCCTGGGGCCAGGCAGTTTTGCCTCCCATCCTGCTGGGGCTCCTGCCCCACCTCTCCCCCAGTCACATCTGCCTGAAAGAGCTGGAGTCCATGCCAGCCCTGAGTTGGCTTGAGCCGCTCAACTCTGGTTAGAGCCATGAATAGCTGGCCTGTTCCAGGCAATGTTAGGGGATATTATACACGCCGCCATGGGGTTTGCAGGAATTTTGGCTGCCCTGGCCCAAGTCAAACAGCCTCCCCTGCCAGCGTGGAGAGCCAGCCAGGCCTCTTCAGTGCTTTCTTATTCCTGGGCCTAGGAGCCAAGGGGTTTTGTCCCTTCGATCTGGTCTGACCGGTTTTGCAGAAGGTGGGCTTGGGGACCCAGCAGACCCATGGCCTCCCCTCCTCCCTTTTGGATTCATCTCACATTCTTGCCTTTCTCTTTGTCCATTGTGAGCCCTCACTGCCTCCAGGTGGGAGCCAGCCAGACCAGGGTCTCTCCCTTATGTCTCTCTCTCTCTCTTCCTTTGCAGGGGCAGCCAGGACCTGAGGGCAGCCCAGGGGCCAAAGGTTACCCTGGCAGGCAGGTGCAGTATATGGCTTCTGGAAGCTCTGTGGCCATGGTGGTGTGGAGATGGCCATGGGTACCCCAAGACAGAGGGAGGTTGCAGGCTGGGGGCCAAAGAGCTGTGCCCACTGGGTGGGTCCCAAAAAAGGGGATTTCAGGGGGCTGGACCAAGGAAGTCTTGCTATACAGGCAGCCGGGCAGGGATGCTCAGCAAGAGAACTGAAGACAGGGAAGTTCTGGGACTGTGGGGGTAGGGCCCCAGAGGCTCCTCCAATGAGTTTCCCCCCTGATGCAAGGAAGGCTCAGTTTGAAGACCCCAAATATAGCCCCACTCTTGTTCTACAGAGGGGGCAGCTGATGCCCACAGGAGACAGGACTGGCCCTGGTTGTTGGCAGGAGGTAGAACGTTTCCATATGTCCTTGCCCCTCTGCCTTTTTTGTTCCAGGGGTTACCTGGACCGGTAGGAGAACCTGGCCCCAAAGGCAGCCGGGTAAGTGGCACACAGGTGGGATTCTGGGTAGGTATGACCTGTCCCCCAGGGGACCTATGTCTGATTGGGGCTGAAAGGTTCCCACCCGGTCTGTCAGAGAATCGGGGCCGAGACCCTCCCTCCTGAGCCCCCCCTGGAGAGCAGAGGAGCACAGGAAGGGTAGGTGATGGGGGACCCTGGAGCCCATGAGCCCATGAGCTATGTATGGCCCATGGCTATAGCTGTGGGCGTGGCCGTGCCCCAGCTACTAAAACCAGGCGCTGGCTTGCCATGTTCCTAGCACTTCTCCAGAGCTAGGGAACCAAAGCCAGGACACTTTGTGTGCTGTCTCTCCAGAGGCCTCTCCTGCTCCCAATTGGGGGGCTGGGAGGTGAGGATTGGGGGATACCACTTTTTGGAGGATAATGGTGCCTGAGGGCTGAATGTTGCCCCAGTCTGGAAGCTGATGGGCCATCTGCTCTCCATCTACTTCAAGGCCCCTGGAGCAAACCTTGAGCAGCCAGAAGGCTCAGTTTGCCCATCTTTACAGTGGCACATATCCACTCCTACCTCTAGCACGGTTGTGAGGATGCCAAGAATTTGGAAGCAGCGCTGCTGAGGAGAGGCTCCCAGGTGGGGGCTCCCAGGGGGGCTGTGGGCTGGTGAGAAGGTTCTGGGTAATTTGAATGTGAGTAAGTGTCCTTTAAATGACTGAGCGATGATCTTCTCTTTTACGTATAAGGAAAAGGGTTCCTGATGGGGACCAGATGCCCAGTTCACACTGCACACCTGAAGTGAACCTGGGACAAGGACCCAGTTGTCCTGAGGGCTGGGCTCTGCCTCTCAAAGAATGCTCAGCAAGTGGGTCACGGTCCTCGGCCAGTCCTGGTCTAGTGTGACGTGTCCTCTGCTCCTGAGCCAAAGCTATTTATGGCTGCCGTCTCGGCCTCAACCCCTGGAACTGGCAGGCGGCTATTAAGAGTGTGTCTGGAGGTGGCAAGGGGCTGGTGGGCCATTCCCCAGGACATGACGATGATGGTGGTGATCTGCCAGGGCCAGGGGCTCCCTAGGATACTGCACCTCCCTTCCTCGATCCAGCTGTGGTCCCAGAGGAAGCTTCTGAGTGCAGGAAGAAAGTCTTCTCAGTTCAGCCACCTGGGTCCTGATATGCCAGGAAGCAAGGCGGGAAGAGGGGTGCTTGACACCTGGGCTGCTTGACCAGGCCATGCTGGCGGTAGCTTGAGGCCATCCATATCTGGGGAGAGAGGTGATCCACCCCAGCATCCCCTCTTGGGGTCTCAGAGCCGGGAACGCTGGATGAGCAGGGTTGTTCAGGTCACCCTTCACCCTCCATACCATCCTCATATTTGTCAGAGAGATAGAGTGCAGGTCTGAGACCTGCTCTGCTGGGCGGTAGGGTCTTGAGCAAGTTGCTCAACCTCTCTGAGTCCTGGAATATAAGCCCTGCTTGGAAGGATCAGAAAAGGTATTTATCCCTCTGGATGCTGGGAAGGAGGCTTTGTGACCTTTTGACTTTGTGGGCAAGGAGAGATATGTGTGAGCCTATGTGGGTTGATTGATTGTAGGAGGCAGTGTAGGTGAGTGGTTAGGAACCTGGCCCGGAGCCGTTTCTACCACATTCCAACTGTGTGACCCTGGTCAAGACACTTCACCTCTCTGAGCACCCTTCTATAGGGGCTGAGCAATAACCTCTGCTTGCTGGGGGTGTAGTAAGGGTGAGTAAATGTTTTCGTGTGTGTGAGGGGGATCCGGCCTATGGTCTGCGGTCAATAAACATTAGCTTTTATTATAGTTATTATTAAGTATTCCACACACATCTAGAGAGTGCAGGCAGTGATAGGAACCTGGGACTAGGTCCCAGCCCTTGAGAAGTTCCCAGGCTAATGAGGACCAGAAACCCAAACACAGATGGTGAAGGTACAGTGGAGAAATTACTTAAATGAAATGCATTAACTGAAATACATTAAATACTGAAAATATTTAAATGCATTTAACTGAGGAAGAGATAAGAGATGGCTTGGGGTGTCAGGGTGCTTGCCAGTGGGAAGAGCTTTAGAGATGGGCTTTGAAGGGTTTGCACCATGGACCTGGGCATGGGCTGGGGCTGCCTACTGGAGGGCATAGCGTGACCAGAGGCTGGGAGGCAGAGTCAGGTGCATTCTGGGATGGTGCACCCCAGCTCCACTCCTGACTAGTGTGGCCTTATCCAGAGCCATGGTTTCCTGTGTGTCATGTAAGGGGGTGACAGCCAGCATGCATGGTCTGTGGAGGGCTGGACTTGGTGACACATGTGTTTGGCAGGACTTCAGAGGTGGGTGTGATGTGTGCATCTAGGGCCTGAGACACCTGGGGGGCATAGCAGGAGCTATGAGGCTCACCAGCGTTCCGGGGGTTGGTAGGACCCGGTGCTCCTCTAGCATCTAACACAGCCCCGAGCTTCCTTCCCGCAGGTCCCGGACCCCCGGCGCGGGGCGGGCCTCCCGCTGCGAGTGCCCGCACCCTTCCCTGGTGTGAGGGTATGTGCCTTTGGACTACATCGTGGAAGCCAGCACCATGCAGTCCATGGGCATATACACTTGCCTCAAGGCCTATGTCTTCGAGGAGCCGCCGGAGCCACTGCTGCCACCAGCAAGGAAGAGGAACCAGGGTGTGGGAGCCGTGGGGGAGGCCTGGGATGGGTCGGCCAGCCACACTACCCCATCGCTCAGCACCTCTGATTCCCCACCTGCTCTTTCCTAGGGCTACATTGGACTCCCAGGGCTCTACGGCCTGCCAGGTTCCGATGGAGAAAGAGTGAGTGGGCTTTCTCTACTCTCCCTCCCATCCAATCACCCTCTTTGCCTGGGGGAGTCATGGAATTCCTCCTGGAGGAGGTGCCCCTGAGTTGAATAGGAGTCCACTAAGGGAGCAAGTCACGACTTGGGGACAGCGTGTGAGGCAGGTAGAGGGGGAGCCGAGGCTGGAGGGGACACCTACCATGATCTTACACAGCACTGGGGGGCCAGGTCAGGAAAGGGCCTCTACTCTGAGTACATGGGGAGCTTCTGAAGGGCTGTCAGCAGATAAGAAATGGGCCCACTTTATGTCTCAGATCAAGTGTCTGTAAACCACAGCCCACGGGCCCAATCTGCTCCTTGTCTGTTTTATAGTTTCATTGAACATACCATGCTCGACTGTCTACGCATTGTCACTGGCTGCTTCAGCTCCTGGGACAGAGTTGAGCGATTATGACAGAAGTCCATGGGCCTCTGGACTGTCTTCTCCGTCCCCTCTCAGCCTGGGCCCATTTTGGGGAACTCAGTTGTCAACTCCTCAACAAGCTGGTGTAGAGATTCTTAGGAAATCAGAGGCGCGTTTGTTGAGCAGAATATCAGGAATGTGGGGTGCCTTCCTAAAGAGTCTCCCAGCTCAGATCCATGCAGACCCCAACCCTACAGAAGGACCGTCCATCGAGGCGCCCATAACTGGTGCATGTGGCCTGCATGCTGGACACTCTGATGTCCTCTTGTTGGCGGCTCGGGTGGGTGTGGGCAATGCTAGCCGTCCCCATCGCAATCCTGACCTGACCTCTTCCCTGTCTCTCCCCCTATAGGGTCTGCCTGGCGTTCCTGGCAAGAGGGGCAAGATGGGTAGGCCGGTAAAGATTTTCCGTGTCTATTATGCACAGTCTTTGGGTGAACCTGACCTCCCAGTGGCCATGCTGCCCATCTGCCCACAGCCCGGGTGCATTCTCTGTTTCTGTGCTTGGCTGTCACTCTGCTTCAAGTGTGAGGGCAGGCATGTGGGCTATCAGACTTCATGTCCTGCAGCCAGAAAGCTGGGTGGCTGCTGCTTGACTGGGGCTGGGGTCTCCCCTGGGCTCTGGCCACCTCTGGGACATTCCCATGTTGTTGCCCTGCTGTTAGCTCTGCATCTGGGGGGCTTCTGCTATCTAGCTAGTCAGTGTCCATGATCTGCTCAACCTGGGGGATCGTGACCCTGTCAGGGTCCCTGCTCCCTTTTCAGAGGACACTCAGTTTCTTTGTCATTTGAGCATCACTCCTTTAGTGCAGACATGAGACCAGAGGGCATGGGGTGTGGAGTTAGGCCCAAGAAGGCAGGACCCCAAAAGGAGCTCTCCAGGTGCCCCCAACCTACCGACTTTCCCATGAGACACCATCATGGCAGGAAATTGGGTTCCTCTTGTTTGGGTGTCTGCAGGCCAGGAAGAAGAAACTAAGGTGTAGAGGGCTTGGGTGACTTGTCCACAGCATCCCAAGTGTGAGTTCTAACTCAGTTCATCTCTAGGACCTCTGATCTCAATTGTTCCCTCTCAGATTCACTGGTTGTTGATCAGGTTGTACAAGTGGGTTCCTAGAATCTTCACTTGGGAGAGAATTCTCATTTGTGACCTTGTTCTTCACAAGGGTACACTGAGACTGTGAGGCAGTGATCTGTCCAGGGTCCTGCTGTCTGGTGTCCTCTGTGGGTGCGGAAGTCTGTCCGCTGTCTCCCTGCAGGTAGCTCCCAGGCTTGGAACAATCATCACCTCCGTGTCTGGGCTCTCCTCTGCTTATGGTTGATGAAGAAGGGACTTGGGGGAGTTGAACTTGAGAGGTACCTGGAGAGGAAGCCAGGAGCACTCATGGTGCCCTGTTCAAGGGCAACTTACCACTACCTGCAGTGAGTTCATCTGGGTCATCTGGGGGGACCAAGTGAGTGTACAAAGAAAGATCCAGGTTCTGACCTTCAGGAGCTGCCAGAGGAGGCATCTCACGCTCAGACCTAGGTCTGTAGCCCCACAGGTCCTCGGTGCCCAGAGGTCTAGCACCTGACACCTAGATTTGGCCAAGGAGCGGCACCTGATATCTAGGGAAGGCCCTGGAGTCTCACAGGGCTGGGTGGCAGCTGAATCTGCCCTTCAAGTCTCTTGGGCCCCTCAAGTCCCTCTATCCACACACACATTTGTCCATTCATTTAATCAATAGCTATTGAATGTCAACTTTGGACCAGGCATTGTTGTTGGTGCTGAGAAGTGATCAAAACAAAGTTCCTGTCCTCATGGGCAGACAAACAGACAGACAATGATGGAATGGGAGAATGAAGAATGAATGACTGAATGTTAGATAGTGCCAAGTATTAGGATAGAGTAGGTTAGGGGAACACTGAGTGCCTGGGGTTTGAACTGGCAGATAAACTGGTCCAGGAAGTCCTTCTCATTTCCCAAGTTGTCTGAATGAGGTGGAAATGGGCACCATGTGTCTCTCTGCTTTCTGGGGAAGAGCATTTCTGTTGCGGGAACAGCAGGCACAGTGGTCCTGAGGCAGAAACATTATTGACTCAAAGTCTGAACTACAGTTTTCCATCTGCGAAATGAGGATAATAGCTTCTAGGTCATAGTGTCATAGTGCTTTTCACATAGTGTTACCTACTAAATCACATAGTGCCTGTCACATAGTAAGTGCTCAATAAATAGTAGCAGTAGTTTTTCCTATTTGGATGGCTGTGTTTCTCTGTACTGTGTGATTCTGAGCTGATGGCTTGACCTCTCTGGGTCTGTTTTCCTGAAGTTTAAGTTGTAGAGTGGGGGCAGTTGATTTTTTAGATTATCTCAGCGGGTCCCTGTTCCACTACCCAGGCCTGCCTCCAAAGTCATCCATGGAGGATTTGCCTAGTCTCCCTCATGGGAGCCTCACAGAGGGCTGGGTATGGGATACAGATGAAGAGATCAAATTTCAGGACTTGAATGACTTGGCTTCCGAGAATCAGAACTGGGTGGGAGTGTAGCTGCCAGAGCTCTCCCCTCTGGCCCCAGAGTGCAGAAACTGAGGCCAGAACAGATTAAGGTTCTTAGCTGGGGTTATACCATAAGCTGGGGATGTGGTCCCCAGTGTCCCAGGCTGGAGCCAGAGGTCTCCCAGAGCTGGGGGTGACCCTGGAATCCTGGTGAGAAGTCTGCTTGCCTCTCTACTCCTGCTTCTCTGAGGTGACTCTTGGGAATGGGTTCCCCAGTGGATTTCAAAGAGGGCAGAGTAACAGTGTGCTCAGAATCACGGAAGAGGGTGCCGGGAAACTTGGGGTCTCTCCGCCTCCACATGCTTGGAGCTCACACATCTGGGAAAGAATATGGCCTTTAAGTGCAGTGGGAAGGATGCAGCTGTGAGGGAGCATCCTGATTTTGGAGAATTTAAACACTGGTAAGAGGTCACAAGTTCCTTCTGTGGGCTCTTCCTAGAAGTTCCGAAGTATTCCCATTCCAGTCCCAACCCCAGCTAGCGTGTGCCAGGGGCTGGCTCACGGACATCTCCCTTCTTCAGCCCAGCTCTGCCGGGTTAGTTGGACAGGACTGACCTGAGGCCCAGGAGCTGGTCTTAGAGACAGCAGCAGGACTTCTGATCCTGGAGGTTCCCTATGCCCCCTGGGCCTACATCCCGCACTCTGGAATAAGCCCTTGGGGTAGACACTGCGCGGAAGCAGGGGTGAGGATGAGCTGGCCTTCAGTCCTTGGCCTCCTGCCGCAGATGCTGAGACCTCCTGTCTTCACCTCGGTTCCTTGTGACTGCTATAGCCAAGAGAATGTGGAATCTCATCCCGGAGCCTGGTTCTGTCTTCTCCTGATCCTTGTTCTGCTCAAAGTACCAGGTGTCCAGTTCCCCAGAGGACTCCCTGTCCTGGGGAGGTGGAGAAACCATGTGGCGGGGGCCCCAGCAGTGTGCTGAACTCATTCCTTGGGCCTCAGGCCAGACTGCTATAGCCGGGTTCTTGGTCCCGCTGCTGGCTTGGCGCATCAGGTACAGGCTGGACAGAGGGTGCAGCTGGGGTGGAAGTGGGGCCGCATGTCCAGCTCTGTGCCTGCCTCTCTCTGGAAGAGCCCTGGGACAAGTGTCAGAAAAGGGACGTGGCACTCAGTAGAAGACGCGTGAGACAGGGCCCTAGGGCATGTTCTGGGTTTCCTCCCTGTTGGCACAATAAGGTGTTAAGAGTCGAGAATATCAGGGTCTTTCTAGCTGAATCTTTGATAGGATTGAATCAAAGATTTGTTGCAGCACTTTTAAAGATGCTCTCTTCCCCTCCTCCCCCAACCATTACATTCTAACAGCAAACCCCAGATTCCTGGGGGTCACCTGTGTGACTCCTCCGGAGCAAGGGAGATGAGATGGAGACAGGCTGGGTGCAGCAGAACCGGTATTCAGTGTCATCAGTAAAGCTGTTTTCTTGTGCATAAGCCCAGGGCCATAAGCAGCCTTCTGAGATGAGAGCCTTTTCTATTTGCCCAGCTAAGAAAAAGAACAGCCTCTGGAGTCAGACTGCCTTCCTATTCCAGCTCTATTACTCCATAGCTGTGTGACTTTTGACAAGTTCCCTATCCTCTTTGGACCTCAGTTTCCTTGTCTCTAAAATGGGGTCAATAATCCAATCTTCTCACTAGACTGTTGTTCTCATTATTACTGTCCCCCCATCATCACCCACTGGCTATGCCTGGGCTGAATGTTGTCTGTGGAAGGGACTCCCTTTTGGATTTTGGCCATTCTGACGCTCTCTTGTTGCTCACACCTCAGGGACATGCCCCCCGTTGCTGTAAATCTCCATGTGCCTCCACAGCTCAGCTCATCCTTGGCCCTCCCCATTCTACAGCAGGGAAAATGGAGGCTTGGAGAGGTGCAGCCAGGACTGGCCCTGGGTTGCTCTGGGAGGGCGGGAACAAGGAGTGAGTGACCTCGAGCCAGCCCAGAGTAGCCTCTGGATGCAGGTGTGTTGGTCCAGCGCTGCCCGTGGATCCTGGGTGTGAATATCTTGGGCATTGAAGGCAGGGTGGGTGGTCTTCCTGGGCCTGGAAAAGAGTCTCCTTCCCAGGCCTCCTCTAAGGGTTGTGGACCCTGAAAGGGTACATAGACATCACACACCCTGGACAGAGCAGGTCAGAGGCTGGGGTGACGGTCTGCCTGAGGTCACAGCCCACAGGGGAGTGAAGGCTAGTCTCGGGCTGTCTCTAGACAGTGAACTTAGAGGGCAAAGCCTGGACTTCTCACATCCTGCCCCTTGTGGGCCATGTGGAGTTGGTCAGGTGCCAGCTCCACCACATCCCCCTTGTCTCCCGAGGATCAGCCCCACCCCAACTTTCAAAGACCAGGAGTGGGAACTCAATTCCATCAGAAGGTTACCATGAACACAGCCCACCTGACTGATGGCTTCTGTCCCAGGAGGTGAGAGGATCTGCTTTACAACATGACTAAGGGGACTGCATTGGTGTAAGGGGAGACACCCCAAAGACGTAGGGAAAGGAATCTTAGAGTCAGATGTACCCTACAATGGCTTGACCTGAAGATGGGTCTTTACACACAGACACACAGATACCCAGACATACACACACACAAACACACACACACACACACACCATTCCTCCCTCTGAAACCAGTTGGGCACACATTCAAGCACCTTCCACATGCCAGGATTTGCCCATGTACAGCTCACATGAACTAGGCAGAGTCCACAGAGATGAATCTTAGCTCTGCCACAGATTTGCTTTTTGACCTTGACCAAGTGACATAACCTCTCTGAGCCTCCTTGTTCCCCATCTGTTCAACAGGACTGATGACTTTCCCCTCCAGGGTAGATGTCAAGCCTAGTGAGATCTGCATGCAGAGTGACCTGCTTGTCTGAATCTCATGGTTATGTCCTCGTTGCGTCCTTTGGGTATCTGAATCCTGAAGCCACCCCTCCTGTGGGGTGAATGCCAACCCCTGCCCTCCTGTTGCAAAGGAGCTTCCTGACAGAGAAGGAGTTGGGGTTGGGGGGCGCTAGGATCCCTGGCAAGACAAGGTGCAGGCCTGGGTACACACATATTTGAGTCTTGGCTCAGCAGTATGTGATTGTGTCCATGACAATACATGACAAGTAAATGAGTTCTGTTTTCCGATTTGGTCTTTCTGCTCTGGTCTGCTCACTGTACTCACTGTTCATAAGGAACCGGAGACCCTGTGTCCTCCATGAAGAATCTTTGCTGTTTGAACAACTCAGGCATTCACTTGCTCAGAAAAACACATGCTTTGCTTTTTTTATAAAATTCTCCTGACAAAGAAACAATTTGAATCCAAGGAGGGAAGGAGAACAGGTTTCCCTAAATTCCAAGCTCAAAGACTTTCTCTTCCCTTGGAGGTAGAATAGAGTTATCTCCCCCAGCCCCAGGCCCCAACCATGGATGTGTTTCTAGCTGCCTGTCCTCCCCAGAACGTGGCCAGTGGGGTCAGGGATGGGCAGGGGCCTAACCTGCCAGGCTGGGCGGCCTGGCCTCTCTGCTACTGAAGCTCACCTGTGGCAGGGGTGCTGTGTTGCCCGGTGGTGTGACTTTGACACTTATTCTTTTTGAGCCTCGCTTTCTTTATCTGTAAAATGGGGATCATGACTCCATCAGCTAATTTTTGAGCAGTGATCACAGAAGGGCTGAACAGGAAAATCCACAGAGGCCTTCCATTCCTTGACCAGTGGGGAAACTGAGGCCCATGGAGGAAAGGGGTAGTCTTAAAACTCTTAGCAAGTCAGTGACTGGTCCAGGCCAAGACCAGTTCCCTACCCTGGTTCATGTCCTTTTCCCTGCATGGAGGCCATACCTCGGACTGCGGGGTGGCCCTTGTGTGCTGGAGAGCCGGGTACCATGCTCTTTTCAGAGACTCTGAGTAGGTAGGAAGAGGCCTCGCTGGCCGTGTACCCTTCCGCAGTAGTCAGGTCTTGAGTTCTGTATGTGGTATGTTTGCTAGTGACACAGGAACCCACTCTCCGCCCAGATCCCCAAACCAAGATGTGAGACTGTGTAGAAAGTCCTGTGTGCCCTGGGGGTCTGATCAGAGCCACCTGTAGGTAGAAATGCTAATCAGCACGAGTCTTCTTTCTCATGCCTTCAGGGATTTCCCGGAGACTTTGGAGAAAGAGGCCCTCCTGGATTGGATGGAAACCCTGTAAGTAATTTTTTTTTAAGATTTATTTATTTACACATACAAGAACTGGGGTACAGGCCAGAGGTGCATGGGGTGGGAGGATTCACCAGAGACAGTGTGGGGAGCAGAATAGGCAGACTGAAAATACACTCTGAGGGGTGCAGCAGGCGAGACAGGAGAGGTCTGCTGTGCCATGTGGGTCAGCTCCCTGGCTGGGGATTGAACTCGTGCTGCAGAGGCTGTGGATAGCTTCACAGTGCTGTGCTTAACCCTTGCGCCACTAGGGAGGCCCCCCATAAGTATTCATGAAAAGCTTTGGTGGGTACAGGAAAAAGATTTAGAGCAAATGCACAACAGATTTTAAGAAGTCAAGCTTTGGGGTCAGATAGACCTGGGTCACTCTGAGTCCTTGTGGCTGGCTGCTCTTGGACAAATTGCATAACTTCTCTGAGCTCCAGGCTCCTGTCTACTAGGCATACCCTGCTGGCCCCCCAGGAAAGTTCTCCAACCTTCTGAGTCCCGAGCTGTGCCCCATCCCCAAGGACTGAGGAATGTTCTTGAGTCACTCCCCACTGGGGAGGTTAGGGGTGCCACCCTCTTTCAAAGTGTTTAAGGGCTGGCAATGGCCTGGGGGAGCAGACGGGATTGCAAGCCCTGTATGGAGAGAAGACTGGAGCTCTAAAGATGTCTCTAGCGCAGGCATGTTTATAGAGTTTGTAAATAATCAGAGGCCCATTGAGGAGCCAGGTCAGCCTGCCCTTCAGAGCTGAGTCTTCCTGTCCCAGCTCCAGGCTTGGGCAGAAGAGTACATTTGCTCCCCATTTGGGGGTGCAGACCATGTCCAGAGCCTTTTGGAATACCTGCCACGTTCCCCCACCTCTCTTGGAGCTTCCTGCCTGAGCAGCTGCACCCAGCTGTGCCCTCTGCAGAGGTGGCTGTTAGCTCCATAGTCAGCACCTGATTATGTGCTAATTTTAATTCCACAAATGCTCCCTGAGCCTGACCAGCTGGGACTGCCCCCCAGGCTTCCCTGGAGACTGAAACCCAGTGTCAGAGCCAGCTGAGTTGAGCTTGAATCCTGCTCCACCACTTGCCTAGCCTGGATGCTTGAACCGATCAGTTTATCTCTCAGAATCTGTTTCCTTTTCTGTAAATCTGGGAATCAGGATGCCAGTCTCAGGATGCTGTGGGGAGAAGGAAATGAGAGAGGGCAGGGAAGGAGTCCAGCCAGACAAGAGTCCCCTGGGCAGGGTGTTTATAAATAAGAGGTAATAGTGGGGCATAACTTCTGTCCTTGAGGAGCTCACAACTACGTCCCCAGCCTATCCCACAAGGGAGAATGAGCTGGGTGGGATCCAAGGGGTCCTAGGTGCTATGGAGGAGGGAGAGGAGCAGGGAAGACTCCTGGAGAAGGTGACTTTGGGATTGGGATGAGCAAAGAGTTGAGCGAATCTTCGAGGTGGAGGGAAGAGCACCAGCAAAGCTATAGAGGTGAGACCTCAGAGCCTTTCCTTCAACTGTCACTTCTTGGATTCACCATTATTGTCTGTGGTGTCATCCTAGAAGTTCTCTTGGGGGCATCTTTGTACTCATGGCCTAGAGTTATAGAACGAGGGCCTGAGGTCTGGTTCCAGGTCACTTTCCTTCCCTGAGCCTCAGTGTCTCATGTGAAAGTGAAATCTACTTCCCACCAACTCCTGGCCTTCTCCATGGCTGTAGTGGTGATGTCCCATCTGAAGAGCCTTGGGCCTGTACAGATGAAAGAAGACAACCCCCCTGGGGTTGTTGGCAATTCTCAGTGATACTATCCTTTCTAGTGCCCCCTATTTTTAGTCATACTTTTGCAATTTGAACTTGATCCAAGTCCCACCAGTTTTTTCTGGTGAAAGCAACTGAAGGTCCACTTCCAGAGATGAGGACATAGAAACTTGCCTACTACCACTCATTCTCTCTTCCCAACTCCCCAGCATCCAGGGGGTCCTGAAGGTGGAAACCTGAGAGCCTCCTGGCAAAGCAGAGGGCTCTCTAAGCACCCCAGCCCTTCTTGACAGAGAGAGGGAGGGAGGGAGCCTTCACAACTGAGTTGTTTCTTTGCTCTGAGCCTTGGGAAGACCACTGGCCAAGTTTCCCCATTTATAACGTGTGGGCCAGGAGAGGACTCTACTCCCATGATCAGGATTCCACCCATCCTTTCATGCTGAAAATTGGAAGATTCTAGAATTGGAAAGGCTGTGGGAAGAAGGAAATGAGAGAGGGCAGGGGAGGAGTCCAGCCCAAACAAGAATCCCCTGGGCAGAGTGGTTATAAATAAGAGGTAATAATGGGGCATAATTTCTGTCCTTTACATCCATTACACCTCTCCGTGTTATGAATGTAAAAACTGATGGAAGAGACAGGAAGGGTCTTTTCCAAATTCCAGGCCAGGATAAGGGCTTCACAGGTCAGCTCCAGGAAGTCAAAATCAGCTTCAGAAGATTCCACAAGATGCCTGCACGAGAGATGGGGTGCAAGAAGTGGCCCCAGAAGGAAAAGGGCAAGTCACCACCATGGTCTCTTTCTATTTGCAGGGAGAACTCGGCCTCCCAGGGCCCCCAGGAGTCCCTGGACTCATTGTAAGTACACAGGTGCCTGTGGGCGGTGAAGGGGGAGGCTGCATATGGTCAGCCAGTGACAAACCCTGCAGGGGAGTCTGAAAAGGTCCCTCTCTCATCAAACTCTAGAAGAAACTAGAGGGTCAAGAAAGGCCTGTTGGGAAGGCGCTGAGGGAAAAAGTCCCTGCTGTATGGCCTCAGGTGGTTACCTACCTTTTATAAGCCAGTGGTTGTGTCCATCCTTTTCTTCAGAGCGCTGACACTGGAGCCAGACCACCTAAGTTCAAGTCATAGCTCTGCCAGATCCTGACTGTGTGACCTGGGCCAAATCACTTACCTTCTCTGAGCTTTAGTTCCTCATCTGAAATATGGGGATGATGGCAGAATTCTCTTTGGGTGGGAATGAAGATTAAATGAGGCATGGCGTGTACAGTCCTTGGCACAGGGTCTCACACTCAGAAAGTGCACGATTAGTGGGAAATATGGTATATTAACAGTTGCTGTTACCTCCGACAGTGCCCGGAACTGGCAGAGGCCTGTAAACAGGGAGGCAGGAAGGTGGGAGGGGATCTGCGCTGACTCTACCCAGGTTGGGATAGCCTCACGGAGTGCTCAACCAGGACCCACCCCGCCCCCATTGGACCTTCAGAGAGCAAGCCTTGACCTCGGGCTTGGTTCAAAGGACCATGAGACTCCTGAGCCTGCGAAATGACTTGGCGCTTCCCCCTGTGTCTGATCCTCCTCTGCCCTGTGTTCTGGGTCATTCCTCATGGGGTTTCAGTCTGGGGGACACAGTGACACAAATAGACCCATTCTCCAGTTTTACAAATGGGCTGCCAGCTTTGGCCGTTCCGTTAAGAAGTTTTGTACAGAGGGAGGCTGGAGAAGGTGCCAGGAGTATTGGGTGGTCCCCATTGCTCAGGGAAGGCCAGCCTTGGGAAAGGGACCTAGAGGCCCCAGTGGCAAATGTGCTCCTGATCAGGGAGTTAGGAGCAAAATCAGGCAGGTGGGGCGTAGAGGGTCAAATTAGCCTGTCCCAGTTCCGTCTCGCCTCCTCCTAGTCTCCTGACAAAATGTCAACACCTGAGTCATTCATTTGTCATCCCTGATGTCCTCTGCTGAGAACCTTCTTTGGCACAAGGTGTTGACCTAGATGCTTTGGAAAAAGAAATATCTGCAATGAGAGTTAGAGAACCTGAGTTGGTGGGGACTCAGCAGGCTCTAGATCCACCTTCTCTAACCTCAGCAGGAGAGCCTTCTGGAACTTCTTGGTCAAAGGGTCATTAAAATCCAACTGGAATACCCTGGTGTGGGGAGCTCCCTTCTGTGGGAGCTCAGCCCGTTTGAACAGAGCTTTCCTTGTTCAAGGTTTCCTGTGCGTGGGGCCCACAGCATCTCCCTGTCCCTAAGAGAGGCTGTTTGAGATTAGAGATGGTGATTGTGTTCCTCCCAAAGTTCCTTCTTCAGGTCATGCCATCACGCTTCCCAAAGTTTTGCTCCCTTTGCTCTCTGCTCTTCGTGTTGCCAGATAAAATACAAGACGCCTGGTGAAATTTGAATTTCGGCTGCAATTAAATATGCTAAAATAGCGTTCACTGTTTACCCGGCATTCAGATTTAACTGGGCATCCTGTGTTTTCACTTGCTTCATCTGGCAACCCCATTTGTAGTATTTCTTAGGAAAATCCCATCTGGCAGATGGGAAAACTGACGCCTTTGGTCAAGATCCCTCAACAAGGCAAGAGAGAACAGAGGCATGATCGGAGACCATGGCTCCCCACTCCCAGTCCAGGGCACTCCTCTCTTGCCCCCTCTCAGGGCCCTGAGCTGGGAGTGAGCCCTGGGCCTCCCTTCATTTCTCAGTCTCTGCACACCAACCCCCCTCCGGTGCTCCTTTCCAAAGAGTTGATCCATCCTTCTTTGTCTCCCTCTTGTCCAGTGTCTTTCCCTGACATCTTTCAGCCTCACTTCCCCTTGGTTTTAAATTCCCTTTCGCCTTGTGCCTGGGTGGCGGCAGCGGGCGTGGGGGAGTGTCACAGCTGGCTGTGAGCCTGCCAAGTCACTGTGTGCTCCTGAGCCAGAGCCCTCCCCCACCCAAGGCACCCCTTCCTTCCCTGGAGTTTTAGGACCAGCTACTTCTGTGCCTGGGGAAAGATTTGCCTCCCAAAAAGTTGGAGAGGAAAGGATTTTTCTAACCAGGCGTTAAAGGGGAAGAGGGATGGTGAGTCACCTACGGTTTTCCAGCGGATGTGGGTTTTCAGCTGAGCAAATGGGAATTCCACGTATTGATAATCATTTTAGTGGCAATTCAGATTAATTCAATGTCTTCTGTCTAGTCAGTTGAAGTAATTTCCATCAGATGGAGCCGACACTTCCCTGCTACTCCCCTGGGTCCTTGCAGCCGGGAGGAAGGGCGCGAGAGGACAGACTAGCATTTGTGGCGCGTCTGTCTGCTCTGTGTGTGCTTGACATACATTAGGCTCTGGGAGCCTTGAGATATTTATTTGAGGCGGATGGCGGCTGCCTGGTCACCCAGATGGAGTCGCTGCGGCTCAGCTCCCCAGGACCTGGACTTGCCACCCAGGTCCTTGTGCCCATGATTCCATTAAGCCGCTGTGGCCCCCTGCCATCTTGAAAGAGCCCCCTTTGAGAAATTGAAGCCCCTTGACTGCACCTCAAGAAAAATGTGACCGATTCCAGAATCTGCTCAACAAAGATTTCTGTCTTCTTCACACAGAGGGAAGTTTGGCTCCTCCATTTAAGGAGTCACAAAGAATATGTGATCAGGCCAGAAGCCCACATGTGGGCTATGGTGGGCTTGTCCTCCGCTTTCTGTCACTGAGTGGTCATCTGGCTTTATTTCTTTGTCCATAAAGCAAGGTCAGGACCCCCATAGCTGGCATTCACCAAACCTTCCTGTGCTGGGTGCTGTGCTAAGTGTGGAATCCTCACAGCCAGTCCCTGAGCTTGGGGAGTTAAATTGCACACATGGGAAAGGGAGGCTCAGAGAAAGCTCCCACTGACACCACCTGTGCTGAGTGGAGACACAGGAGAGAGAGAGCATGGCCTGGGCAGTGTCACGGCTGTTCCGTGTGAGGGATGTGAGGAATGGGCTTATTCAGACCACACAGGAGCCAGCACTGGCCACAGTGCCCACGCCCCCGACCTCAAGCTGGGAATCTCCATCAGAGTGTTTGGAAAGAGGCCTTGTTGCCTTCCTAGTCAGTGTGTGTTTCTTGATTCCCCATTCATTAAGCCACTTGGGGTAAGCACCGCCTCAGGCACCAGCAGGAGGTGGCCACATGGGCACACACATCAGGGCCATTAGCATGGACAAGACTGAGGGGAAAGCCACGTCAGGGCATGACCTGGCTTCTGGGGTCAGGAAGTGATGTCAGCACGTGGGCGGAGAGACAGGGGCAGCAATGCCAGGAGTACAGGGTGTAGTAACCAGTGGCGGAGGGTGTCCCAGCTACAGACAAACAGGAAGGTCAGGTGTGTGAGTGAGGGGGCCCTGTCATCACTTCTGCTGTGGCACATGTACTCTAGAAGCAGCCTGGGTTTTCTTACAGGGGTCCCCAGAAACCCCCAGGCAGGAAACCTGCTAACATGTAGCACAGGCCCTATACTCACTCCTATTTCTGAATCTCAAGGCGTTCCTTGCCAGTGACCATAGTAAACACGGCAACTTATGAGCATGGATGGCAGGTCTGGACAGACAGACAGACCTGGCTTCTGCTCTCAGTGCATCTACCCTTCTTGCTTTATGCCTGTTTTCTCATCTGTGAAATGGGATGAGACCAGTGTTGCTGACCTCATGGAGTCACTGAACTGTTGGGGAACGTCCCAGCGGCCAGCTTCACTCCTGGCACAGCGTAAACTCTCATCTTGCTAAAGAGGATTTGATGAGACTTCAAAGTGTCTCACACCCTTTAAGCACTTGCAGATGTGGTTGGTTGTGTTCTTGGTGGGAGTCAGCCAGATGAAGGGCAAAGTATGTGGGGTGGTATCTGGGAGCTTAGGCAAAGTGGAAATGATCCATTACTTGTTCTTTCTTGAAGGCACACAGCATTCTGTGTGTTGTGTGGCCAAGCTGCCCATGGAGGTGTCCGGCACAGAGCAGACTGGTGCTCTGCCAGCTGTATGATGGGAAAGTAGCTTGGAGTTTTCTCTGTTCTTCCTGCAAATGCTTTTACAGCCTAACATGGACAGAAAGACCAGTTCTAAGTGAGCCTCACTATCTCCGTGTGCCTTACAGCCAGAGGTCATTTCTCAAGGATTCCTTACCCCTTGGGGTGGAGGCCTACACAGATCCCTGTCCCAACACCACCCCTTTGGAGAGGCCTGCAGAGATGGCAAGTATGTTCAGGGGTGTAGGACTGCAATAGCACCCGGTATTGAATTATGTCCCCACCCAACAAACCACCTTCAGGCTGGAGCAGGAAGAAGAAGTCTGTGTTCCAGAGCTGCTGCCTGGTGGTCTGTCCTTTCCCTGAGGCCTGGGGTACTTTGGAGCCAGCAGAGCTACCCTTCTTATTTGTGGACCACAGAGAATTTTGGGTGGTTACCCTTCACCCGCTTCATCCAGGAAAAGCAAGGAGAGAGGAGCAGCAGCCAAAGGGCCAAGGAGAGCAGTACAACTCTCTGCAGGGCTGATGTTCCTCTGATTCTGGCCTTTCCTGGCCAGACAGCTCAGCTTCTTCACCCCCAACTCTCCTTTCTCTGCCGAGATCACCTCCTAAATGCATAGGCGCTCTGGAGAGGGACTGCCTGTATGAGTCCCAGCTTTGCCTAGCTCCATGATTTTTGTAAGCCCTGACCTCTCAGGACCTCAGTCTCCTCCTCTGTGAAATGGGGATGGTGTAGAACTGCTCTTTAAGGGCTGGTGTGAGGCATAGCCTAGCCAGGTATGTGATGTGCTGGCAGGGCGCCTGGCCTTCAAACAACATGGGTGTGAAATGTGTCCTTCTACTTAAAAGAGGGTTTTTTTTTTTTTCTTCAGTAAATATATCCATATTCACAGGTTCCACATTCACAGATTCTAGCACCCATGGGTGTCTTTTGGTTGAATCCCTGAATGTAAAACCTGAGATCCAGAGAGCCAAGTGAGGACTAGAGCATCCTGGGATTTTGGCATCCATAGGGGTTCCCTAAGTCAACCCCCAAGGAGACCAAGAATGACTATAGCTCAGTTTTTGGGAAGTCAGTTGTTACAGTCAGGTTTTTGGCTGCATGGGGGTTGATCCTCAAGTTGTTCATCTGTACTCTGACCATCTATTGAACAGAGCCCCCACTTTCTCAATGGGGAGATTACTTGTTGGGAACTAAAAGTAGAATTTCTTAGCATAGCTTCAGTTAAAAGGTTCTGTTTGATGCAGTCAGGTGGGAATCCAGAGGTTCTACAGAGGGCAAGTGATCTGCCCAAGGTCACACAGCCCGTCTAGGCTGGGGCCACAGCCAGACTCCAGCCTCCAGCTTTCAGCCGCTGCCTCTGCTGAGCTCAGTCCCTCTGGTTGGGGATGGGGAGAGAATTGGCATTGCCTCGGCCTGGCCACGCTGCTGTCTCTGACTGTTTGGCCTCTGTGTTCCTCCACCACACAGGCCTCTGCGCCTTTCTGCAGGAGGCAGGCGGGAATGGGATCTTGTCTTCTCTGCGCAGACTGCCACTAACACGTCTGCAGGAATTTGGGAGAGTAACTGGCTCCCCATACCGAAGCCTGACAACCTGGCACAACTTTGTTCTTCTCATGCTTCAGAACACTTGCTGGGGTCTCCATGGAGCCTGACTTGGGAATGGGGAAACTGAGGCCCAGAGTGGTCACACTCATTGATTGATCTTACACATCAGCTAAAAGCTTAAATTAGTCACAGGGTGTGGAAAAAGGAAAAGAAGAAAGTATTTTCAGAGACTTCTTTTCTCACGGCGTGGACTTCATGATATGATCGTGTGGACATTAGTGGTGTAAGCAAACATGTGGAGATTTGAGGAAAAGGGACTGGGCTAGTTTAGAGAAAATGCAATTGCCTCTTTACTTTAGACCAGATTTCTCACTTGGGCACACTTGATATTTTGAGCCTGCTAATTTCGGTTATGGGGCCTCCTCCGCTAGATGCCAGTGCCACCTCTTCTGCTGCGCCAAGTGCTTTGCCCATGTAAGTCTGCTAGTCCTTGAAACAACCATAGAGGCACGTAGATTGTTAATCACCACCTGCTAGATGAGGAAACCAAGGCACCGTGAGGCTAAGTACCCCAAATCACAAGAGGAACAGCTGAAGAGATGAGACCAGGTGGTCTGACTGTGGTCTGCACTGGAGCGCTGCATCCCAGCCTTTCTGGAACCCTCCATGAAGAGCATCTGCCAAGGGAAACTAGCTCCCCAGGGTCTGGGAACTCCACTGCTCTCACCCTGGACAATGAGCTCTGATCCGAAGCTGGGCTCCAGCCTGTGTCCAGGATCTGCCAGCTGATCTTGGCACCAAGTGGGTCTGTCTCCAACTTGGGAGTGGCAGGGATTGACAGACATGCTCCCAAGGAGCAGCTGAGCTTTGGGAAGCAGAAAGCACCTCTCCCTCAGTAGGCTTGGAGAACAAGGCTCTTGTGTCTGCCTTAGTGGGTCTTTGTAGCAACTCCTGGCAGGAGGGATCGCGGGCCTCATCTTAGACAAAGGGAGAGTGAGGTCCAAGGAAGTCACATGAAATGCTCTGATCCCCTGGCCATCATGGGCTGTAAAGAAGCTAAACTGGGCTAAGAATTTCTCATTATCTAATACAAAATGGGAAGAAGTGGCGGTGGGAAGGGCAACAATCAAGACGTGAACATGGGGAAGGCCTACGTGAAATTTATGCTGACATTTCAGTGGAGGTAAACAAACATCCCTAGTTCCATGATCAGCCCAGTAGGGATGCATCCTCAGGGACCGTGGGCGGCATCTCTGCCAGGTCAGGCTCCATTGGGTCACCTCTCAGTGTCCTCTTTTTCTTTTCCCAGGGTGACATGGGAGCATTGGGTCCAATTGGCTACCCAGGACCCAAAGGCATGAAGGTAAGCCGGGGCCATCCCCAAATCTGGGGCTTATCCCAGCCAGGTACCCTCTGACCCATTCCAGATCAGAAGGAAGGGTGACCTGATACAACATTGTGGAAGCGGGGGATAGGCGGACACTCAAGGGTGCTGGGGTGGAAGCTGGCAGGTCAGAAGCCCAGTTCTCAAGTTGGAGAGCCAGTCATCTTTATGGGCAGTGGTCCTGGAGCTGAGCACGAGCCTGCTTGGTTCCAGTCTCAGGGCACGCAAGTCCTGAGGGGCATAAAAACTAGAATGCAAGCCAGTGAACTCAGCCCATCCCTGCCTGGGTGGCCTGCAGGAGAAAGAGTGGCTAATACTGCTGGGCCCCTGTCCTGGGAGGACCCGTTTGGCTGGCATCCATGTGACCCTGCTCATCCAGCCATCTCTCCCCATGGGCACCTTCCCCACTGTTTTTGTCCTGACTGCTCTGGTTCATGAGTAACTGCCCCTTTTTCTTGTGCCTCCAATGCACACCATTTCCCTGGAAGCTGGGGGACATGGCCCCCTTTTCCAGATGAGATAATGCTGGACCAGGGCTTCGGGAACTGGGTTACAGCAAGTAGGGGGCTTAGCCAGGCCTCCTGACTTCAGAGACATCGACTCACCCTCACCAATGGACCCTGGCCTTTGTCTTGCAGGGACTGATGGGAAACATGGGGGAGCCCGGACTGAAAGGTGATAAGGTGATCTGAATACTCCCTTATTGCACTGTTTTATCTGCATGCAGACCTCTCCACCTGCCGCTGATCACTTGCCAGTTTCACTCCCTGCATACTTCCCCGCCTCCCGCCTTCCCCCCTCAGTCCTACTCCTAGCTTCCTCCTTGTAACTCTGGGTGGTGCTCAGCAGATGGTTCTGGGAGAATCAAACCTGGGAGCTAAAACCTGGGGACTGTTGAGGCACTGATGAGGATAAAGCAAGGCCAATCCATGAATTCGGAGAACAAAGCTGAGGCCAGCATCGAGGCTTGGAGGCCCAAGCCACGGAACACAGGAGGGGAAGGAGGAAGGTCCCTGAGATGCGGGAACCAGGCATGGGAGGAAATGAATCCAAACAATCCTCTTGGATTGGAACTGGGAAACTAACCCCAAGAGTACTGGGTCTGAAAATGCAGCAGCAAAGCCAGGGCAGCCTGATTCCCTGAGCTGCTTTCCTCCCTGTCACCTTGTGAAGGTCACTCTTGCCATGTGTCCTTTGCATGAATCTGCCATTGAACTCACTCTATCTCCCCCTATCAAAACCGAGCTGGAGGTGGGGAGGAGGGACCTAGGGGCCATCACCTGTCTGGGTCACCACCTGGCCCGGATCATGCAACATATGAGGGACAGACTCAGGGGGCAAAGGGAGTTGGTCCTCTTATACTCTGTCCTCTAGCTATTTTCCCTCTGTTCCCCCCTTAGTCTCTTGGCGAACCAGGCACCCTAAAAAGAGCATGGAAGGGCTTTTGGGCCACATCCAGGCTGCTTAGCCATGCCCAGTCTCTTCTGCACCTGTCTTCATGTGCCTCCCCACTCCTAAGATGACAACAGGAACATGTACCAGAGCTGACAGCATCTGAGCGCTCCTCCTGGATTAACCACCCCCACTCTCCAGCCCCCTGAGATAGGCAGCCTCCCAAGCTCTACAGCTGTGAGCAGAGATGGGACTCAGGCCCAGGCTGCAGAGGCCCCACCTGTGCAGCAGAACTGAGGTTGGCAGTTCTGCTGGCGAGGTCACCTCCTCCAGTGCCTATATTTCACAACTGGGGAAACTGAGGAGGTCTATCAGAGGAACCCCAGTGATTTAATGTGGAAGCCAGTCGAACCCCCTGGACTCTTACAAAATGAGAATTGCTGAGCTGAAACGGGCACCCTTACCTCTAGGCAGCCAGAGAAGCATGCTAACCCCAGTCCTCTCTCCATCTGTCCCTTCCTCTTCCATCTCCTGCTCTTTAGCCCAAGCCTCCAGAGGAAGCCTCTTGCACCTCAACACCCCTGATCCTGCCCTCAGCTCTGCCCCCTGTCTCTGCCCTACTGCCTGTAAAGCCCCCTCTACCTTGGTCCTGCACCTGGAGCTGCAGGGGCTTTGTCCTGAAGGTGGGGGTTTCCCCACAGCTACCTGTTTTCTCTGAGGGTTGAGACTCTACACTGGAAATGTCAAAGTCCGTGAGAGGGGAGAGAAAGGTAATGGGAGTGTAGGCAGTGAGCTTTTTATAGGCCCCTCTACAGAGCTGGCCTCCAGCTCACTCTTCTTCAGTAACATGGAAATAAATGTGTTACATAGAGCTCGACTGGCTTGCTGACTGGTGTGCCTGGGACGTTTAGAGATGGAAATCTTTGGGGGACGGGTTGGACCGGGGGAGAGGAAATTGTTTTCCTGCCCATAGCTTTCAGGAAAATCAAAGAAGCCTTTGGGATTGCAAAGAAAGAAAAAAAAAAGAAGTAGGAGAAGAGAAAAAGACATTTATTTTCTGCCCCTTGACTGGGGAGGGGTATTAATGTTGCAGGGTTTCTGCTCGGCCCCTCTTTGCCCACCCCCCTGCTCCCCTGGCCCTCCCCTGGGATGACAGAGCCATCCCTTCATGTTCCATGGCCATCCTGCCTAGAATCCCAGATTTTCCATGACCCAGCCTGGCCTCAGTCCCACTTACAAACACTTGGCTCTCTCTCCCTGCGCGGAGGCGCTTTCTGGAGCCCAAGGCGCCTGCTCCGGGCCCAGCTCTCTCCAAATCCATTGTCCTGATTTCTTAGGTGCCTTTTAAAATTTTTTTAGCCACCCCCCTTTACTTTTTCTTGGAGAATAAGACTTTTTTGGCCTTGTTCATTGTAATTCTGGGATTTATATAGCATTTTCCAAATTGGAAAACCAAAGTAAATGAAAAAAAATTTTTTTTTTTAATTCTGGCTTTTGTTTTACCAAGGAAGTTCTGCTGGGTCATGGCCCTCGCTGCACAACACGGGTCCTCCCAGACTCCATTCTTCCTAGGGTTTTCTCCTCATTCTTCCAACTGTTCCTGGGTCTGTGAATGTTTTCTTAGTCTGAAACCAATAAACAGTTGGTAACCTCTGTATCAAAAGCTGGAGGTGATGATTCCATGCAACGGGGTGCTCAGGAGAAAACCCCTGAGCTTATTTAACCAGATGACTGAAAACAGTGAGGGAGAAGAGGAGACCCCTGACCACCAGACCCAGTGTCACCAAGCGGCTACATCCTCTTAGAAAAGAAACACCCAGAACCAACCCAAGGCCCGTTTACTTGCTGTTGACACACCGTCTTAACAGGTCAGGCTATCTGGTCTCTCCTGCTCTAGCTGATTAAAAGCAGCTCATTGCAACTAGACTGAAGATGATTTCTGGCATAGATACTCTCACAGAAGGAAGAAGGGACTGCTCAGAGCCTGGCGGTGAAAAATACTGAGCAGCAGACACAGGCATTCAAAAACCCACAGTGCTAGTGTGTGGGCCACGCTCGCCCCTCGTAACAGTAGGTGATGCAGAGGTCAAAGGATCCAGAAACAGTCCCTTTGACTTGCAAATGTGTCCACTAGGAAAGCCAGGTGACCTTGGGCAGGTTAGCTTATCAGTGGAGATTCCAGCCACATGAGCAAACCCAGGCACATCTGCAGAAGGGCAGGCTCGGTCCTCCCTCCCCCACCTCCCCTGGAGCCTGCCTTCCTCACCCATACTCCCCTGGGGGCCTGCTTTTGACTCTAGTGAGGCTGCTGCTGGTCAGATCAACTTTGGGAACAGCTTCAGCGAAGCTGTACCTTGCCAGTGGGTCTGGACGTGGGGAGGCTTCAGGGACCCACGTGGCCCCCATGTAACCTTCTTTGCTGGTGTGTATTTAGGGTGAACAAGGGGTTGCAGGTGTGTCAGGAGACCCTGGATTCCAAGGAGATAAGGTAACTGCAGCAGATTCCCCCCTGCCCCCTGTCTTGCTCTGCTCTGGTTGCAGCTTCCTTCCCAGGGCCTGTCATGGGCCAGGACCCACCACCTGCGAGATGGCTTCTTTCCGAACAATCCTGCCTTTCTGTCCTTGGTCCACTCTCTCCTCACCTCTTCCCTGGACTTTATAATGGCCCCTGCCTTACTTCCAGGCCCCAGGCTCTTCCCTCGTAGTCTGTCTTCCTCACTGCTCCCAAACCGAGGGCGCAGCTAAGCTCTGCACTCCAAACATGCTTGTGTTGCTTCCAGGGTGAAGTCCCCACTCTTCCCCCCAGGCACCCAGGACCCAGTGAGCTGGACCTTATCATACCATCCTGCCCCTCACCCTTGCAGCCCTGGCTCCAGCCCCACCAAACCACCTGCTGTGCCTCGAGGCTTTACCCACTCCGCTGCCCACCAGCATGCCTGCCCACCGGCATGCCTCTGCACAGCTGGTCCCGCCCCATCTCTCAGAATCTGCTCCCGAAGTGCCTTTTCCTTCTCTGAGTGCCCTGAGCAGCCAGTCTGTCCCTCACTTGTGGCAGCACCTTCCCCAATTAGTGATTGGGAACTGCCCAAGAGCCAGCTCCTGAAGGACACAGTCCCAGACTGGCCTGGAGGAGCTCAGCTCTGCACAGAACAGTGAGGACTTAGGAATGAGTGAGTGAGTGACCGGCCTGCCTAATTAGCTGACGGGCTGAGGCCGTCTGCAAGGCCAGCTCCTCTTCGCTTGTGTCCAACACCATGTGGCCACATCTGGACCTCCCCCAGCCAGTCAATGAGGCCCAGATTTTGACCTGCTCTTCCTCTTCCTTCCCCCTCCCTCCTGACTGGAGCTATTCTGTCCCAGCCTCAGTGTCTCAGGCTTCAAGCCACACAGTTCTGGCTGCTCTTCCTGCTGAGCCCCCAGCTCTGGAGCTCTCCAGACATAAGGTTGTACCTGTTCAAAGTCCCAGGGGCCTGGGTTCCAGGACCTGGTGAGGACAGGGCTGCTGTCCACCTTTGCATCCCTGGGGTCCAACAACAGTGGACAGAGCTGGAACTTGTAAGCAGGGAAACTGAGGAAGGATCATATCCCCCCACCATCTGCTTCCCCCAATGTTGGTGTTCTCTAGGCCTTGGGCCAGCAAAGGTGACCCAGCAGTTTTTCACTTGGCCCTTTCTGTTCCTTATCAGCTTGCTTCTGGGTCTTTTCCAGGGGAGCCAGGGATTGCCGGGGTTCCCAGGAGCACGGGGAAAGCCAGGGCCATTGGTAAGTGCTTTCTGCTCTGAGACCCCCAAACCTCATATTCTCCAAATAGTCAGGGAATGTGACCAGGAGCACATTCCCACCTAGGAGCTCACCTCCCCCTGCAGCACCCTGGGAGATGAGCAAAGCAGGGCAGGCATGAAGAGTTACCCATTTTACAGATGAGGACATCGCAGTTCAGAAGAGCAGGAACTCACACAGTGTCACAGACAGACCTCAGTCCTCTGCAGAGCTCTGATCAGAATCTAGGGCTCCCTATGCTTTGTAAACAGTATTATATCTCTTTGAAGGCTGCCAATGATCCTGGGATTAGGGAATTAATACTTTCATTTTCTGGATGGGGAAACTGAGGTTCCACAAGGTAAAGTGATTTGTCCAGGATCCCATGGCTACTACATGTAGGAGACGGGGTTTGAACTGTAGCTCCTCGTAGTTGTCCAGGCAGATTTCATTCACACACTTCTGAACTTTTCCAACTACCCACAGCCAGGGGAAAATGCAAGGAGTAGCTGGAAGGTGGGCGCCCACTTACCTGCATCCCCCACATCTCTTCCACAGGGCAAAGTTGGAGACAAAGGATCCCTTGGGTTTCCTGGGCCCCCTGGACCCGAGGTATGTGATGCCCCCCTTCTCTGACGGCTGCAACTAAGACTGAGTGTTGTCCTTGGGAAACCAAGGCCCAGAGGAAAAGAGAGATTTGGCTGAGGTCACACAGCAAATGAGAGATGAAACTGAGAACAGAAATTCCTAGACCCCAGAAAGTCTCTGAGCTCTACTGCCTGGACTGTTAGGAGGGGCTCCCACATTCTCTACCCTGAGGTTTGAAGCATCAAACTTCTCTGAGCCCTGGAATTCCTCTAGTTGTGCACAAGCACCCTAGAAAAGTTCCGGGCTCAGAGCTCTCTGCTACAGGGATCAAGAAGCAAAGGTGAAATTCTGGTGTCTGAATGAAGATTCGGAACCAATGAAGGATAGATTTAGCAATATTATAATAACTCTAGGTGATTTATTGGAGCCCTGGGAGTTTCTGATGTGTGTGATAGTTAGCTTAGGCATGTAAATGTTTATTGAAGGACATTCACATATAACAGAGTCAAGCAGCTGGTTGAGCTCTTTATGCTGCCCACCCCCATACTCCACTCCCCAATTTGGAGGTTAGCTCTGGAGGACAGAGTGAACAGTGCCAAGACTCTTGTCTGCCCAGGGTTGTCCTTCCAGCCAGTGCCCTGCCCCCCCGCCCCACTCCATACACACACTCAACTCCTTGGCCTCTTCCACAAGGTCTCCGCTGGCTTCTCCAGGTCCTTCCAAAGATCGCTGCTGGTATTGCCTGCATGGATGAGGGAGTGTTTCCTGAAAGCTGCAAGTTCTGACTCTTCACTGTGTTGACTTTGGCCATTACGCAGTCCTATCTTTAGACAATTGGAGTTGGCTGCTCTTTCACGGCCCTTATTCCTTCCTCAGGTCATTGGAAAAAGACTTTTCTGAGAGTCTAGGTTTCCCAGCAGTCTGGCCAGTGAGGGCGGACAGCATGCTCGTGCCTGTTTATCAGGCGCTGCCTCGTGCCAAGAGGCTGTGCAGTATCTTTGGGATGAGACCTTGTTGAATTGCCACCACAATCCTGTGAAGGAGCTATAACCACCGCCATTGCACAGATGAGGAAAACAAGTCACAAAGTAGGGAAGTGACTTCCTTAAAGTCACCATGCTGCTTATAGCAAAGGAGGTGACTTTGACCCTCTCCTGTGGTCCTAGACAAAGCTGAGATCTGCCTCTCCCCTCTCCGTGTTCTGTCTGGATTGGCTGACAGTATCCAGAAGATGGCTCAGCCCAGCTGAAGACAGAAGCTGATGAGCATGTCAGCGCCTTCCCGGGCCTTTTCCTGTTTTTCCAGAGACCGTGGGTGGGAGCTCCTATTCTCAGATCCCTGGAGAATTAACTGCCATTCATCCAAGGGAATGGATCTGTGTCTGAGCACAAGAATTTGATCAGCTTCCCAAGTGCCAAGTTCTCCCTGGAGATGGTCCTGCTCCAGGCAAACTAATTTTCTAGAGGCTTGGTACCCAAAATCTTGGTGGATGCAGATTTTTACCGAGTGCTTACTAGGTGCCAGGCACCAAACTTAAGTGCTTTGTTAACATTATTTCCTTTAGATCTCAGAACAACCGTGTGAGGTAGTCACCAGTTTACAAATGAGGAAGTCAAGGCCCAGAGAGGCCCAGAAACCTGATGAGGGTCACACAGTGAGTTGGTGGCAGAATGGGATTTTGAACCTCTTAATTTAAAGAAATAGATGAGGAGCTTTGGCTTCTTTGTTAGCTCCACATTCAGGACCATTCTTGATATTGCCAGTGAGAAGGGTGAGAAGATGTTTGAGCCAGAATTTTACAGAGTTACCAAAAGGTAAAAAAAAAAAGAAAAAAAAGTCACTTGAAAAGGCAAAATGGGAGGGGACATTTTAGTCTCAAGGATTCTTTTTAAAAGACTTTGCTTTCTAGTTAGGAGGAAACTGAGTAGTTGGGTAGAAAGTGAATGGGGTTCTAGGCTGAATGACTAGAGGCATTACATCTAAAACAAAGAAGGAGATATTTCCATACCAACCTGTGCTGGTCAGCCCACACCATGGAAACATGGGCTTCCTGGTGATCACCAATAATTAGAGATAGCCAAGCTGAGCAGCCTGGACCCCTAATTAGAAGCCATTGAAGGGACAGAGAAGGGCAGACCTCTGGGGAGGGGGTAGCTGATCTCCAGATTTCACAAAGACCCCTGCGGGGCCCTGAGGGGCAGCGGGAGGAGGCTGGGAAAGGGAGGGTATTCTGCTCCTTGTCAGGAAGACCTCATCGGTGGTATGGAACTGAATCCAGCTTTCCTGGCCAGGGTAAAGTAGGAATTTCAGTTTCTGGTAGGAGGAGCTGAGATCAATTAGGTCAATGCTTCTTAACCCTTTCAAAGTCACAGCAATCCCAGAAAATAATTATACCTGCAGGATCACAGAGGCCAAGGAATGAGATTTATTGGGGCAGGAGGTACTTGGGTGGGGTCCTGACTGCCCAGACCCAGAACCACTTTCCTTGTTTGTGTCTGTTCCTATGCTAAGTACTTTCCTACATGTTTTCATTTCATTTTTTCAGCAACTGTCTGAGGTGTAGGGGCTGGTACCAGGAACCCTGTTTTAGAGATAGGATGGAATTTAGACAGAAGAATCAAGGTGGTTAACTCACCTGCCCAGGGTCACATCCCGCTCAGAACTGGATGGAATCCCAGAGCAGTCCTCCTCTGAGGCCTGCGCTGTTAATATGTCCCCGTCCCCATGGGTGACCCCTGCTCTCTGCTTCCACTCAGGGATTCCCTGGTGACATTGGCCCTCCCGGGGAGAACGGCCCAGAAGGTGTGAAGGTGAGTCCTTGCCCTGATAGCTACAGCTGAAGAAACTGACAGCTGAGAGAAGCCACAGGCCTCAGAGCTGCCTCCTTAGCTTGGAAGGTGGGGGTGGTGGGGGGGAGTTTTGCCAGCCTGTAACGAAGATGAGGTACCACCTCTCAGACCTCTTTTTCTTCCCTTCTCACCAGGGTAAGCCTGGAGCTCGAGGCCTGCCGGGACCCCCTGGGCAGCTGGGGCCTGAGGTGAGATTGTCTGACTTGCCCATGCCCGTCCCCCCACTGCCGCCACAGGCCAGGGCCACCTCAGGTTCTTCCTCCTACTCATGCCTTACACCCTGTGACCCTTCAGGGGCCTTCTCTGCCCCGAAGGTCCCTACCCTGTACCTCCCATTGCCCTGGGTCTTCTTTCTCAGAGCTCCAGCTTCTGTTTCTGCTCACGGCAGTGCAGTTTATGGGCACTGATCTGGGAGGGCAAGAATTGTCAGCGCCATTGTGCAGACAGACCCAGGCCTGGTAAAGCTCAAAGCCCATGACACAGACCCCATGCTCTTCACTTCCATGCTCCTGGGAGCTGCCTGGGCGCAGCCCCAGGGAACCACATGACCCACACGGAGTAGGTGGCAGAGGTGCCTACTTGCCGTTTGTGATGAAGGAGAGTCACATGATCTCGACAAGCCTATGGAGCACCAGCTGGGGGCTGCTGGCCCGAGATTCTGTCCATGTTGGAGGCCCTCCACCATCCACCTTGGCTCAGGCCCCACAGCCCCCGTGACACAGTTCTGGTGAGGGTGCTGGAGGCCCAGGCTCACCACAACCACAGGAAGGCATTTGGCTGACAGGAATCCCTCAGTGAGGCTGGTTCTGGGTCTGGCGGGGTCCCAGGGCTGGCTCTGGGGCCGTCATGTGGGGCTGCTTTCCTGGAAGCTGGGGGAAAGGGGTGGGGAGGCAGCTCCAGAGGGGGCCCCTTGATTGGGCCTGGCAGACAACAGGGGCCAGTTTGGAGGCTGCCTATGCCTGTGGGAGGGCTGGAGATTCTCCATGGGCAAGAAGGGAAGGGGAGAGTGGAGGCAGAGTGGAGGCAGGGTTGGCACAGCCACGTGCGTGTGTCCACTGGGGGAAGCAGGCCTGCCACTTGCTCAGCCTCATTAATTCATTCACATGCTTGGATACACACTGATGTCTCCACATCTCCCCCTCTCACGCCCTCCTCCCTCCCTTCCTTGCATCTACTAGACACTACACACGCCCAGCCTGAGTGATGGTTGGGAGTGACTTCACAAAAGATCCAGGGACTCAACTTGAGCCACTCTCCATTCTATGGGATAATCTCCCCACTCTATGCCATTTTATAGATGGGGAAACTGAGGCATGCTGGGAGTAAGGTCTGCCATTGAGGGAATAGTAGAAGCCAGAATAGAGCCTGTATCTTTGAACAGCAGTCTGGGGCTCTATTTTCATAGCATCAGCTTTGACTTTCCCACCCAGCATGCCATGAGCCACATTCAGAGGGTTCTGGAAGTCCTTATGTGGCCTGCCCTGTAGGCCATGACTGGTGGCACCAGTGCCCTGGGTGGTCCAGGTCGGGGAGGGGGAACAATTGGCCCAGGAGGGTTGTTTTCTGTCCCCTCTCCTTCCTAAATTCCCATTGAATTAACTCTCCTCTGTGTCTCCCAACTCTAGGGAGATGAGGGACCCATGGGACCACCAGGGACCCCTGGCTTGGAGGTGAGTGCTGCTGGCCTGGGGGAGGTGGGGTTTGTGAGAGCTGAGCCAGCTGTGAGCAGGTGGGCAACATCTGGACAGTACTCTGGAGAAAGATCATCGAACATGAGGGCCTTGGGTCAGGCAGGACAGATCCCAAAGGAGAGAGACAAGAGGCAGGAAGCTGCCTGGCTGCCCCTACCCACACGCCACCCCTGACACTGCTCCTCTGCTATGTGCTGGTGCTTTGCACCCACTTCTCATTGGAGCGCCCCATGGGAGAGGCCCCACTTTTTCATTTAAAGCCAGTGAAGCTCAAAGAGTGAAGGGTTTAGCTCAAGATCCACAGGCAGGAAGCCAGGATGTCCTGCCTCTGACCCCACACCCTGACTTCTCACCACTGCTCCACGTGGCCTTCTAGACAAAGCATTTCTGCCATCTCCACCTTCACCTGGTGTTCATGAAAATTTTTGGCTTCTTGACACCAAGAAGCCGACCTGAAATTGCTTTTCTTGGTGTGGTTTACATGAATCGCTATTAATAATTAAAACTGAGAAACGTTAAATGTATTATTAACTCATTTAAAATGATAATAATCCCATGTCATGTTCATAAAAATAATAGGTTCATGAAAAATCACTAGATTTTTCCAAGCAATGTAATCTAATGAGAAGAGTGGCATTGTTTTACCATTTTTGTAAATCTCTTTAATGTCTGGCTTAATAGAAGGCAGCTGGATCCTCGGATCTGCTTCTGTATTCAATCTGCTGATGACACCATGTGTCATGTAGCCTCTGGAAAACTCCACTTACGTGCTTGAGAATGAGCGTGACACAGGCAAATGACATCTTAGTGTGGTTATGAGAATGATTTTGACCTCCAGAATTTCCTGCAGGGTCTCCTAGATTCCAGGGGTCCTCAGCTTACACTGGCATTAATGCTCTGTTCCTCTGTGCCCTTTGATATTCTATTCAGTCCCTTTCTTTCCCTTAGTCCCTGAAAACATCGACCCCGTTTACAAACAAGAACTGTCCAGGGATAGGAGGTTTCCCCAAGGTCACACAGCAACAAAGCCCCCTGCATCCCTGGACAGCTGGCAGCTTGCTGACATTCAGGCTCTGTGCCCTGGCCTCCCTCTGTGGGCATTGTGCAACCCCCCATGGGAACCCTGCGCTAGGTCCTGGGACCCCTGCGCTAGGTCCTGGGAACCCAACAGTGCTACCCCACCAGCTCCTCTTACTCAACTCTCTCTTGCAGGGTCAACCGGGCAGGAAGGGGTTTCCTGGGAGGCCTGGCCCAGACGGTGTGAAGGTGAGGGAACCTGGAAATGCCTGGGCTGGGGGGCAGAGGAGGGAACGCCTGGGAGAAGGGGAGTACCCAGAGGAAGGCCTGGATGGACCCCCAAACCCCAGGGCCAATTGTGAAAAGGGTAGAAGTACCCACTTATCACAAAGTAACAGAGAGAAAAAATAGACACGACTTAAGTGTCTAGTAGTGAGGCAGTGTCCAGTCAATGGGACACAACGGGGCCACTGAGGGTGGGGAATACTTGACAAGAGGGGAAAATGCTGGAGCCTGTGGCAGGGTCAAGGGTCATACACAGAGTTACAACGCAAACCCTGTGTGGGGCTGATAACACTGTTCTGTGCGAGTAGAGTAGCTAGAATGTGGACTGGGTTATCTCTGGGGGGTGGGGATAGAGAGTTCCATTTTCTCCTCTGGGTCTTTTTTTTTTTTTTTTAATTTAAAAGGTTTTTATTATATAATCATCAATAGATTCTTTCACCTAAATTGTGACAGGCATACTTTTTATGTATGACTGAATGATGGACAGCTTGGGAATTGCTGAATTGATGGGCACATTTCAAATCCTTGGCACGGTTTGACAGTAATTACATCTGCTGAACCACTTAATATGTTGTTGAAAGTGGCCCAATAAAGTCATATCTGGAGCTGTTGATTTTCAGTGCTTTGGCATACCGATTATAAAGTACTTTTTGAGGACAATATATGCTAAAATGTATATATGGTCATGCAAATAAATATGCTACCTGCAAAAAAATACTTTTTCTACGTGGAAAATAATTTCACAAAGGAATTTTGCCTTTGATGAATTATTTATTTAATTCTAAGAGTCACTGATGATCTTCATTGTGTTGGCAGTTTCATTAAAAAAATATTTAACATCCAACCAATTTAGTAAACAAAAGAATTTTCGTTTGTCTATTATATTGTGAAATAGCTTAAATAATAATAACAACATACACTTATTTTGTGCTTAATTTGTTCAAATATTGTGCTAAGTGTTTTAAATATCCTACCCCATTTAATCCTTACAACAACCATACAATGCGTAGATACTATTATCTCCATGTTAGGTATCAGGAAACTGACACAGAAAGAGCTTTAATATCCTTTCCAAAACTCATAGCTGATAATTTGAGGAACCAACATTCAACTCCATCTCTATCTGATGTTCTTTCCACGACACTGTTCTAATTTGGGTGGGATACCATCCTTCCTTCTCTGTTCTCCTCTGGGTCTTATTATTGGGTTTTTTTTTTAAGTTATCAAAAAAGGTAGCTGGGCCCAGGTGGGAGAGTGATGGCCTTGGTTATGGGCACCCTGACTTTCCAGGGCCTCCTCTGCAGTGTAGGAACTGCTGGGCCAAGTCTACAGCCAAGGAGACCCCTAGAGGCTGAGGGCAGAGCTGGGAGCACAGGTGGGCCGCGTCCCCTCCCCAGGGGAAGCGCCTGCATGAAGTCTGGGGCAACAGGATTGCCTCCATTTCTGAGCCACACTCCTGGCTGCTATGAGGCCAAGTCCTGCCTCCGAGGTCTTGGCCTTTCTCCCTCAAACACCAATTGGGTTTCTGTGGTGGGAGTGGTGACAGGGCCGTGTGGGTGTCTCCCACGGGCTGCTTGCCTCCCTCCACTCACACTGTGGGGAGACCAGCGCAGCTGCGTCCCAGCGTGGGGTAACACTGGCACACAAGGCCATGAGAGGCCACCCAGGATTCTCACCCTGGGAACGGCCTAAAACGAATGAGTCTAGCTGCTCTTGTTTATAGCCAGCGAGGCTGAGCCCAGAGCAGAGAGGAAACTAAGGTCACCTGTCAGCTGCTGGCAGAGTGCTGGGGGAGCTGTAGGACCCATGAGCCCTGAGTCCCCAGTTCCCTGCTCTTCCTGCAGAGGGGCAGCCTGATGATGCAAGAATGGAGATTTAAATCTGTGAGACCACATTTCCAATTCTAATCTGACCACAGCTCGCTGTGTGACCTGGAGCAGGTCACTTAACCTCTTTGAGCTTTGGTTTCCACCTCCACAGAGTACAGTGGGTTAATGAAGAATCCAAACAAGGTATAGACATCAGGGTGCTACATGCTCTGCCAAGGGCCACTCAGAGGAAAGGGGTGACTGGAGTCATCTCTGGAGCCAGAGCTTCTATCCACGTGTCCCTGCCATTAGTTTGGAGTCCCCAAGGCCAGACTCTGGACCTAAAATTCCTGGTCCAGCCCCATTTATTCCTGGGGATAAAGGCCAGTCATGTAGGTGATCCACTTAGATGCCAGTCACCACCCAAATGATCCTCATCTTTGTGTCTTTGCAGGGGGAGCCAGGAGACCCAGGACGGCCGGGGCCCATGGGCGAGCAGGTAGGTCAGTGCTGAGCCCTCAGTCTGTCAGCATCCCACATTCACCCCCTCTATACATCCCTACCCCAGCTCCCAAGGTAGGTCTGCTGCCTCCCCCTTTCACTGACACCCTATCAATGAATCCCTCTCTGGCTCTCAGGGAGGTGAAGTCCCTGAATGAGAACACCATTAATCATAATCATAACAGCCATTCCCCATGGCCTGACTGTGGATATTTTGGGGACAGTCACCCAAAGAGGTGACATAACTTTATTCCCAAGACATAAAAACTGGAGGATTCCTAGCTCCTGAGCAAAAATGTACAGATGGGGATGCCAGGGAATGACGTAGAAGCACTTGCCCAGGGGCTCTGGCTCAGTCATCCCTGAATTATAGAGAAAATGAAGGTCAAATCAGGGGCTCAGTCTAGCTGGGACCCTGGCCAGGGTGTGAAGAGGAGAGGAGTTTGCAGCTAGTCTTTAAAAAGGAAGCTTCAGATCACGACCTTCAGTACTGAGGTGCAGGGCCCTGGTGCTCTGAGTGAGTTAGACCCTCCTGCCCAGGCCAGCGCCTCCTGCAAGCTTAGCTTCTGAGCTGGGAGGTCACATTGGAAGGTAGCAATCTCCTCCATTCTTTTGAAGAAGGAGCCAACCCTCTGAACCCTAGAAGGAGGTTTGATGCTGGGACCCAGGAGGATGGGTCTTGGTGGAGAAACAGCATCAATGGCGTGAGAGCCGTGCACGATGGGCTTCTTCACCAGGCCTGCAACATCTGTTGGGGGAAGAAAGGAATTAAAGCAGGGGGAGGGCTGGATTTTTGAAACATTTCCAGTGTCATTCGAGCACATTCTGTGGGAAGCCCAGGAGTTTGGAAGGGCTGCCGCAGCCTGGATATATTTCCTGGTTGAAAAAAAAAGGCAATGCGATCAGCAAATTTAATTTCATAGTTATGCTGATGGTAGGGCCCTTGGGAAATAGATACTCAGAAACCTAGAATGTCAAGGCACAAAGGATCCTTGGAAGTCACTTTATCTCGGGATCCTAACCTCTTGTGTGCCTCGCCCCCTTAGGCAGACTGGTGAACGCTATGGTCCCCTTCTCAGAACAGAGTTTTCAGATGCATAAAATATAATCAAAGAATTACTCAGGATATCAATTATATTGAAATATAATTATAAAAATGTTAAAATGTGATTTAATCATAGATATGCTTCTTTATTAATGCATTAGGTACTAGGATCTGGCAGTAGATCTAGTGCAACCTCAAGTTTGAGGTGGTGACAGCTTAAATGATACATCTGACATGTCACATCTGGGACAGCCACGTCTACCCTCCGAGTCCTGTGGGTGCCACCTACACTCTTGCTGGGGGACCAAATGCTAAATTTCATTGAGAAATTAGTGAAAATGGACGTTTTCATTTTCCTAATCCAGTTCATGAGTCCCTTGAATTCCATCTTTGGGGTCTTGTAAAAGACCCCCAGGTTAACTCCAGAATCCAAGCCACTTGGGGTTCATGGAGGAGAATGCACTTGACTAAGATGATCTAGAAGGTGAGGGAAAGTTGGGGCCAAGAGGAATGGGAACCCCACTTGGGGCAACTTGGGTCACAGTAGGAGAGAACTCTCTGAGTACAGAGCTGGAGCCCTGTGGCTGCCACCAACTTGGCAATGGGTGCTCTGCTAACCCATTCCTTTGCCTCTTACCCATGTGGGAAGTAGAAAAATCAGGGGATGCCCCAGAAAGATGATAAGGAACTCCTTACAATCACAGTATTTATCACATTCATTGGGCACCTGTTAGGTAGCAGGTTCTATACCAAACACTTCACACACCCTCACTTGTAATTTCCCTCAGCAACCCTGGAGCAGTAGGTATTATAACCCCATTCAGCAGCTGAGAAAACTGAGGCGCTAAGAATTTCAGTGGCTTGCCCAAGATCTTCAGGCAACTGTCAGAGCCAAAGTTGACACTCAGGTCTGCTGGATTCCTGAGACTTGCCCTGGAGGGACTGGACAACCTTTGACCTCTTGAGTCCTGTCAACAGTTAGTTAGAATGCAGATGGCTTTCAGGCCAGGCCCTGTCCTAGGTGCTGGGGACACAAATAATTACAAGTCACAAGACTGGCCTTTAGAAAGTTCTGTGCAGGGGAAGCCAAGCATGTAAACACCTAACTGGAGATGTCTGATCCAGTGGAGGATCCAGGACTTTCTTGTCCTCCTTCTCATCCCCAGCTCCCAGCAGAAGGGAGGGAAGGGAAGGAGGGAGAAAAACTCCCATAGCAGACAATGGCCCTTTCTCAGTAGACAACATGAAGACAGACCAGCCTCTTCCCCCAAACTGGGGATTCAGATCCTGCCTGTGCTATGCCCACTATAGGTGACAATGCCACCTCTCAGCTCTCTTGCCAGCCCAAGAGGAGTCAGTCCTGCTCACGGCTGTCAGCTGCCTGCTCATCAGACCCACCAGGTGGAAGCCTGGGCCTCCGGGCTGGCCGAGCTGGAACAGTGTGAGCCCCACCCACAGGACCCCCAGGGCCTGCCAGGATGTTTCTGTACAGCGCTGCAGGGGTTCCTGGGGAAGGGGTGGGGGCAAGAGGCTCCTTGCTGTATGGACCTTATTCATTAGGATCCTGTTTGACTTCTTGTTTGAGGTTTATGACCCGCCTGCCTTCCAGGACCCAGCAACTCATAAATTTAAAGTAGCTATGAGCTTTCTGTTTCTTTGGGCCAGTCGGGCAGGGGCCTCTTAACAGAGCAGTTTTTATTCCCTTTAGTCAGCATTCTCTAAATGTCTGACTACTCCCTTGTGGGGAGCTCAGGCCTCTGTCTTAATCTGGTGGCCTTTTAAAATAAATTCAAATGGGATGGGAGGGAACTAACATTTATGGAGTGTGTACCTGTGCCACGCATCCTCTCCATACTCAGAACTACCCAGGGAGGGAGGGAGGTTTATCTGCCATCCCCCATCCTGCGAATGGGGCTCAAGGGGCTCTGCACCTTGCCCCGGGCCCACCCACCTGTGGACTGAATGGTGATGACATAGACAAAGTGCCAGGTGCAGCTTGGCACATAGCGAGTGTCAGCTGTTATTAGTGCTATCACTTGAAAATTCTCCCTTTACTTTTTAAAAACAAGTTGTTGCAAAAGTTATGCACTTAGTTATTTTCTTGCTAGCTTGTTCCTCACCCCTCTCACCTGGTAGGCCAACTCCAAAGGGTCTCTGAACCCAGGCAACCAGGACCCCCTCCCCCATGTGTGGCCATGGTGTCTGAGTACCAGGGAGACCCCCACTCCACTCACACACTATGTAGGCCCTGGGATAGAGGAAAAGGTGCATGGACTTTGAAGCCACACAGACCAGAGACAGCAGTGGGATGTGGTCCCAGCCTGAGCTGCCACTTTGCAACCATCTCTGAGACCCACCAAGCTAACCCTTTGAAACTGGGTGCCCGTCCCTCTTCCTACTTGCCTGACTGGTTGACCAGTTTCTCTGCCTGAGCGTACAACTTCTCATCCAATTCTGGTCAGGTTCAAGGTCTTGTTCCTTTCTGGGCCAGAGTTTAGGGACAGGGAACAGATTTTATTGGACAAGTTGACTTATCCTTCTGTCTTTCCTAACTCTCCCAGAGCTCTGGACAGCCAGCCTGACTTCTTCCTAAGTCACGTTTACCCCCCACCCCCCCCCCAACCATGCAAGGCCTCCTTGTGCTGGGATTTCCTAAGCAGTGTGGGGTCTGGACAGTTATCTCTAGGATGTCCCTCCTCACTTGGCCTGTGCCTGTTTGCCTGCCCAGGGCAATGGCAAGGCCTGTAGCCACCTAGGAGAGCCTCTGGAACACAGTGGCAAGTTAGCATCCAGCAGAATTAAAAGAGCAGCAGGAACCAGTGTGTGTGCACGTGTGCCCTTTCAGAGGAAGCTCTTTAGAAGACAGTAAAAAGACCTCCGCTTCCCAGATTCCAACCAGGTCTTTTGGGGGGAGGCTCTTTTGGTATTTCTACACCAGTGAGCAGGTTTGTTCCTCTTTAAAACTGCCTCAGAACCCCAAAAAGATGGGGATGGATTTCTCATAGTCGGGCCTCTCCCCAGCACAGTCAAGCCCCCCTCCCACTCCCCAGCTCTCCAAACGTGGCGGCCTCCCAGCTTCTGGCGTGGGAAGAATGTGTGGTGCTCCCAGGGATGCTGGCAGCAGCCCCGTGGCTTGGCTCCAGAATCAGAACCATCTGGTGGAGTGAGGGAAGTCAGGACAGTGCCCAGAGAGAGATGATCGCTTGGTGGCAGCTCCGTGCGGCCAGGTTTCCAGGCCAGAAAGGGGGCACCTGGAGACTGTGCCAGGGGACGGAGGACACAGTGGACCTTTGAGATGCAGCATGTCCCTGAATTCACATTGCTCCCTCTTTTCTTTCATTTTCATAAATATTTCTTATAGGGACTTTTGGGATTCATTGGTCTGGTCGGGGAGCCAGGAATCGTGGGAGAAAAGGTATGTTGTATTGGGGGGAAATATTAACAAACAGAGCTTATGTTTTGACATGTTAAAAAGATGCAGGAACCTGTTGACTTGGGGGTTTCAGACCTTTCTCCCCTGGCCTCCTCACTTTCCTTGTGTTCCAGACCCTCCAAGAGCCATTTTTCCCCTTCCCAGCATCCTCTGGGGCTTTCTCCTGACATCACCCCTTGGCATGACATCCAGCCGATGTGTGTAGTCTGGGCCCCTCATGGCTGTGCACTGGCTCTACACAGGGGTGGTCAACAGAAGGGAGGCAGAGAGTTGACCACCCCTGTGGTCAAAGGGAGGCTCCTTTAAAAAAGGAGCCCATTTCCTTAGGTTGTCTTGTTAACCCACCACAGCTCTGATTTATGGACAAGACAGGCTCAGATTGCAGAACTGCTCAAGGCCATTCAGCTAAGAAGTGGCAGATCAGGGATCTAAACCCGGTTTAGTCCCCATGGCTGCACTTTGCGTGCTAAACCCTGTGCCTTGTGGCTCCCAACCTGTGGCTGCCCAGTGCGGCCCCCCGAGAGGCTCTGCTTTCCTTTGCAGGCATATTGAATGTCCAGGCAGTCCCTCTGGGAGAGCCAACATTGTGCTCACCTGGGATTTGGAGAGACTGAGGTCCAGAGAGAGGAAGCCCCTCCCCTAATCTGGCCCCGCCTGCCTTTCCAGGTGCATCCTTACCTCTTTCCTCATTACACCCTGGCCCAGACCCTCTAGCTGTCTTCTCTACCTCTTTGCTTTCTTCTTCCTCTTCCTCTCTTTTTAAGTTTTTATTTTTGGAATAATTATAGTATCACAAGAAGCCGCAAAAAATAGTGCAGAAAGGCCCTGCCTGGTCTCACCCTGTGTCCTCTGACCTGCGTAACTGTGGAGCAGCATCAGTGATGCCAGCCTTCTTTTGTTGCTCAAATGTCCATTCCCTACTCCTCCATTGGCCTCTATTGTCCTTCCTCCTACCAACCAGTGCCCACTCCTCCCCCGTCTCCCTTATGTAGATGACTCAACTACCCTTCCTCTTCTGGGTGAAGCAAGACTCCTGTGGGAAGCCTTCCCTGCCCACTCCCCATGCAGGTAGCTCAACCCCCCACTGAAACACCTTAGCACCTCCGCCACTGCCCTTCCGCTGCTTTCCTGATCTATGGCTATGTCTGAGACACCCCGAGTGTCTTGTCTATGCAAGCAAGGTCTGTTTCCACTTGCTATTTTGGCTTCCGGGGGTAGCATGATTGTCAAACTCATAGTAGATGCTCAATAAACATTGCTGGGTGGGTGGATACAAGAAACAGAGCTTCACAAGTTAGGATTTGAACCCAGAGCTCCTGCCTCCCTGGGTCTGTCTGCTCTACCTGCCATCGCCACCTGGTCTGTCTGGATTGGTTAAGAGGGAATGAGTGACATCTAATTGGGCAGTGGATGAGGAGAGTGAAAGAAATTCCTTCTCTTGCCATCTCCCTTTCTGCAAGCTCAGCCCAGGAGATGCCAGGCCTAATGAGGACCACATGCCATGGGCCAGCATCAAAGGGGACAATGTCATTAGCACATCCTTAACCAGGACCATACTTGCTGAGGGAAGCCCAGAGTTGGGCACGCAGTGGGGTACTGACGCCTGCCAGGGGTCTTGCCTTCTGCTGAGTAAGGTCTTAGATGCCTACCCGACTCCTGTCATCACCCTGGGTGATGTGACTGTGAGCAGGACACGGACCCTCTATAGACCTTTGTCAAGTCCCTGTCTCTCTTTGGTCTCTGGGAGACCATCTGCACCTGCCCCTTCCCCCAGAGCCATCCCTACCATGACCTCCCTGATTGCTATCTCCATCACAGGGTGACCGGGGCATGATGGGACCCCCAGGCGCGCCCGGACCCAAGGGGTTGATGGTAAGAAGAATGTCTGCATCCCCTTGCCCTTCCTGTCACAGCTGCGATGGCATCTCTGCTCCCCTCCACCTGCTTCCCTGACACCAGGCACTCAGGATGACCAGTGCCTTCTCCCTGCAGGACTGCCTGGCCCTGGGCTGGGCTGAGCTGGCTGAGAAGGGCTGAAAGAGGAGTAGGTACCTCCACTGCTGAGCCCGTCTTTTTCTTCTTTCCAATAGGGTCATCCTGGAACTCCAGGTGGTGTTGGGGACCCAGGAGATCCCGGACCCCCGGTAAGCAAAGCCCTTATGTTCCCTGAATTCACACCCGCTCTCCAGTAAGGTGAGGAGTCCAGGGCTGAGTCAGACAGACCTGGTTTGAGCCCCAACTCCACCACTCTTTAGCTGTGTTGCCAAGACAGATCGTTAAACTTCTGGGAATCTAGATTTTGCTCATCTGAAAAACAGAAAATAATGTTGGTTATGAGAGCGTGATCTCATGGGTTACATGAAGCCGTGCAGCTCCTGTTCATGACATAGTGCTGTTCACTGCATGGGAGCACCTTGGCCATTAACATTTTTATTGCTTTGTTCATCCTCTTGGAAAATACTGTGTCCTGTGTGCTGGGGCCACCCCAGGAGCTGGGGTGCAGCCATCAGCAAGGCAGAAAGCTGTCCCTGACCTTTAGGAACTTATATTCTGGTGTGGGGAGAGTGACCCCAATAAATAAATGCATCTATAGAGAAAGCAAGCAAGGAGGATCAGAAATGCTGGGGTCAGTGGACTGAGTATCACGCTGAAGATGCAGGGGTCCTGGGCTTTTGTGAAAAAGAAACCAGGGAGAAACCAGGGAGATCCCTGAGGCTCCCAAAGTGGTGAGGGGTGGGATAGGCAGGATGGCTAGGGAAGGGCTGTGATGCAGAGCACCCACATTCAGGGGTCCTTTCCACTCCCCCCAGGAGGATATGAGGGGTGGAAAGGGGTTGCTCTCATAGGCTCAGGCTGGGGCAGTGGAGGGTGGGCTTCAGGTGGATGGGAAGAGTGTGGGAGGAGGAAGGACCAGGCCAGGCAGGATCCAAGCAGTGCAGGCGCTCAGGAGAGATATGGAGGGACTAAGTCAGAGGCAAGAAGCCTGGGCACAGGTAACCATCAGCCAAAGACAGAGGCACAAGCACCAAGGCATTTTGTCATCCCCCTCACCCCCTGCCCAAATCCTTATAATCAGCCCGAAACTCTCATAGTGCACAGTCAGAATCAGAAGTCAGCACTCAGATTTCTCAATGACTTTCCTTCCCAGTCATTAGGAGGAGCCACATCTGGTGTGGGGCTGGAGCCATTGGTTAGCAGGCCAAGGTGCCCAGCTTGGAATCCAAGGGCCCCGGCCCACCCAGCCCAGAGCCTGCTGTCCCACCCCCCTACCCAGTGTTCCCACTGAGTGCTGGGTCCAGTAGATGCTTTTAGAGATGGAGAGATGGGGGCCCTTCAGCTTGGGGAGGTATCCAGGGGAGGGTAGTAGCTTTGGTACAGTGATGTTGGGGTCCATTATCAAATTCTAGTTCCTGCACCCCTGGACCTTGACCTCCCCAGAATTCAGTCTAACCCACATGGCGCAGCAGACCTCTCCTGTCTCTCCCGCTGCTCCCCTCAGCAGTGTATTTCAGTAGATCCGCCTGTTCTGTTCCCCATTCTGCTCTGGTAAACCCTCTCACCTCCCACACCTCTGGCCTAAACCTCAGTTCTTGTATGCATAAATAAATAAATCTTTAAAAAAAAAAGAAAGAAATAGATGTCCTAGTGTGAGGTGTGGTGCTTAGCCAACTATTTGCATACACTCAGTGCTTAAGACATGATAATAATAACTTCTATTACTCCTTGTTCGATAGGATGATTACCACTATTATGAGTAAGACTAGTACTATTAAAGCCACATTTCTGGTGATACCATTCACATCTGATTGGCATTTTCTACTTCTCTGGCCCATGTCCTCCTTTGGCGAATTGAGGTCAGACAAGTTAACTCTTGCCATTATTTGAGGAGGGGCCAGACAGGGTCTGGACCTCCAGTTTCTCACCTTCTCCCCCTGAGAGTTGATGACTGCACTCAACTGGGGACTGGCCAGGGCATTATGTCTTCCTGAAAACTCGAGGAGGGGGGGACCCTTTCAACCCCACTTTATAGATGATGAAACTGAGCCCCAAAGAGTCACTAGCCAAAGTTGATGGAATAATAAGTGGTAGAGCTGAGGTTTGCACTGAGGTTTTCTGGTGGAGCTGCCTGCTCTTTCTGCTTTCTCCTGCCTCTCGGTGGAGACTTGGCTCCTGAAATTTCCCAGTGACGCATTGCATGCCTTCTGCAGCCTGACAACCCTCTATAAAATGCTCCGTTCTCACCCAGTCTTCATCTTCCCATCACCCAGGAGTCAGATCTGTCCTTTTACTGGGCCAAGCCATGGTCCACACCCTGCTTGCCCTGCTGTCAAGGGTCCCGCTGAGATCAGCCCCTCACAGCAGTCAGGACTGCGGCTATCAGGGGTCTTCTGAAGGCTAGGGGGCGGGGGTAGAAACAGGAGCAGCAAGCACAGCCTCCCCGCTCCCCCCTGGCCCGAGCCCCCAAATGGAGCGGGGCCTCTCCCTGGTATTGTGCATGCAGATGAGGCTGCCTCTTCTTTATAAAAGGAGCACACCCATTCTGAGACCAGCTGGGAGATGGGGGGCCCCTGCAGCTGTCTGAGGGTCCTGGCCAGCAGAGTTGAAGCCGTGGCCTGAGATGCATAGCTGGGCCCGGAATAGGAGGAGAGAAATTTCGCCTCCTTTCTCCCCTTCCCATCCCCTGACCTCTTTTAACTGTTCATGTGGTCATTGTTCCTTCAAGAAACTTCTACCTCCTCTGAGTCTTAGGCCTACCTACATTAGGCCTGTGCAACCAGGTGCTGAGAATTCAAGGAACAAAGCCTACCCTGTGCTTTCGCTCCCTCCCTGTCTTTCCCCTGCTCCTCTTCTTGTTATTCCTTCATCACACTTGGTGACTGGACATCTTGCCAGGGCCAGGACCTGCTCCCTTCTCTTTGCCTACACTGGCTTTCCTTCTCCCTGCCCCTCAGGGCCCTCTCCCCACCATGCAGCCTTCCCCTTTCTCCTCCCTCACCTCAGGGTTGTGGTCTCCCCTGCCCTTCTCCCCAGGGCTCCTTCTGACCTGGTCAGTCTTTTGGACCTATTCAGGGTCAGCGTGAGAGACAAAACCTGGGCACCATATTCCCCTTGCTGATGGGAGAGAAAAGGGGAAATGCATTGAAGAAGATAGCTTCATGGCAGCCCCTTGTTGTGGATTTTGAAATAAAGAAGGAAATGGCACGACCATTTTCTCACTTCCAGAATACTAGGAAAGGGTGTGAGTCCTGGGCTGCTGCTTCCCCAGGGCCAAGACCTTCTCCATGGCAGCAGCTGTCCGCTCCTTAGCACCTGCTAAGCCTGCAGGCCAACTTCATTCACCCAGGCTCCCCGCCCTGCCCTCTGTGTTGCACTTGCTCCCTAAAAAAGGGACTTCTCCAACTCTTTCTCCTCCACACAGGGTCCTCCAGGATCTCGAGGCCCACCAGGCATGCGGGGAGCAAAAGGACGCTGGGTAAGTGGGGCTCGGTCTCCTGGGGGCAGACACTGAATGGGGACTCCCTGCTTATCCCTGAGATAAGGGATGTTCACAACACCAGGCAGGGCTCCAGGCTTCCTGGGCCTAACTGGATGTGGGGACTCCACCTCCTTCCTGGCCCATTTCTGAGCACCATGTTGGCATAGATAGTCTCTGTAGTACTATTGCTTTGTTCGTTCATTGGTTCATTCATTCATTCAACCACCATTTATTTAGCCCTACTGTTTGCCAGCCACTGTGGGAGCTCTGTAAATACCATGAAGAACAGGGCAGGCATGACCCCTCCTGCATGCCTGGCTCAATCATGTAGGTCGAACAGACCATACAAGGTCACCAGTACATTGATAGAGGAAGTGTGGGCATCTTGGGAGGCTGAAGGAGGCACCTCATGTGGGCAGGGTACCAGGGAAGGCTTCCAGGAGAGAGTGATGCTTGAGCTGATGCCTGGTTTCAGGCAGGGGGACACTTATATGGTGGGAGAAGGTGGGGCATCTCTATTTCAGGATCTCTATTAACTTAACAGAGGGGCAGGGGAAAGGGATATAACCAAGCACGAGCAGGTACCAAGCCAAGTAGGCCCTCCAACACCATAGCTAGGCATATGAGCTATGCTCCAAGGGTAGTGGGGAGCCACAGAGAGTTTTAAGAAATTTCTGGCCCAAGCACGGCAGCCAGAGGTACTGTTGAGCACATACATGAATTTTTAAAATCTTCAACTCTACCCTATAAGGTAGGTGTTATTATTATGTCTATTTTTCCAGAGAGGAAATTGAGGCACAGAGAGGTTAAGCCACTTGCCTTGGGTTGCACAGCTTGAAAGTAACAGAGCTGGGATCTGACATAGGAAATCAGACCCTTTTTGCCTATTGAATGCAGTCTTATTTTCACTCATGCAGAGAGGGCTGATGGGGTGGTTTTCAGTCCCCAACTGGTATAAAGGTGCCAGGCCAGGCAGCCTTGTAATTAGGAAATGAGGTGGCACAGGTAGAGCAGGCAGTCCAGGCGTGATATCCCAGCTCCATACAGGGATCCGTGATGATTATTCTCCTCTTGGCTGACTTTCAAGTGACTTAAAATTTTCCCTCAAGCAGATGGCCTGAGCAGTCAGCCTGGGAGAGGACAGATTAAGAGGCTTTGCTCCAGCCTGGCAGGGCGTCTCCCAGTGCCTGGGTCCTGGGCATCTGCATGTGGATGGAGGCTCACCTGCAGCTGCTCCCATGTTGTGTACAGTCCATCCTGCCCCAGGAGTGAGATTCGCTGAAGCCCCCTACTTTCTCCCAGATGCAAGACTCAGGCCCCACCCCCTCTGCTCACTGAGGTTCCCGCAGTCTTTACCACCCCTTTCTAGCAGGGGCTCAAAGAATGTATCTCTGGCTTGAGCAAACCCAGACTCCAACCACATCAAAGTCTCTGGGGCTGCAGCAACTCCTGGAGAGCCCCTCCTCCTGCTGAGTTTGGCAGGAATGCAAAACTTGCTGGGTCGGTCCCCTGGGTCTCCTGCCTAATAAGCCACCCTTAGCCACTTCACAGTTGGGGTAACTGAGGGTGAGGGACTCAGAGAGGTCCCCACTGTGCCTGTGAAGGAGCTTAATTCTGGACAAAGTCGTGTTCAGTGTCTTGCTTGCCCTCTGACCTTAACAAAGCCTGTATTCTCTGGGCCTCAGTTTCCCCATATGTGCCATGGGTAACAGGCTTGCAAGGCTCTGCCTGTTCCTCTGCCCAGAAGGACAGTGGGCACTGCTGCTCCCCCACCCTTCTGCCCTGGGATGAATGAGCACTGCCAGGCAGGGCCAAGAGGAGACCTCGGGCCTTCCGCTCAAAGCTGCTGGCCAGGGTCTGATTCCACAGGCGCAAACTAAAAGAATGTGGGTTCAGGAGTCAGACAGATATAGGGGCCTTCCCTTATACCCTCCCAGTTTCAGCTGTGGTACCTCAGGCCAGTTTCTTAACCTCTCTGAGGCTCAGAGGGAGTTTTGAAAAGCCAGAATTTGAACCCAAGTCAGCCAGATGCCCTCTTTCCACCAGTGCCGGTGACTGTTCATCAGTGTGGGACGAGCTCCCCGTCACGGGGTGGGGGGGAGGGGGGCGGGGAGGCGTGCAGGACAGAGCTGAGCGCAGCCAGCTGCAGAAGACAGTATCTAAAATCCCTGTTATCTGGGAGACTCCGCCAGCTCCCTTGGCCATCCTCCTCGAGGAACAGTGAGGGTGTGAGGGTGTGAGGTTGGAGTGTCTGAGAGGCTGGACTCTGTTCCCATGAGTAGGGCCTAGAGCCCAGCCAACCTGGCCTCGACTCCAGCTCCTCCTCTTGGACCTTGGACAACTGACCTCTCCTCCCTGGAGCCTTCCTCCTCTGTAAAATGGGTCAGCACAAGGCCACCTCCTTAGATGTCATGGGGATGCTACCCTTCACTAGCGCCCCGCACGAGGTGAGCCGCTGATCCGGCAGCCATGTGTGGGGTATGCGTTCACTCCTCTCCTTCATCCTCCCCCTTTTCACAAGAGCTGTGATGGGCCAGATTTTCTGTCCTGGGCAGGGGCTCCTTCCCACCAAGCCTGACCCCAGCCTGCCTGGCAGACAGCCCCAGCTGCGGCTGCAGACATCTTCCTGGGGAGTGGCTACCAGAGAGCAGACATGTGGCTCTGATGGAAACCCAGGCCTGCCTCCAGTGGGCAAAGAGTGAGGGATTGGGGCCGGTCAAAGGGAAAGGAGGACAGAACTGGAGGAGTCTCAGGACTAGCTGTGCAGAATGGCCCGGCAAGGCTTAGGGGGTGTGGCTGCGGGCTCCTCTCCCTGCACAGTGGAGGGAGAGGGAGTTGGCCCATGGCCTCCTCATCCTTCCAGATGGAAAGGTGGTCCTGTTTCCCCCAAGTCAGCCCCAGCTTCTCTTGAGTGCTCTGGTATTCCCAGGGCGCAGCGGAGTCACCCAGATAATAGGGATTTTAGACATTATCTTCTCTAGCACACAGGTCCCTCTAGGCCCTGCCTTGTACCGCCCCCCATTCCTGGTAATGGGGAGCTCACTCACTGATAACAAGGAGCAGGTAGTGGGGGGAAAATTGACATCCAGCTGACTTTGCTCCAAATTTTTCACATGCTCAAGATGAGGTTTGAGCACTTACTTGCTGTGTGACTATAGGCTGTTTCCTTATTTATAAAATGAGGACATTGGCTTCCACTATTATTGCTACTGCTGCTGTTGTTATTATTAATATGATTATAGCTCACTTAACCTTTCTCCCAGAAAAGCTCAGCTTTCTAAGGTAAGCAGGGTGCCATGTGATTCAGCCCCAGCCCTCCACCCCCTCGGGGCTCCCCTCCAGTCCCAGAGCTGTCCCTTTCCAGGGTGGATTGTGTTTCCGGTGGAGACAGCACTCAGGGACCAGACACCGTCCCTCAGGAGGGGAGATGCCCACCCCTGGGCTCTGCCTCCATCCTGCCTCCCGAGACCTGGATGCCCCCAACCCCACCATCCCCTGTCCATGAACTAGGGTGATAAATCTAATACAGTGTCTGACAGTGTCCCCCAGAGACTGAAGCTCAGAGAGGGGATGGGGCTTCCCTGGGGTCAGACAGCAAGGACTCACACTCATGCTCTCTGCTCATACCTCATTGTGAACCTGTGAAAACTCTCAGCGGCTGGGCTGGTAGGCACATAACAAGAGCTGCCTATCCTGAGGAAGGGACTGGACCTTGCCATTCCTGTGTCCCCACCCCTGGCCTGCAGGCACTTCCTCATGCCCTGTGCTGAGATGCCTTGCATTGTCTTCTGCCTTGAGAGGTGACTTCTTGTCACCATTTCAGAGGTGAGATAGTGAGGAGCAGTGCCCTGTCTCTTTATTTCCTAAGCACCACCACAATTTCTAGTTCTGCACCCCCAGTTTCCTGGGCCTGGGCCTGGAGATGCTGCTGACACACTCATAGCTGAACCCCTCAGTGCCGTGGCCCCCTGTCCTGGCTGATTTGGGAAATGAGGTGCTCTTTAAAGCTATGGGGTGGAGCTGAAGCAGCTAGGAATTTTCACTTTGAGGAGCTCAATTATTCATTCAAAATTCCCTTATATTGAGTATAATTGGTATATGATACCAGTTTCAGGCATACGGTATAGCGTGAGACCATCCCACCATACGGCTGGCTAATCCCCCTCGCCACACATGTTCACAGCCCATTTTGAATTTCAAATGACTTCTTGATGCTGTCTTCTCCTCCCTTATCATGGCCTACCCAGGCACTTCCCAGACCCTGTCATTTGCAGCTGGCCCTCCATGCTCCCAGAATGCGGAGATTGGCCTCCTTCACAAGACCCTCTTTGTCTCCCCAACATGGCCTCTTCCGACCACCACACTGTTCTCCATGGGGATCTTTTCCAGGAGACCCCACCCCATCTGCATGTCTGTGGGAGCCCTCCTGGAGGGGACATGTGGAACAGTGGGTTGAGCCCTGGAGGGATACTTCTGTGCCAAGTGACCTTGGACCAGTTACTTCCCTTGGCTGGCCTGTGTTCCCATTGGTTCAAGGAGTCAGGGTGGGGGGGTGCCCCAGAGGCCCCCCCCAACTCTCAAAAGACCAAGGCTCCTGTCTCAGGGGTCACACCTGAGTCCAGAGCTCCAGGGAGCAGCTGCCTGACCTCTGCCCTGCTGCTGTTCCCTGATATCAGGAGGCCCGATTAGCTTGCACAGCTGGCTAAAGAGGGGGCTGCACTGAACATCTGGCCACACAGAGACCCCACCCTCCATAAGTCCTTCTTGGTCAGTTTCCACCAGGGCCATTTCTGTCCCCACCTGCACTCTGGGAAGACAGACCTGGCTGTCGGACTTGGTCACACAACACTGCTCTGGCCCTTGATCTCCACGCCTGGGCAATGGGTTGGCAGGCTGACCCTCCCACGAGGGCCTCTTTCAGCAATGTTGCTGGTACCCTCCTAGCCCCCATTCTGAATGTTAGGGCCTCTAGCTGATTCCACTTGTGCCAGTCCTTCTGCAGATCATCTCAAAGGGCACACGGCACAGGGGGACTCAGCTCAGGGGGAGAGTTTGGGAAGTGGGAGGAAGGAGCCCCAGGCTAGTGGAGGGAAAGGCCGGAGGTTCTGGGCAGTCCTGAACTCCTGGTTCCCAGCCCAAGGGAGATCCCTGCTGCCCACTGCAAGCCCCTTTTCTTATTCCAGGGCCCCCGAGGACCAGACGGACCAGCTGGGGAGCAGGGGTCCAAGGGCCTGAAGGTACTGGACCCTGTGGCCTGCCTTTCCTCACCCCTCCATGCTGAGCCAGGAATCCAGGGACCAAGGCTCACACCCACCCAGTACCAGGCCCTTGGGGACAGCAGGCACCTCCTGAGAGCTCCTGCAAACCTCCGAGCTGGGGGCAGGGCACTGGAGGAGCATAGCATAGTGAGAGAAAGAAAGCGTGTGAGCAGGAAAAAGCAAGGACAAGAATGAGGAGGAACCACATGGTCCTGGGCCCTCCTGGGCCTCCACAAACCCTTCCTGGCTCCTGAGAGCCAAGGCTGCTTCAGGCGCCATCCAGAGAAAGGGGAACTGGCTCTGAACCAGAGCCCCGCGACTCTGGTGAGCCCCCTCCTTGCTGGGCCTTGGTTTGCCCACCTGCCCAATGGGGAGAAGGGTGGAAGCCTTGAGATCTCAGGGGTCCCTTTCATCTCCCATGGGAGTGTGTGTCCTTGTTCCGTGAAGGGTCCTCCAGAGCATCTTCTCCCACCTTTGCTCACTTTGCTTCCTATAGGGCCCCCCAGGACCACAGGGCAGACCGGGCCAGCCTGGGCAGCAGGTATGTCAGACAGAGGCTGCCAGCCCCTCCCCGCTCTCTGCTTTGTGATATGTGCCTCTGTCAAACCGCAAATGTGCTTCCAGGGTGCAGCTGGTGAGCGAGGGCATTCAGGCGCACGAGGCTTTCCCGTAAGTCACACAAGTCCTTGAAGGTCTCCCCTTGGGGCTCAGGGGGAGGTACTGGCCCCATTAGCCACGTTCCTATTCTGTGGTAGAGACTCCAAAGGGTCTAGTTGCCCACTTTCTGCACTGACGACCCTGTCTCTTCCCCTAGAACTCAGTCTCCCCATTTGTCACATGGTATAAGGTGAGGTTGGCATCCTCATGTACAGGGAGGGCTTAGCTGAGGCTCAAGTTACAGGCAGGGCAGGCCATGGAAGGACTAAGGTCACCTTTGTTTTTCTCTGCAGGGCATTCCTGGTCCGTCAGGGCCCCCAGGCACCAAGGGTCTCCCAGGAGAACCGGTAAGTGTCCTTTCCTTCCCTCTTTGCATTTTTGTACCTGGCAGCTGGTTTCAGAAGGTCATCCCCGTAGTGGGAGGCATCATATAGTAGGAGGGGGAGGATTTAGAGAAGGACAGGGCTGACCTCCTCCTCCCAGGTGGCACCCCTGGACGTGGGGAGAGCACTGGCCAGGAGCTCAGGGGCGCTGGGTTTGAGTCTAAGTTTGCCTTCCAGCCTCGGTTTCCTGACCAGTAAAATGGTCCCAACCTTGCCATCCTGTTGTGAAGTTGAAACAAGCAAATGTTTCTGGAGTGCTCGGTGTGGGGAAAGGCAGAGGGCATGGAGCACTTAAGTCTCCGGAAAGAGAGAGGAGGAAAAGAATAAACTCACAAGGTGGCAGGTAGATCCCAGGTGGATTCCAGGTGGAGCCAAGGTGGATCTCAGGGGGACACGCATTCCAGGCAGCAAAATGGAGTGAACAAGTCTCAGGAGGTGGATGTTTTCTAAGCATGAGTGGGCCCTGCTGAGTTTTAGGTGGATGGAGAGGAGAATGTGAGGATGGATTGGAGGGGACATGCTGGTGAGGATAGAGCTGCAGACACCAGAACCCTCATCATGGGCGGGTTCGGGACACCAGGTTCCAGGTTCCACATCTAACCCTCCAGACTGCATTATCCAGCCTTAGGCTGGCTTGTCCCAACTGTCTGTGTGCCTATCTATCTTCTAGGGCCCTCAGGGACCACAGGGGCCCATTGGCCCTCCAGGAGAGATAGGACCTAAGGTGAGTGTGGCAGAAAGAACACTTGTTCATCCCATGATGCTGATGAGGAGGTATCAGTCCTTCCCAGTGCTCCTCGGGGTTTCCTGGCCCAGCTGTGTGGTGTCCTGCAGAGACTGGAGGTAGATTCTCTGGCAGTGAGGGCAGATCTTTCCTAATGGCCTGGGTTGAGGAGCTGGGGTGCCAGGATCCTCAGGGGATGCTGGCAGTGCCTCTTTTTCGGCACCAAAGAAAGCAACCAAGCCCCACTCCCGCCATCACCTGCTGGAACGTCACCCCAGCACCCAGGTTTGACTGCAGATCCAGCCTCGTAAGGTCATGTAGCAAGGAACTCGAAGGGCCTTGAATAGCCTGCCTTTTCCAGAGAAGAAACTGAGACCTGGGGTTTGTGCACTGGCTGCAGCTGTGCCAAGGGTGATAACTCAGGACCCCTTCCCGCCCTTGTCATCTGGCCCAGCAGCAGAGAGAAGTGCTGGGATTACTCAGCCCCAAACACAACATTCGTTGGCTTCCTCCCCTGTCGTTATGTGAATCATGAAATTTTCCTCCCTGTGCTTGCCAAGGGGCTCCTAATGTGGTAAACCACACTCGTGGGGCGGGAGAAGGCTCAGTAGCCTCTGGGAAGCCCCAAGGCCTAGTCAGCCTGCCTCCCACCCCACCCCCTAAGTCTCAGCTATAGCTCTGAGAAGTCTGCAGTTACTCCCCAGCTCTGTCTTTCATGCTGTGTGACCCCCACAGGTCCATGGCCCTCTCTGGCCTGCCTCAGCTATCTCCTCCCTTACAACCTTGGGCTCTCAGAGGGACCAATGACATTTTCTTGCAGGGACCTCCAGGTGCTGTGGGAGAACTGGGCCTTCCCGGGGAAGCTGGGATGAAGGTAAGAGGGGATGAAAGAAGAGAAAACTGGCTTGTTGAAACCAGTTCCCAGCTGGTGGGCACATCCTCCCCTCAGAGGAGAAATGGGCCTTTCTTGTGTCTGGAATAATGGAACCTGTGTGTTTCTGACTAGGAGTGGGGCCCGCCTGTGGCTTCAGCAGAGTGTCCTGCAGACCATGTTTTCTCTGTCAGCTGCCCCTGCCCCCACACTGAGCAGCTGAAGCCCCTGGCCTCTAGAGATACCATCTGCTTTTCAGCACCCAGCTCCTCATTCCCCGTGGGGAAACAGACGCCCATTGATACCTGGCTCTGGGGAGAGCCCTCTCCCCATTTTGCTGTTGGGAGAAAATGCTAGTCCCAGGCAGCCCCAGAGCCTGTAAGCCAAGCAAGTGGTCAGAGTACATTGAAGCAGGGGGAGTCCATTAAGGGGCCTTGGGACTTGAGACAGGCCACCCCAATCTGTGCCTGAGTCTCCTTTTAAACTCATTCAGAAGGGACTGGACCCAGACTGGGATTATCTGTCTTGGCTTAGTTCCAGAATCCTTTGCTCAACCGCAAAGAAAACCACCCCTGGTGTGAAGCAGATAGAAGTAGTATCGTCCCATGGGCAGGGCTGTGGGCTCAGAGCTGGGCTCCTCCTTGAGCTCTGGCCTTTAGCGAGGAAGTTTCACTTGGAAACCCTATAGGAGAAAGACCCTTTTTGGGTCCTGAGGTGGGTGACATTGACTCTGGCTCCTTTAGGGTCTCATCCTGGTTTGGGTTTCTCCCCAATGCTCTAGGGGAAAGTAGTGAGTTGGTGAGCCACAGACCGCCCTCCAGCCTCTGCTACTCCCCAAACCACCCAGGTTTGGCTCTTGAATCTGTCCCTCATTAGCCTCGTGAATTGGCACTAGATGCTTAACCCCGTGGTCCCCAGTTTCTTCACTTGTAAAAGAAGACGCCTTTCTTTGCAGTGTTGTGAGAATTAAATGTATGAAATGAGAAGATTCTTAGAACCAGGCCTGGTGGGTGTGAGCTGTAATGTTGGTGTAGACCCACCATGGCCTGGCCTAATGTGGATATGGGACTCTGGAGGTCATTTAATCACTTCTCCTTGGTTCTTGGGAAAAGGGCTATTCCCCAGCACCCCCTTCTCCTTGCCCCTGAAGCAGAGCCATGGAACAGGAGGAAGGTGTGTGGGGAGGGCTGGCCAGGCCCTACCCAACTCCATGAACTTGTGTTTTGCTTCTCCTAGGGTGACCTCGGGCGGCTGGGCAGCACTGGAGAGCAGGGCCTCATTGGGCAGCGGGTAAGTCAAAATGAGTTCATTGTCCCTGGAAAGTCCTGGAGTCTTGGGGCTGGGGGAAAGGGCTTTATGCAACCTCCCTGAGCCTTAGTTTCCTCATTTAGAAATAGACCATGAATCTCTGCAGCCCTGTCCAGTCTCTCTTGCTAGACCAACATGTCCACAGTTTGAAAGATGCTCTTCAAAGGCGAGCATTCAGTGGTCAAAGTATTTTTGAGATTAACAGTAGTGTTTTCAAGGCTCTGAGAAGGCCTGCAACCAAGAAATTGGCTCCTTTGGGATTAATCCAGAGTCTCCAAATTTATTTGACCTCCAAGCACTTTTACTGAAAAACTGGTTATCATCCTTTGAAACTGCTCCAGGGAAGGTGGTCTTCTTCTTTTCCTAAAGAAAGCCACAAAGCTTGTCTTTTTCCTCTGAGCAGCTTTAGGATATCTGGTCCTCCTCTCAGTGCTCTGGTTTATAGGGTCTCTGCCTGAATGGGCACCCCCAGGCAGGCATCCTCTATCAATTTACAGGTGAGGTATGAGAGGGAGCTAGTGTGGGTCCTGATTTATGGTCCCTCATTCAACTCTCATTTCTCATCTTTCCTCTTTTCTAATGCCTCATTAGTCCAGAGGCTCCACAAATTGAATTGAGACATAGAATGAGAGGGGAAGGCCACAAGGTAAGAGAGGATGAGCAGGAAGGCCTGAGATGGAAAACCTTGCATGTCAGTGAAGATTGATCAGTATAGTCTTCTTGGAGTATTATATTAAGAAAGATCCTCAGGAAAGAGCATGAAGAGCATTCACTTGATACCCACTGTCTACCAGGCACTGGGAGCACGACAGTGGGCCATAGAAGGCCTTGCCTTCATGGAACTTCATTTTAGTGGATTGATTAGTGATGTCTGCCATGGGTACAGAAAGGGCAAAATCTATGTTTCTGGTGTCCCTGCACCTGATGATTTCTGAAACTTTTTCCTGCTCAGATGCTGAATTACTGTAAATTCTAAAAGCAGAGACAAACCCAAACTTAATTCACCCCCCAGGAGTCCAGAAGGCATATCTACAGCCAGAAAGGCAGGCAGAGAGCCCAGCTGAGGGTCAGACAGAGACCCTTACCTTTAAGGGTTATTGGTATCATTCCCTGGCCTGCTGGCAAGAAAGTCTGAAGGCTGGCCCCACTTTCCACAACTGAAAAATGAGATTCCACTAAGGAAGTCCATGGAGCTCATTCCAATTCCAGGAATAATATCTCAAATGGCTACCGTTTTGGGGAGGTGCTTATATTGTACCTTGTTGCAAGCCCTTTGAAAGCCCCATTTTCAGAAGAGAAACATCTGGTATTTGCTTGTGGTCAGGCCATCAGTGAATGGGAAGCCCAGTGGGGATGTTATAGCCTGTCTGCCATCAAAGTCCTTCTTAGCCACTCAGCCATGCTTACTCCCCAGCCAGCCTGGACACAGGTGTCTGGGGAGGCTCTGTGACTAGAACCTCTAACCTGTGACCTCATGAGCCCCACCTACTCTACCCTTGGGAGTCTGCTTCTCCTTTTGGGAGAGCGAAGTGGGTATTCTACCCTCTCGCTCCTCCATTAGTGCAGACATTGTTTCCTGGGTACCCAGTGTCTGCCAGACATGACAGGACCCTAGTGCCTGGAGGTGGGGGTGCAACTTGTCCCTGGGTGCAGGGAGGAAATAAAATAATGCTAAGGCCCCCTTGCCAGTAACGTCTCCATCTTCCACCACCCTTCTAGGGAGAGCCAGGCCTTGAGGGTGACAGTGGCCCTGCCGGGCCTGATGGGCTGAAGGTAAGTGTCCTTCTTAGTGCAGAGTCTGGGGAGGGGGTGGTTCTGGAGCTGATTCAGCCTGTGCCCCCACCACCCTTCTAAGACATGAAACTTCTCCCCAGAAGGACTGTGTTCCTGAGAATAGACCTGTGGCCTCCATTGAGGGCAGGGTGGGTGAGGGTGAGTCCTATTCAGCACCAGCCCCCACATATACTGCCCAGAGCCCCCAAACCTGGTCAGGTGGAACTGGGGACCACCTCAGCTCCCACTCCACACTGCTACCCTTCTTGAAAGTGCAGCTTCTCTGGGCTAAGGGTGATGCCTGAATGCCAGATTTATGCCAGTTCCAGAGCCAGAGGCTTTGCTACCTGTTCTCTTCCAAACACCCTAAAGCATCAGCAGATAGTCACTGTCCATGACCTGTATGGAGGGCTGGTCACAATTGTATCGTGTACTAAGCTGAGCCCTTACATGTCTCCCCTCCAACAATTCTACGGCATGAGTTCTGTCTAGAGATGAGGATATTGAGACTCAGCAGTTAAGCAATTAAGCTAATAATTGGGCCAAGACCTGACTCAAGTCACTCTTACCACATGCCCATTCTAAAGATGAAAGACTGAGACTCAGAGGGAGGCAGAAGAATAATTGTCCAGAGCCTGTGGGTGTGAGTGGAAGAAATTCAGACGCAGGGCTGCTGGCATCAAAGCCTGTAGGCTTAACTTAGCCTTAGGTTTTCTATAGATTCATCTGTCAGCCACAGATGCTGGAAACTTAAGGAGGCACAGGGGCCCCCCTAAACCTTGGGGAAGGTGGGCACTGCTTTCCCACTTACCAGCCCCACCTCCAGCCCAGTCTGTTCTTGGCCTCCATCTCTAGTACAATAGGCAGCCTTTCCCCAGGGCTGACCTGTCATATTTTGAGTAGTTTCTCCAGCCAGGGTCCCTGAAGCTGTACCTTGGGGTTCCCTGATACCCATATACTCTCCATGTGACCTCAAAGAAGCCTCCCTCTTCTCTGGGCCTCAAGTTCTTCCTCTCCAGACCTTTAGTCCAATGTCCTATCTGAACACTTGCTCTGAGTCTGTGAGTTCTGCTTGTCTAGAAGAGGTCTAGCTGGCTCCCCACCTGCCATGTTTGTCCTTCAAGGATGAGAGTGTCCCCAGTCTGCCACCTGCTGCCTTCCCTCCTTTTCAACCTCAGTGCAAACCCTGGTACAACTGGGTCCTGGCTGGACTAACCCAGCCCCAAGGACCCCTCCAAATCTTTGCCAAGCACAGGCTATGCTGTGCGGTGACTCCGAAGAACATTCTGGCTGAAATGTTTTATGTGCTTACTGCCTTAGGAGCTTTACGTACATGAACCAGTTTCATCCTCCCAGTAATCCACTGAGCTAGACTCTTCACTATCCCCATTTGAGAGATGAAGAAACTGAGGCACAAGGCAAGGTCTGGCTGCACCACCATCCTCAATTTTGTGGCTCTTCGGTCATGGCATCTTCCTCTCTCACTCCCTCCAAAGCAAATTCCACCCCAGTTCTTGGCCAGCATAGTCGCACGGCCATATGGCATCTTCTCTGGTCCTTGTATGTATACCAGAATCACCTTCATGGGGAAAACAACCTCTTGGAGATGCACTTTATAGCTCATGCCATTACTGCTTTGAACCCTCCAGCTGACCCTCCAGTTCATCAAGATGGCTTGGCAGTGGCCCCTGAAAACAACCAATCTTTATCCAGAGCTCGTGCCACCTCTGCTTGGCTGTTTGCATGGATTATCTCTTCCAGTCCTCACACAGACTCTGTGATGGTATCTTTTGAATGAGGAAATTTTCCCAGGGTCACGTAGCTCTTAAGAGCTGAGAGCAAGACCCCAGGGGTGAGGGAGGTAGTATCGCCTGAGCAGAGAGTCTTGGAAGCAGAAGGAGCCAGAACCCTGGGTTCTCACCCACACTCTGCCACTGACTTACAGGTGATGCTGGGATGTCTCCACCTCTCCCAGGGCCTCAGTTTCCCCATCTATAAATTCCATGGTTCAATGAGGCAACTTGTAAGGCTCTTCTGTCCTAGGATTCTGAAATTATAGGATTCTCCAGGACCCCCAGGGTCCATTGAGTACAGGAGTCACAAGGGCCCCAACTGTGTGGGAGCCTGGGCCATGAGGGTTTGGGTAGTCCCTGGAACCAGAACCCCTTGCTGGAAATCACCCTGGCCACCAGGCCAGGCTGCCAGCCTCTGACAGCTAGGAGAGCAGGCAAGAGGGCACTCCTGGAGTCAGGGCAACCTGGGAGAGGGTCATCAGGGTCAGTGCTTAGAATCTTGAGAATCTCGGTGGGCAGGCACCTCAGAAACCACAAGGCCCAGCCTTTCCTGGTGACCCAATCTGCCCTGTGCTGACCTACCTCATCCTAGTCTGGGTCACCTGTATGGGAATGTAGAAACTGCCCAGCACACCCCCACCCCGACATGTAGAGCCTGGGTCCCAGCGGGAGCAGCCTACGGGGTGTGCTCTCAGCCCCCCTGTTCCCAGGCCCTGGCTCCCTGCCCCCCACATCCTTTCTCCTGGACATGCATTAGCTAATCAGCATATCTCATAAAACATGGCACCTAGAACATGACTGGCAAAGACACCCTGCTTTCCTACACCTGCTCGCCCATCCACAGCTTCCTCATACCTGCAACCTTATACCCTGTCTCTCAGGTTTCTCTGCCTTGCCCCTCTGCGGCCACTGCCCACGCTCTGCCCTCAGAGCCAAGAGTACCAACCCATGCCCTGTCCTGCCAGAAGGTGGCCAGGACACGGCTGTGCTTGTGTGTCAGCCGCCATTCACCCACCAAGGAAGGGCTCTGCAGCCCAGAGAATGGGAACCGCACGGGCAGACACAGGGGAGGACATGCTCACGATGGAATCAGACACTAAGACAAAATAAAGATGGACTCACAAGTCCAGTGCATTGTGGTCTTAAGGCTTAGTTTATAGTGTCTGTTTGATCACATAGGAAGTGATCATACACTGCTGATTGAAAAGATGGTCAAAAGCTTTATTGCCTTTGACCAGTTGTTCTGCTGCCTGGTCCAGAGCAATCAGACCTATTATTCCTACTCTTCTTATTCTTGTTGTTGGCGCTTCTCATGTAAGCAAGAGTTGAAAATGCAACTCCAAAAAATGGAGAGTTCATTCTGAGTGACAGAACTGGGTGGATTTTTTCACTTATGAAAAGTTCCTTCAGTTCATGCAGACTTGTCCTCTCGATGTCTACTGGGGTGACATAGCCCCAGTCCCCCAAACCTGTCCCCTTCCTGCAGACCCCATGGGGTGGGTGTGGCCAGCATCTTCTCTTCCCTGTGAGCCACTCCCCACCACCAGCACAGGCACAGACATCAACACTTGCCAGTGGGGCCCTCTTGGGGGCTGGGACACCACTAGGGAATCAGGGGGCTGGTCAGCTCACAACATCCAAATGAAGCCCTGAGGTCTGGGGCTGCCTCTGATGAGCCTGGTGCTAATTTCTTTTCTCTCTCCCCTCTTCATACCCTTCCAACCCAGGGGGACAGGGGTGACCATGGGCCTGATGGTGAACGTGGTGAGAAGGGCCAGGAGGGGCTGATGGGTGAAGATGGGCCCCCTGGGCCCCCTGGCATCCCTGGTGTCCGGGTGAGTATGCAGGGCTATGTGCTGGCACTTGGGGCTTCTGAGTGTCAGTAATACGCTGACATGTTCAAGCAGTTGGGGGTAGATCTTTTAGTAGCCACTGCCTTAGGATCCTCTGCTGTGTTCCTTCCTCCACATGGGAATTACCCAGAGAACCACTAGCCCTCCCCTGCCAAACCCTCCATGGCTCCCAAGTGCCTTCAGAGTAACATCTGTCTCCTTACCTGGCAGCTGTGCCTGTACAAACCTGGCCCCTGCTGACCTTGTCCTGTCCAATCCCATGTTCAACCACACTGAACTTCTTCCAGTTCCTTGGGCAGGCTGTAACTCTCACCCATGATCCTTTGTATATAGTGTTATCTCTGTCTAGGATGCTCTCCCTTGTTCATTCCCCCGACACCTGCTTCACTCCTCTTTGGCCTACTGTCATCATAGATACCCCTCCTCCAGGAAGCCTTCCCTGATTCCCAGCGTCCAGGCGACCCTTATCCCCTAGTATATAGTTTGGTCCCACAAGGCTAAGGAAGACCTTCCTTGTCTGGTTTATATTATATCTCACACCCAGCCAAGTGTCTGTTTGATTACATAGAAAGTGATCAAACACTGTTGATTGAAAAGATGGTGAGAAAAGTTCTCCCCTTCTATCCTAGCAGAAATGTGTTTCATTAATCCACAAACACTCATGAACATTTTCCATGGCCAAGTCCCCTGAGATTGAAGTGTTGAATCAGAAAGCATCTCTGATTTAAGCATCTTAAAGGGCATAGAACCTGGTGGGGAAGGGAAAGAAACAGTCCTGTTTCTTTGTGGAATATTCCTTCTTCGATACTGATAGCCATTCTCTGAGATTTCAGAAAGTTAGAGAGCTAAAGTAATTTGCTCAGACTTGCACAACTAAGAAGAGACAGAACTGGGGATTGAACTTGGCCCTGTATGACTCACTCCACACATACTAGCCCTCTGCTCTGGCATGGCTGGAAGCCAGACCTGGCTGGGAAGCTGGTGCAGGCCTGATTTTAGAGTGTCTAACTATTAGACTGATGGCTTGGGACTTGACTTTGTGGTGAGGGGAGCTGTGAAAGGAATACCCAGTTCAGCATGATGTGTACATGTGACCTGGGCATGCTGGACTGGCTCATTTGAACTTGGGACCAGTGCAGGTAAGTGGGCCAAAAATACAAGCCCCCTGGGACCCACCTTGAGTCAGCCAGGTGATGAGATCTCATATCTCTGCTTCCAGCCCAGATCCCCATTATGCTTTTCATCCCCCAAGATTAGCTGCCTAGTTTCATTCAGGCCTGCTCTCGAGACCGTTCTTGCCTCCTGGGTATTAAAATGACTAACCTAGGATGGATCCAACTTAGCCATCAAGATGTGGCTGTGGGAAAATATTTATTATTTAAAAATAGAAATGAAGTGCTAATCCCCTTAATAGTTGCAACAGTGTAAACTCAACAAACAACTAGAAAAGGAGTCTCTTGGTCAGACTTGCCAGGCCAGCAGGCCTCCCCCAGCTTGGCCTGGCTGTGGGGACGTGGGCCAAGGGGAATTTAGCAGGAAGGGTGCTGGCCTGATTCTCCATCAGTGACTTGTTTTGTGACTTTTCACTTGCCCTGCCTTCTCTGGTCACACCCTTAGAATGATGAAAGATTTAGAAGGGATGTGTGCTAAGATTGCTTTGATTTCCAATGTTCAGGGGACCTTTCTCAGGGAGTTGTTGAATATTATGATGGGAACAGAGTGGCATATGGCATAAATAGCCCTGGACCCAGAGGCCAAAGGTTGAGTTCTGCCTGGAACACCCACTCTCTTTGTGACCTTGGGCAAATCACTGCCTCTCTCTAAGCAGTGATTGATTTTCTCATCTATAAAGACCAGTGTAACCTTGGGTAGGAAGGCACTTTATAAAATAAGCCCGAAATATAAAAGATTGTGTTTTGAATTTGGAGAAGGAAATGGAAGCTGGTGGTGGTAGTGATGGTGATGATGATGCTGCTGGTGGTGATGAGGATGGTGATGACAATGGTGCTGATGGTGATGATGGTGGAGGTGACAGTGGAAGAAGTGGTCGTGATGGTGAATATTGTACAACAATGGTCGTTGGTGGTGATGTTGTCTGTGGTGGAGGTAGTGGTAGTAGTGAGGGTGATGATGGTCACTGGTGATGGTGGCAGTGGTGGCAATGGTAGTGACATGTCGGTGGTGGTGATAGATCAGGGTTAATGTCTTTGTTTTACTGTCACTCTTAATTTGCATATACCAGAACCAGAAAGAAGTCCCTTGGGACCAGATTGAGTGTGTGTTGGGTAATAGGCAGTGAGTGTCTTTGGTGTCAGGGTTGCAGGACAAATATCTCCCTCTCTGTGGCCTAGAAACAGTCAAGTATTTAAAAATAGAATTTTATGAGCCATCAGGGCCTTTCCAGAAACACATCTATATATATGGATGGGGGCCCAGCTGAAGTCTTCATCACTGCAACCTCACCCTGCTGGCTCCTCCAGCCCTTGCACAGGGTTTCCCACACCACGGAGGATGCGCCCAGCTGGAGAAGGGAGGGCCCATCACGCAGGTGGTCGGGCAGCTGCCTGTCCTGGGGGAGACTCCCATCTCCCTGGCCCTGTGCCGAAGGCTGCAGCCCTGACTCATTTCTCCTGATAAGGAATCAGCCCCTGCAGTTGCCTCAGTCAACCAGCAGTCCAGTCCCAGAATCATGATTTCACATTTGCCTGACCGGGAGCCCCAGAAACAAAGGATCTACAATTTATTTTAACCTGGCTGAGTGACCCACAGAGAGCACCTTCATCTCACTGAGCCTCAACTTCTCTAGCTCTAAAATGGGTCAAATAACCCCCTCCTTCAGCTGTATGTCCAGAGTTGAATGAGATGCCATGCAGAATGCAGGCCCCATGCCTGGCTCGCAGCTGAGGCCTTGATGATTGTTAGCGTTTTTGTACTGAGGAATAAAAGAACTTGAGGTTTTCTAGTCCAGTGCTACCCAACAGAAGCAGAAGCCATGCTACAAGTAGAATTTTACATTTCCTAGTGGCCACATTTAAAAGTAGAAAGAATAGCAGTGAAATTGATTATGTAGTATATTTTTATTTAGCCCAATATATGCAAAATATTAACATTTCAGTACATAATGTTGTATAATATTAACTTTTCAATATAAAAGTCAGTAAGATATATTGCATTTTTTGGTACTCTTTGAAACCCAGTATGCAATTTACCCTTCCAGAACATGTCAATTCAGATGCTAAATTTTCATCGGAAATACTTGCTCTGAACTTGAAACTATAGATTCATATTTCCAGGTTGTTCCAAACATTTTAAGTTTTCCAATGACTGAATGATCAGCTCTTAAATTTAGTTTTTAAGTTAATTCAAGTTAAATTGAATTAGGAATTCAGTCCAGTCCCTCAGTCACAGTGGCCACATGTCAAGTGCTCATAAGCCCCGGTGGCCAGGGGCTGCCTTAGGGGATAGTGCAAGGCTAGTTTAAATCCTTCATGTCACAGGTGGGGAAACTGAGGCACAAACAAGGGGAGGGACTTTTCCAGGGTCTCATGAGGACTCAAGCACAAGGATGTAGGACAACCTGCCCTGGGTCCTTCCAGGGCTGACTCCTTCCTCCCTGGGGGCCTCAGGTGGTCTGGCTGGCGCTTCCCTTTCAGACAGTCATCTTCTCCACCCTGTTGTGTTCTTTGAGCAGACATTTCTCCCTCATGCTAAATCAAAAGTGGCCTCCCTGTAATTTTTGTCCACTGGCCACCCCCCAGGGCAACTGTAGACAGGAATCGAGTAGCTCTGGGCTTGCCCAAATGTTTCCTTGTTCCTCTGGGATTCCCTCTTTTCCTTCCTCCATCACAATTAGTGCTTCCTCTTAAATTGGTTTGTCTATTCCAAGGTGGGACCATCACCTCCTTCATCCTACAATATATACCTCTGTTAATGAACCACAGGGATTGAATGAAACGTGTGCTTTAGTTTGCCAAGAACATGATATTCTTTCCAGCTCCCTTTGAGGTTTAGGCCTTGAAGAGAGTGTCCTCTAGGGGTAGCTGGGACACACTGCCTGCCCTAACCCAGAGTTGCCCTGGAAGGGGACTTGCTCTGCTATTTCCCTCCTCCCTCTCCCTCTCTGATTCTCCTCTCTTACACTCACAGATGTACACTTACATGACTTCACTCACCCCTGCTGAGCTGAGTTTCCCTGACAACTATGGAGACAAACCTCATGGCCTGCCCCCTTCCGCCTTGGATCAGGGCAGAGCTGGGCAGCCTTTGGAGATGCACTGTGGGGAGAGGGCAGGACTATTGAGAGAACAGACTGGGCACCCCTGCGGGAGCATGTGGGAGAACAGCTGACTTCCCAGCACAGTCTCCACTGGAGGAGCCCCACTAGCCGCAGACCCTGAGAGGAAGGCCCTGGGGCCTCAGGGATTATCAGCATCTCAGACATGAGGGGGACCTCAGATCTCTGCAGCCTGCCTCATGCCATCACTGGATGCCCTGAACCTTGGACCTGGACTCAGAGAGAACTGCCATTGAATCAAGGTCCTGTGGGATCTGGCTAGTGGCTGCACTGCTGGGAAACTCAACAGTCTGAATCTCCAAGAGGGGTCTGAACAGGGCCTCAAGTTCAGGGTGGCTAAGATGGTGGAGAAACAGGTGGCTCCTGGAGAGCTCAGTACAAAGAGCTGCTCCAAGGGGGCCAAGCAATTTGTGCATCACTAAGTATGGGCACATCACTGTATCACCAGGCTGCACCCCCAGCTCTGTGAGCAAATAAGACCACTGGGAGGAAATTAGCATGGGAGGCTAGGTCACCAGGTCACACTCAAGGTCACACAGGTATTGGATGTGGAATCAGGTTGCTATCCAAGCAGCTCACCCCCAGAGCTAGCACTCCAAGGCTCTGTGACCCTGTCTCAGTTTTCTCTCCTCATCTTTCTCTTTTCCCTCCACCCTTCAGGGACCTGAAGGAAAGCCAGGGAAGCAAGGCGAGAAGGGCCGGACTGGAGCCAAGGTGGATTCCCTCCTCCCACCATTGCCCCTGCCCCCCCCCCACCCTCTCCATTCTTCCTTCCCCTGCACCCCCTGTTCCCCCTGCTCTGGGGTCTGGTGACAGCCTGTCTCTCCTCCCGCTGCAGGGTGCCAAGGGCTACCAAGGACAGCTGGGTGAGATGGGCACCCCTGGAGACCCTGGACCCCCCGGTACCCCAGGTCCTAAAGGTTCCCGGGGCAGCCTGGGGCCAACGGTGAGAACTCTTTGGGTCAGGTAGGGTGGAGGGAGCCCCAGAGCAGAGGGGCAGAAAGGGAGGCGCTTCTGTGCTGTTGTGGCCCGCCCAGGCTGTGGCCGATCCCCTGGTTGTCCATTGTCCAAGCCCCTTTTGAGTCATGGATTCCTTTGGGGAACTGCAGAAGCTGCAGCCCCCTCCCTGGAAAAGTCCACACAGTGTTTCTTGCCATTTGGTCTTTGACATCCTCTCTAGACCCAGATCAACAAGCCCTGCCGTGGGGGAGAGTGAGGGAGTGTTTTTACTGAACCACGGGTTTTCCCACTGGAAATAGATTCATAAGGATTGAAGTAAATCTGCAGATCCTGGGGTGACTTAGGGTGTCCCGGCCATGGCTGAGGAAAGAATCAAGGAGGTTGACAGCTGCAAGGGAGGAGATGTGGAGAGGAAGCAAGGAATGGGGCAGATGAGGGGTGCAGCAACTCCAAGCTGCCAGTGTGTACATGCTGATGAACAGCCGTGCAGCTTCACGGGGCTCGCCAGTGTCCGTGGTGTAAATGCCCCCACAGCTGACGTCAAGCACCCACATGACCACCCCGCATGCCCAGTGTGGACGTGGGTGGGAGGTGGTGGGCAGGCCTGCTCTGTTATCTAGTATTCCCACCCCACAGACCCAATAGATGGAAATAACCACGTGAGCACCAGTAATAGCAAAGTTTAGCAAAATAATCAGGAAGGGGTCAGTTTTGAGTATCATATTTATAGTACAATTGATTTAACTGTAACCGCATACAATTTAATTTTTAATTATGCGTCTGTTTAACAACTGGCTCAGAAAATTAGGCACGGACTCTCACGAAACACTGGAGCTGGGGAGGAAGGGCTGCAGGGGAGGAGGCAGACGCCATTTGCTCTCCCCCTCCCTCTCCGGCCCTGGTTCTGAGCAGAGTGGACTTCAGGCTGCTGGGCTGAACTGGGCTGGCATCTGGGGGGCACCGAGCCTGAGTCCCTGCTGGGAGAGCCTCACCCTGTGCCAATGCCGGTCTCTCACAGGGTGCTCCAGGACGGATGGGGTCCCAAGGAGAACCTGGACTGGCTGGTTACGATGTAAGGACACCTCACCTTTTTTCTGGATATCTGTCCTGCACACTGGACCCAGGCCCTGCCCCGACCACCTCACTGCACCTGCCCTCAGGCCACTGCAGACTTGTGGCCTCCTTGCCCTGGGAACACCTGGGCCCTAGACCAGGGTGGAGGTCGAGGCCCACTGGTGGTCAGGCAGGGGTAGGGCCATCAGGGAGTTAGCCCTCCCCCCACCCACCCCAAGTCCTCACTGAATCTCTCCTTCCGATAGTGGGTACCCCACACACCTCATTTCCAGACTGCACAGCTGCTCTCTATGAAAGAGACGAACCTTATCCCATTTTCTGTGTCCAAATTGGCATGTCCCCCTTGGAGGTGGATGAGCCAAAACCTCATTACACCTCTGGGGAGACTAGGCCTCAAAAAGCAGGGGGTCTGCTCAGAAAGGGAAACTGAGGCTTGAGGAGGTTAAAAAAGCATGTGTGCATGCCGGGCAGTCTGTTAAGGATAGAAGTGGGGTACAGCAGGGGGGAGGCTTGGAGAGGAGGGCAAAGGAGATAAGGGGCTAGAGACTGGGGGACAAGATAAGGGGTGCTGGAGCCCATGGAGGCCCCATGTATGTAATTCCGCTCACCACCTGGGGGAGTCGACTGAGGCAAGCATCTTGCCCCTGCCCCTGCCCTGCTCTGCCAAGATCTGGTCCTGGGTGGGGTCAGCTGAGTCCCCGATCAGTGCAGCTGGCACATCCCCAGACGGGTATCTGGGACCCAGGCAGCATGTCGGGGAGGCTATGGGGCCTGCTGAGAGTCACACGTGGAGTTAGGACAGAGCCCAGTGTCCCCATCTCTGAGGTCCTGTCTTTCATCACCTGTCCCTCCCGTGTCCTCTTACCTCCCACCATCTTGTTTCCTACAGGGACACAAAGGGGTTGTGGGACCTCTCGGACCTCCTGGACCAAAAGGTGAAAAGGTGGGTTTTTAGTCCTGGGAAGCAGCTGCTCCCTGGTGCCGGGCCCTGGGGCACTGTGGCTGGAGTGGCACTGGAAGCTCATGGCAGGCTCGCCTGTCACTCATGGTCAGCCAGGAGGCGGCCGCAGCCCTGCCTGCAGGTAGCCATTAGACCAATGCTCAACACGGATGTCTCTGCGACAGGCACACAGTTCCCGCCATCCTGGGATTCCGGGTAAAGGACCTCAGTCGCATAGTGACTAACCCATGCAGTTCCATCATCGCCTTGAACGTGGGGATGAAAGCCTTGCTCATGAATGAGATCACCCAGGGAGAGCCTGAGAGGGCCGCGGAGGCAGCGCGTGGAACTTCAGCATTTCATGGCCAGGAGGGGACCACCGAGGCAGAGGGAGGGCGTGTCCACTCCCCACCCCTTGGCTCCAGATTCCACAGAGAAATTTCTAGGAGAAACCGGCTGGCCAGGGCACCCTGCCCCACAGTGCAGGTGGGGGTGTGGGGGCACAGGCCCAAGGTGCCGGCCCTCCCAGGTCCCGTGCCAAGGCAGGGCTGACTGGGCCCCAGGACCCAAGTTTCTGAGGATCCGCTTCCCATCCTCCCTCCTCTGCCCATGGGGAGGACTCTGCAGGCTGGATCTGTCTCCCTGCCACCCTGCCTCCTGAACCCTCCTTGTTTTTGCCGAGTCAGCACCCCACTAACTCTATCCCTCTGTTGTGAGTCACCCTGGCCTGGCTTCTGCCCAGCTGGCTCCTTCCTCCCACTTGGAAAAGAAAATATTGATATCAAAGTGGCCGCAGGCCATGACACAACCCCCAGGAGCCTGTCAAAAGTACCGCTTAACCCCCCCAGGCCCTCCCAGCCCCTCCCAGGCTGCAGGGCTGGCACAGAAGGGGTTAACATGGACCCTGAACCAGGTCTGGGAGGCAGAGGGATCCAAGCCTCTCCTCCCTCTTTTTGCAGGCCTAGAAGCAGTCTTGTGGCCTCTGAGAATGGGAAACTAACCCCAAATCGGCCTGAAATCTGCTGGGGACTCGGGAGGAGCCCCAGGATTCCCTGAGCTGCCTCCTCTGCAGGGTGGATACCTGGCGAGTGTGAGGCACCGGAAGCCCACACACATGCCACCCAGATGCAGTTTCTGACTTAGGAGCAGTTATTAGATCAGTCACTTATCTGGCTATGTAATAGGCCTGTGTGGATTTATAATTTATTTAGTGCATTTCTGTCCCTGAACTAGGGCCTGCAGATGATGCCCCAAAGGGCTCCTAAGTAGCGCAGCCACATGAATGGATAGTCCACCATGAGCTGGATGGTGCAGGGAGGGAGAGCAAGTTCCTCAGGGAACGGAGGTCTGGCTTGGACCCCGAAGTTCAGGGGTTATTTTCCCAGGATTCTCCATAATCCTCACCACTAGGAGCCCTGGAGGTGTCAGTGTCCCATGTGACATGTGGGGAAACAGACTCCACGCTCAGGGACTAGCACAGGGCCAGTGGGAGCACGGCAGGCAGGAGTCTGACCCTGTCATCAGCTGCCAGGCCCTGCTTCCTGGCAGAGTGGGGCTTAGCTGAGCCTGTAGGCTGTTCAGCTCGGAAACTGCCTCTGGGCATGAGTCCACAAAGGTGGCAGTCCGAGGGACTGGGCAGATGGGATGAGACTCTAGAATAGGAAGAGGGGGGCGAGGACTCTACCAACTGTCCAATGCTAAAAGTGCATCCCCAAAGGATAGCCGTCCTTAAATCACATAGGGGAGAGGGAGAGATCTGAGTAGCTAGCTTTTGACCCAGAGCCTCAGTGGGGATCCTCACCTAGGATAACCATCGCAGCCACAGGGGGCTACCTGGGGGCCCCATGAGGGCTGTATGGATTTTAGGGAGTGCTATATGTGACCAGTCTCGTGAAAGGCCTGAACATATATGCACTAGGTCAGCATGGTACCCCTCCCCACAGCCCCCGGTCCTGCTGTCTCCCACCACAGCAGGATAGAGCCATGGGGACAAGAGTCACGGAACGTGGGCTGGAAGGAGAGGGAATCCCCGCTGCCCAGTGGCCGCTGCAACCTTCAACATATGCCCATAGGCGCCATGGAGGTCTCAAACACAGACACCAGCACTCTCGGGCCCAGGACAAGCCCCAGCCCCAGGGATGGCTCCCCTCTCTCTGGCTTCTCAGGGTCCCCCTTCACTCCCTACTACAAGAAGAGGCTCATGGGCAACCAGGCTTGAGCCCTCTGCCCAAAGTGGGTGCCCAGAGAAGTTTACACTGGTTGTCTGGGACTGGAACGTTCTGAGCCCCAAGGTTCTGCTGGGTTTTTTGTTTGTTTGTTTGTTTTGCTGTTGGGCTCACACCTTCCTGGTGGTTGGCACACGGTATCCAGTCACTTGTTCTGCAGGGGGACCAGCACCTGAGGGTGACCTCAGGGCCCAAAGGCCTCAACTCTAAACTTTGCTCTTTCCCTGTTCTCTCTGATTACGCCTTGCCTGTACCACAAGATCGTCCCTGCCATCATAATTGACAAAACCACGCTCTGGCATGAGCCTAGGGTCTGGGAACGGAGAATAGTGCTCTTTGCTCCCCATGCCACTGGGCACCCCCAAACTAAAGCTGTCTGACAAGAAGACTAAAATGGTCACCCCCATTTTACACAAGACCAGTTGCTCAGACCTTCAGCAGGTCACTTCCTCTCTCAGAGTTTTTTCTCAATGGGAGAATGAGGGTGAAATTGGATACCCCTTCCCTCCCTAGCCTCAATCTCCCCAACTCTGACCCTAACGAGGTGGAACTTCATCTCTGAGGAGGACCCTTTTGGCCTCAGAGTGGAGTGACTAAAACCAGCAAGTTACCAGGAAGAGAGGCTTGTCCTAAAGCTGTTGTTCCACGTCCACAGGGGGAGCAGGGTGAGGATGGCCAGGCCGAAGGGCCCCCTGGACCCCCTGGAGATCGGGTAAGGGCCCCCTGCTGTCCCCTGGCCCATGCTGCAGGGAGGGGAGGCCCTCTGCAGAGGGTGTGGCCCCTGAGGCCCAGGCCAAGCCCCCCTGCACTTGGTGGCCCATAATTGCTGCTGTCTTTGTCCTTCAGGGTCCAGTGGGGGATCGAGGAGACCGCGGGGAACCAGGAGACCCAGGATACCCTGTAAGTATCAGAGCTTCTACCTGCTGGCAGCATGGGGAGTGTTGCAGGAGAGGGTGGTCCTGGCGCCGTCACATGACCTGAATCAGAACAGCCCAGGCAGAAGCCAACCCTTCCTACCCCATCTGGTGCAGGCTGAAGCACAGCTCCCTGTAGGTGGAAGCCTGGGGGTTTAGTACATTAGGCAAGGGTGAGGGCCTCAGACCTTTCCTGACGGAGGGAGAGGATGAGGGGTGAGGAGGTGACCCCTGCCCCAGAACCCCCACTCATGTGGGGAACAGTTGTCTCAGCAGAAACTATAGGCAGAAGCAGGAGATAGACATGCCCACCAAGCACTCCACCTGCCCTCCTTCACCCGTGCTGGTGGGTTGTTGTTTTATCAATTTTGCAGATGGGGAAGCTGAGGCTGGGGGGATGGCATTTGGCTCCCCAGAAGAGCAGGGCTTTTGGGGCTCCACCAGGCTGGAACTGGGCCCCCTGCCCTCTCCCAAGATGAGCTCCTCAACACCTCCTTGTCTTTCAGGGACAGGAGGGTGTACAAGGCCTCCGTGGAAGTCCGGGCCAACAGGGCCGGCCTGTGAGTGGTGCTTCCCGTCCCATCTCCCCCTTCCTTCCCCAAGGCGGGTGGAGTGGTGGAGGGAGAATGACATGCTGTATTAAAGCTTATTAAAGGGACCCTCCCTGCAAGAGGGCTAAGGGTAACCCATTCAGATTTTTCCTGCTCTGACCCTGGGGACACCCCCAGAGCCTGCACCCCCAAATCCCTCCCCACCCCTCCCCCTCCAGGCGGAATCTGGCCACCCTCCCCGGGAGAGAATCCTGGGGCTGCCTTGAGTCATCTCACCTTGGTTTGCAGGGGCATCCAGGACCCCGGGGACGGCCGGGACCCAAAGGATCCAAAGGGGATGAGGTGAGAGGGCTGGATGTCCGTGGGGGAGAGAGAGGTCCTGGGAAGGGATGAGATTGGCCTGAGCACACAGTGTAGGGTGGGAGGGCCATAAGAAAGAGAGGGTGCCATAGGGGCATTATCTGCCCTGTTTTCTGGGAGCCCAGGAGGGGGAACCTCCTGTCTGAGGTCAACTAGCAGCATCTGGAGGCAGGGCAGTCAAGACAGAGCCGGCCTCTCTTCCCAGCCTATCATAGCCTGTAGAAAGAGACCATGAGAATGTGCCAGGGGGTCTGGAGGAGGAGCAGGGCAGTGACCCTCATGAGGAGGACTTCCCTGCCTTACACACAGGTCCCCTACATTGCCCTCCACTGTTGAAGTTGGGCCAGGCTCCCACCAGGGACTTGCTCTGTGGCAGGGGAGCCCATAAGGGGGAGGGGGGCCCAGCAGGGCCAGTGGCACCTTGTCCTTCCAAGGCCCTGACCCTGAGCTTCAGACCAGGCTGTTTGCGTCCATTTGCGGATTCAGAGGCTCTGACCCAAGAGATGAAAGGCAAGGTCCGGCCAGGCAGGGGTCTTGATCTTCTCTCTGCCCTCTTGCAGAGCTCCTGGGGTTCCACAGCTCCTCCAGGCGGCCTCCATCATGTGCCCCTTGATTTTGCAGGGACCTAAGGGGAAGCAAGGCAAGGCCGGGGCTCCAGGACGGAGGGGCATCCAGGTGAGTGACCCATAGTGACTCCTGTCACCCATAGTGACTCCTGCCCATCTCCTTGCCCTCCCTAAAAGCCCTCAACCACTTCTTGTGTATCACCAGGGCCTGCAGGGACTGCCGGGCCCCCGGGGCGTGGTGGGGAGACAAGGCCCGGAGGGTGTCGCTGGACCAGATGGGCTTCCTGGCAGGGACGGCCAAGCAGGACAACAGGTGAGCAGCACTTGGGGTTAGTTCAGGTGGTGTCTCCATTTTGATAAAGTGTGTGCTTGTGTGCTTGTGTGTGTGTGTGTGCGTGCATGTGTGTGCATGCGCAAGTGTGAACACATGTGTGTATTGGGAGTGGGGCAGGGGGCTGCCTTAGGCTATGGGTCAGGAGGAGCAGCTTGGCGAACTTGAATGGGACAGAAACAACATATCCAAAAATTTCCTGGGCTATTTTGGGATGGACTGTTGCCTCACCCCCTGGGACCTGGGAGTGTGGCCCTCCTGACCCCTCTTTTCCATGCCAGCACCCAAAAATGTCCTCCTCATCTCCGTGGACAAAATCTCCGGCTTAAGATCACTCCCCTGCCCCACTCGCAAGTCCTCAACCTTTCTCACCACCCCTGGAACCTCCCCCCATCCTCACACTTAGTATGACCCCCATCTTAGAGTACAGCCTCCTGCTCCTGGGCCATCTATGTCCTGAAATATTGGGGGGCCCTCCTCTGCCTCTTCCTTTACAGGGGGAGCAGGGAGATGATGGAATCCCTGGCCCCATGGGCCCTGCTGGGAAGAGAGGAAATCCAGGTGTGGCTGGCTTGCCTGGAGCACAGGGGCCCCCAGGATTCAAGGTCAGATACTTCTTCATCCACTTACCCACCCTTTCTGCCTGAGTATTAGTAATGATGATACTGCCTATAGTGACATATGCACCTATTCTAGGGCCTAGTGGAAAATGGAATCCACATTGCTGCCTTTGTCAGGGGTCCCTGGCCCAAGCTTGGACCTGACATATACAGGGATAGTTCATCCAGGTAGATATAAATACTGCCCCCTACCTGGCCCTTGAAACCCTCCACTGGTTGGTGAGTTGTCCGTGAGTGCCCCCTAGTGGACCCTTGTGGAATAATGTTTTCTGCCATAGGGACCCTCATCCAAGCAATCTGTTTAGAATTTCCTTGAGTTACTTAGGGGGAAGCAGCCCCAAATCAGTCTGAGCTCAGGGATAGACAGTGAAGGAACAATTGAGATAAATGAATGAGACATGCTTCTTGGCCTCCCTGAGCTCCAGGTTTCAGTGGGGAAAGTTTAGAATCTCTGCGAGGACAGCAGCAAGGGGACAGATAGCCTTGGTCAAGGAGGATTTGAGGGCCTCCCCTGGTGGCGCAGCGGTTGAGCTCTGGGCTGCGAAGCTGCCTGCAGCCTCTGCAGTGCCGGTCTGCTCCCCAGCCACCAGCAAGGGTCCCACATGGCGCGCAGACCTCTCCTGCCGCGCCCGCTGCTCCCCTCAGCAGTGTACTTCGTCAGTCTGCCTGTTCTGTTCCCCTCTCTGGCTCTGGTGAATTCTCTCACCCTCCCACACTTCTGACTGTACCCAGTGCTTGTATAAATAAATTTTTTTAAAAAGGAGGATTTGGTTGAGAATAGAAAGGACAGGGCAGTCTAGGCTGGAGGAATAGAGTGAGTGGAGGTGTGCAGGTGGGAGCTGCGTGGTCCCAGAGGAGTGGTAGTGTGAGAGAGTTCAGGGGACACAGAACCTTGGATAGCAGAATAAAGGAAGAAATCTTCCTTTTCAGGAGGCTGAACATTTGAGCCCCCCCCCCCTTTTCATTCCTGCATCTGTTATACCAGCATCCAAACCGACCTGTAGATTTGCTGTTCTATCCCCTAGCTCCCTGACACCCTGAACCATTTCCTCCTTTGACTGTTCATTTTGATGTGTTTCTTAAAGGGTGAAAGTGGGTTAACTGGGCAACTGGGTCCTCCTGGCAAGCGAGGGACAGAAGGTGGAATGGGGCTTCCTGGGAACCAGGGGGAGCCTGGATCCAAGGGCCAGCCGGTAAGTGAGCCCCAGGGAATATGCACACTCATGCACTTGCACACACAAATACATTCACGTGTGCACACAAGGAGCCACCCACCTGCTCTGTGACAAGGGCGCCAGGTATCCTGAGTGGGGTGAGTGGGAGGAGGCTGAGATCTGAGTGTTCTCTTTAGAATGAGGAAAGGTGGATCATAACCAGAACCTGGATAAACTGACTCCCAGTCCAGTGCTCTGGACTGCCTTCTTTCTTCCTTCTGTCCCAGAGACAAAATTCACCTTACTCCTACCATGAAAAATTGGGGGAAACAAAGAACAGGTGGGCATATAGAAAATAAGTGGCAACTATCTAAACACACCAACTGAAAACAGATATTCTCAGACTGGTTAAAAAAACAAAAGCAAGCTCCAACAATAGTCTGCTACAAAAAGCTCACTTTAAAAATGAAGACACAAACAGGGTAAAGATACACTGTGCTAATATTCATGGCAAAAAAAAATGAAACAGCTGTTTGAATGTCAGACAAAATAGATTTCTGAGCAATGGCTTCTAGCAGTCATAAGGAAGTTCATTTCTAGAGAAGGCATTTTATTGAGATGGCATAGAAATCCTATGTGTAATACACCTAATGATAGATCTTCAAAATATATTAAGCAAAACTGGTAGACATATAAGGAGACATAGACAAATTCACAATTATAGTCAAGAATTTCAGTACATTTATCTCTATAACATGTAACAATTAGACAGAAAATCAGTAAGGATAGGGAAGTATTGGACAACATTATCAACCAACTTGTCCTAATATTTCAGAATACTCCTCCCAACATCAATAGGATACACCTTCTTTTCAAGTGCTTGTAGAACATTTACTAAGATAAACCATATCTTGGGCCTTAAAACCAGACTTAATAAATTTTAAAGGATTCAAATCACACAAAGAATGGTATCTGATCACAAGGATCAATAGATCAATAATGTTATTGATCACTAGATCAATAACAGAAAGATATCTAAAATATCCCCACATGTTATGAAACTAAGTAGCAAATGTCTAAATAATTTATGGGTCAAGAAAGCAAAAGGGAAATACACATTTTGAGCCGAATGAAAGTGAAAACTCCACATATCAAAATTGGCAGGAGGCTAATATAGTACTCGGGGGACATTTTAACAACAACTCATGGATCAGAAAAGAAGGAAGGTCTCAAGTCAATGACTTCAGATTTTATGTTAAGAAAACGGGGAGAAGGAAACTAAAAGCAACATAAGCAGAAGGAAATTATGAAGATTAGAAAGTAAAAAAACAAAAAAGAGAAAAATGAAAAGTTGTTTTTTTCAAAATAAGTGAAACTGATAAACCTCCAGCCAAACTAATCAGGAAAAAAGACAATAGAAAAATTACTAATATCAGTAAGAGGTGTTGTTACTGCAGGTGGTACAAAATATTAAAAGAATAAGGCAATGTTACAAACAACTATGCCAATAAATTAAAAAACTTATATGATATGGACAAATTCCAAAAAAACCTAAGTCCCAAAGTCCATTCAAGAAGAAATTGATAACCTAAATAACCTTCTATATATTAAAGAAATGGAGTCTGTAGTTTAAAATCTTCTCACAAAGAAAACTCTAGACTCGCATGACTTCACTGGTGAATTCTAATAAACATCTGTAGAGTTCCGCATAAACTCCTTCAGGAAGATGAAGAGGAGAGAATACTTCCTGATGCATTATGTGATGTCAAAGCTGACATTAAGGAAAACTACATACTGATAGATCCATAAATTCAGACACAAAATTTCTTAGAGAAAGATAGTTACCAGATGGTTTTGTTTCATTTATGAAATATAAATAGCAAAAGAAAACAAACTAAAAAAACACAAAAGTAACTCTTAGACTCTGTGAGAAATACACAGTTTACTAGGGGAATGGTTGTGGAGTGAGGAGCAGGGAAATGTAGGAAGGTGATAGGGCATTGCCACTGAGTTTGGTGGAGGGTGAGTGAAGCCTGCGGAGGTGTGAAACTAGACTCCCCAAATTTTATAGTTATATAAACAATCCACAAATCAATAAAGTTTGAGGAAAAATTGAATTTTCTACATTGCTATTAAAAATATTTTAGTAAGATCTTATCAAAACAAATCTAAGGATATATAAAAAAAAGATAATAAACCAAGATCAAGTGGGTTTTATCCTAGGAATGCAAGGATAGTATAACACTAAAACACAAATCAATATAATTCACCATAACAAGCTAAAAAAAGGAAACCCAGTTGATCATCTCAGTGGATGCAGGAAAAACATTTGATAAAATCCAGCTCTGCTTCTGATAAAAACTGTGAGCCAATTAGGAGGAGTAGGAACTTCCTTAAGAGCATCCATGAAAAATCCTTACATCATATTTAATAATAAATAGCTAAATTCTGGGCCTCCCTGGTGGCGCAGCGGTTGAGCGCTGGGTTGCGAAAATGTCTGCAGCCTCTGCAGCGCTGGTTCGATCCCCGGCTGCTCCCCGGCCACCAGAGGAGGGTCCCGCATGGCGCGCAGACCTCTCCTGCCGCCCGCTGCTCCCCTCAGCAGTGTACCTCGGTCCTTCTGCCTGCTTTGCTCCCCACTCTGGTTCTGGTGAATTCTCTCACCCTCCGGCGCTTCTGACTGTACCCAGTGCTTGTATAAATAAATAAATAAATCTAAAAAAAATAATTAAAAAAAATAGCTAAATTCTTTCTTCTGGAGACCCAAAACAGTCAAGAGTATCTGCTATCACCACTTGCCTTCAATGTTACTCTGGCAGTGTTAGCCAATGAGTATGGCAAGAAAAATAAATGAAGGACCTTCATATCAAAGCGGAAGTAATTTTTCATTTGTAGATGAAATGATTGTTGATGTAGAAAATCCAATGGAATTCACAGTAATGGTACTAGAAAAAGTGAGTTTAGCAAGATGGCAGGGCACTAAGTCAAAATGCAATTTCTAGCAATAACCAATCAGAATTTGAAGTCTGAAAATCAATACTCTTTACAATATCATTGAAAGTATGAAATACTTAGGGATACATGTGACAATAGGTGTGCAAAACATGTACCTGGAAAACTACAAAACATTGTTGAGCGGCATTGAATATTGACCCAATATTGACTCAACTCCAACTGGTCTATGAATTCAACACAATCCCAATCAACATTCCATCACTTCTCCTGTAGAATATGACAGCTTGATTCTGAATTCATTTGGAAAAGACCAATAACCAAAAGACCCTGAATAACCAAAACAACTTGGACAATGAAGAGTCAAGTTGGCCAGGCTGACCTGGTGTCTAGTGTGTGCTCGCTCTTGTCTTAGCTCCTGGAGCTGCAGTGGCTGATGTCTCTGGGACAAGGCAGAGCCGGGGTCCCTGTGACTGGTCGGGCACCCTTGCCTGACCCAACTTACCCCATCTCATCCTGTTCTCCCTGCAGGGTGACTCTGGCCAGATGGGCTTCCCAGGAATAGCTGGTCTCTTCGGACCCAAGGTATGGATGTCCACACCACACTGCCCAGGTTGGGGTCCCATCTACCCACCGACTCCCTCATTTATTAACTCATCACATTTTTCTTGAGGACTTATGGGGTTGGGGGGGGAGTCTAGGACACAGCAGGAACCTCTTCGTCCCCTGATGCTCATATCCCAGCAGCCTAAGTGCTAAGCCCACCTCCAGAGTTTACCAGCTCTGTGCTTGAGTGTTTCTCTCAGCCTGTTTCCTCATCTATACAATGGGCATAAAACCTAGAGAGTTGTTATAGCAATTAACCAAGGCAGGCAGCCAGCACACTGACACCTGCTGATATTTAATGGGATCTTTGTTGCTCTTCCCAAGGCCTCGCAAGTATGGCCTCTCAACGTGGAGGGCAAAAGTTGGCCAGCCTCTACGGGTGGTAGAGCTATAAGGGGCCTTTACTCAGTGGCCTCTCAGGCATAGTCCTTCCTCTCCCTCCTGCAGGGCCCCCCTGGAGACCTCGGCTTCAAAGGCATCCAGGGCCCGCGGGGTCCTTCGGGCTTGACGGTGAGTCCCTCACTCTCTGTCCTGATGAGGCTGGTCTGCCACCAGCTGGGCCACCCTCAGCAGGGTGGATGCCTGTTTCCTCCTGCTCCTGCCCCTTCAGTGTCGAGCCCTCCTTTGCCCTGGTCTCCCTCCCCATCTCTACACCCTTGTGTATGCCATTCCTACCAGGGAGGCTACTGCTCCCTATCTCCACACGTGCTCTGTCACACGGGAAGGGTTCTGTGATGTGTGGCCGGCCCCTGCTTGAGGAAGCCTCTCTCCTGCTCCCCAGGACACTCATGCTGCCCTCTGTGCCTGTGACTCTTCCCCCAGACCCTGTGATGAGGACACATAAGCCTTTCTCTCTCCTTTAGGGAAAGGAAGGCATCAAAGGGCCCCTCGGAATCCTGGGACCTTCTGGACGCCCGGTACGTGCAGACACCTGGCCAGAAAGACTGCTACGTTCCCTTGCCTCCCTGGCTCCACATTGTGTCTGTGGCCTGGGGACAGTCTGAGCCTTGGTTTCTCCACCCAGGGAATGGGGCTTCCCCTCTGAGCTTTCTCTTACTGGGCCTGGTTTATTGCAGGGTCCAAAGGGCGACAAAGGCAGCCGCGGGGACTTGGTGAGTCTTGAGCTGGAGGCTGCGGGGGCGGAGGGTGGGACCGAGACCCAGCTCGAGTCCCCTAACTCTCTCCCCCCGCTTTGTCTTCTTCCAGGGATTGCAAGGTCCGAGGGTGAGTGGGCCGGGGCAGGAGGGCTGGTGGGTAGGTCGTGGGACCGGAATGGGCCAGGTTCCTCTCCGTGGGACTCCTGATGGCCTCGGGCATGTCCTTCCCTCCATCCGTCAGCATCCAGTCGTTTCCTGTCTGTGTCAGGAGCACCATTGTTCCAGATCTTGGGGCTGCTCCAGGAGGCCCAGGTGGAGGGGGATGGAAGAGCTTTGTCCAGGGCCTCACTGTTCTTCTCCTCTTCTTCCAGGGTCCTCCCGGCCCCAGGGGGCGGCCCGGTCCACCGGTAGGTAACTGCGTGCTCGATGCCACTTACACTTCAGGCAGGAGGCAGGGATTCTTAGAACGGGGTCCAAGGGTTTTGCCCACAGACACTGGTCTTGGCCCTGACCTCAGAGGACCTGTAAGCTTCTTATAGCCGGCAGACTTCTAGGAGAGTGTAGATGAGTCCTGGCAGGGCCAGGGCCGTGACTAATGTAGACCAGGCTGGCAGGACCAGCCTCCCAGAGAGCAGAACCATGTTGCCCAGATCACCCTTCCAGCGCCCAGTCCCCATCAAATACTGAACCAGCCTCTTCTTTTGCAGGGTCCTCCGGGAAGCTATATCCACTTTGTAAGTTGAACAGTGCCTCTTGTTTATTTGGGATAAGACTGGAGGGTGGTCTGGGAGGGACAGGTGATCCATCTCTGGCCCTGTGGCTAGAACCCTAAGATGAGCCCTGGGATGCCTTTGTTCCCCCTAGTGTACCCTGGGCCCAGAACATCAGAAAGAACCCCGGGAGGCAGGAGACTCAGGAATTAGCCAGGGAGTGCCCTTGATTGTGAATCGGGAAGACTCCAGCCACTATGCTCCTAGGTCCCGTTGGTACATTGCTCTGCAGACCAGCCCATTGCGCTGGGTCCCTCCATCAGAGTGGAGAACAAAGAGTTGGCCAACGGGCTGATTGCCCACTCCACAGTTCCTCCTTAGGGGATGGCCTGGCCCTGTCTGAAAGCACAGCCCCTCCCAAGCCCTCTGAGCCCTCCCTGTTTTACTGAAGTTCAGTCTATGAGTCTGACCCTGGTGCATCCAGTGCGGGCGGGCCCTCGGGCCATGAGCCTCTATCTCTCAACTACTTACTATATCGCCTGTGTCACCCAAAAAAACAAGGAATGCCCTGACCTCTCTCCACGCCCCTCCCCAGTCCTTCTTATTAATAGAGCCATGTAGGAGAAAGTGAAGAGAGCCAGGATACAACCCTTTCCCTCTAAAATAATGAAAAATCAGAGGATCTTGCAATTTTTGAATAGTAGCTATGTTTCCAGTGCCAGATGCCACTAGAAGCGCTCCCCATGTATTAACTCATTGATCCCTCTCAACAGTGCTGAATTTTATTATCACACCCATTTTTTTTTTAAAGATTTATTTATTTATACAAGCACTGGGTACAGTCAGAAGCACAGGAGGGTGAGAGGATTCACCAGAGCCAGAGTGGGGAGCAGAACAGGCAGACTGACGAAGTACACTGCTGAGGGGAGCAGCGGGTGGCAGGAGAGGTCTGCGCGCCATGTGGGACCTTCACCTGGCGACTGGGGATCGAACTGGCTCTGCAGAGGCTGCGGGCAGCTTCACAACCCAGCGCTCAACCGCTGCACCACCGGGGAGGCCCTCACACCCATTTTTTAAGATGCAACAACTGAGGCTCCGAGGTTGAGCCACTTGCCCCAGATTATGCAGCTAGTAAGTAGCAAGGCTGGGGTTGGGGTTTGAGCAGTACCTGCCCGCTGCGGACCCCAATCCGGGGATTTACCCACTGTCAGATTCTCCCCTCATAGTTTCCATAGCAAGACTGCAGCCCTGCTTCTGCAAGCTCAGGGCTGATGGGGGAAGGGGGGAGCAGAGGAGGCACAGAGCACGCTGGGCAGTTACAGTGAGAGTGAAAGGAGGAACAGGACTGCAGGATGTAGCGAGAAGAACCTCCCCAGCCTCAGACAGCAGCCTCAGCAGAGTCCCTTTGCAGCTTACATCTACAGGATGTGCGTGGGGCTGGCTTGCCCTGCGGCAGCCCGCTTGACCTTTGGGACCAGATGGTGCTTTGCTTCTAGCAATGGCCCTGTGCATTGCAGGGTATTAAGCAGCATCCTCGGCCCCCGTCCACTTGCTTCAGCCATGCACCACACATCCCGGTCATCCCAATAGGCCATGCCACATTGTGTGGTGTGTAGGAGGCCGCATCATCTAGATTTGTGTGATTACACTCTCTGATGTTTACACAATGATTAAGTTGCCTAATGATGCGTTTCTCAGAATATATCCCTGTCATTAAGCAGCATGTGGCTGTAAATGCCAGGAGCACCCCCTCCTCCAGTCGACAGCTGAGAACATCTCCAGATATTGCTAATTGTCCCCTATGGGGCAACATTACCCCTGGTTGAGAACCACTGGGATAGGAGATGCCAGATGGAGCAATGGAAGGGAGAGTGTTGTAGACAATGGGGGCAGCATGCTCAAAGGCCCTGTGGCTAGATAGAGCATGGTGCTTAGGGACTTAGAAGTGTTCGAATGTCTGGTGTTCAGAGCATATGTGGGAGAGAGAAGGGAGGCAGGGCTAGAGGCCTCAGTTCTCAGGCAGAGTACTGGAACCATGGTGAGGAGTGTAATCCTGAGTGCAGTAGAGAACTATGGAGGTGCCTGGAGGGAGTAGAAAGGTCAGCTCTAACTTTTCGCAAGGAAGGCAGGATGGAGTTCCACAGAGGACATGTGACTTGGCCACAATCCCACTGGGGATGGTGGTAAAGCTCATGTTCAGACTAGGGACACCTACTTGGTGTATCGGGGGAAAGGGAGGCAGCAGAATGTATACCCTGCCTTCTCCCTGCACAGCAACAAGATGACCTTGGGGCAGCTTTCCAGACATGGATGGACAGTAATGGAGCACTGAGAGCAGAGGTACCACCAGGAGCCTGGCCTACGGGGGCTCCTTCCTGGGGGAAACAGCCATACCCCATGTGTGGCCAGTGCTATCCACATGGCCCCCACCAAGTGCTTTGCAGCCCTGGTCTTGAGGGTGTCTCACAGCCAAGGATCGGAGAGGGGATCTTGTCAAGGTTCAGAGTGGCCTGTGATGAGTCCAAAGTCACACAGCCAATGTGAGCAGCGCAGGGACTGGTAACAGGCCGTGATACCTTTTGTTTTTCTGCAAAGGCCTCTCGGGGTCTCCAGGTTCTTGGCCTGAGGCAGCCAGAAGGCTCTCCTGGGCCCACAGCCCATAGCAGTTCCCTGCATTCAGTCCCTCCACCTGCCAGGAACAGTCAGCTCCCAAGGCACCTCTGAGACTCTGGCCTGCAGTCAGCTCAACTCCCAATTCCAGGCCACGGAGGCTCTGAGCTGTCCTGCAGTTGAGCCTCAGTCAGGAACCCCTCTTCGCTACCTTGCCTCCTTCCCCTGTTGGGGTACTCACTGTCCCCCAACCCAGACCTCCTACAGACATTTCCCTGTGTTTCTTGTGCCTGATGCTGGGGAAAGCAGGTACTGAACAGCTCCCTCAGAACTCACAATCCAGGGCCCCAGCGGCATGGACAGGCTTGTTACCTCCTTCCATCACAGGATGGGGGCCTCCGAGAGACTATGGGGTAGAAAGGGCTGTGCTTCCTTCCACTTCTGGAGCTCAGTGATGCCTCACCAGGAGAGCGCAGGCCTGCAACAGTCCTCTACGTTGCTCTTCAAGGGTGGAGGCCCTCTGCACCGCCCAGCTCCTCGCACACGTGCTAGAGAGGTGGCAGCAGAAAACCATAGATGTTTATTTCTCACACACATAAAGCAAATTGGCTTGTTGCCAAGGGACCTGGATCTGCCCTCTCCCTCTTCTAGCTATGGCGCCAAGGTCAGCACCACATGGGAGAAGGTCTAATGGGCCAACTCTTTATGCAGTGTGCATTGCTCTGCATCACCATGACCTACTCCTCCCCTATGCACACACACACACACACAACACACACTCACATACACATGTGCATTCGCATGCGTGTACACACACCGAAGGAGCCTGGGAAATAAAATGTGTCCAGGCTGAAAAAAATGTATCGCGTGAGCAGCTGCCTGTCACACAGGCACACGCACGCATCACACACGCGCGCACACACACACGAAGAGAGCTTATTTAGCACTCCTTTGTGGCTCTGGAAACAGGTTCAATGGCACAGAGCAGGAGTCCCACCTGGTCAGGGCTCCCCACGGCCCCTCCTGCCCACAGCGAAATCTGCCCCTTCTCCAGCTGAAGTCCTCATCCCTGGGACTTGACCCTGCTGGTGCCAGTCCTGTCTCCTGACTCCTCCTCACAGACACCCCACTCCCACCTCACAGGAAGTGGGCCTGGACAGGTACCCCACCTGTTCCCCTCCGCACCCATTCCCCTCCCCCGGCCTTTTCTGGAGTGAGTAGGGGCCGCTCCTCAGTGCCCTGCACACTTTCATGTGTCCGGCTCAGAGGACCTGCCTGACCCTTCTCTCAGGCTGACCCTTCTCTCAGCCTCTAGGCCACTGTGGCAGCCCCCAACTTTGTCCCTGGTACCCAGTTTCCTCATCTTTTTTTTTTTTTTTTTTTTTTATAGTTTTTTTTTTTTTTTTTTAATAGAGGCATGTTTTTATTTATTTATTATATTTGTTTGTTTGTTTTGTTTATACATGCACTGGGTACAGTCAGAAGCGCGGGAGGGTGAGAGAATTCACCAGAGCCAGAGCGGGGAGCAGAGCAGGCAGAAGGACCGAAGTACACTGCTGAGGGGAGCAGCGGGCGGCAGGAGAGGTCTGCGCACCATGTGGGACCCTCCTCCGGTGGCCGGGGAGCAGCCGGGGGTCGAACCGGCGCCACGGAGGCTGTGGGCAGCTTCGCAACCCAGCGCTCAACCGCTGCGCCACCGGGGAGGCCCGCAGTTTCCTCATCCTTTGAGTGGAGGGAAACCTAACTCCTGCCCCAGCTGTGGTCCTGGGAATCCAGAGATGCCTTCCAAGCAGCGGGAGCTTGGTGCTGTGGAGGCTTGGACCTCAGGCCAGGATCTCGAAGGGCCAATGGCCACCCTCTCTCCTCTCGACAGGCTTACGGCCATCCGGACCGGCTAGTGCTGGACCAGGGAGGGGAGATCTTTAAAACCTTACACTACCTCAGCAACCTCATCCAGAGCATTAAGACGCCCCTGGGCACCAAAGAGAATCCCGCCCGGGTTTGCCGGGACCTCATGGACTGTGAGCAGAAGATGGTGGATGGTAGGACGGTCATTGGGGTCTGAAGAGAGGGCTTCCTGCCCCAGGGGTGGGACAGGGTAGGGGACAGCAGAGTTCCAGGGGAATAGGGTAGATGGAGCATTTGGTTCTTGATTCATCTGGGCCAAATTTCTGTCCTCAGGGAGATAGACGTCTAGGTGGTCATTTATTCACTCAACAAACAGTCACTGAGTCCTGCAGCATGCCACAGCTTGTGCTTCCTGGGGTGTGGAAATAGAGTAGGAAATGCAGAAGTGGTCCTACCCTTCTAGAGCTCACGGATACACAAGCTGGGGACTTGTGTATGCAACTTGTCCATGCAACAAGACAAGATCTTTGGCAGTAAAAATCCCTGAAGGTCAGGAGTATCCCAACCCTGAGATCCGAGTCACAGCTTCCCTAGAGAGCAAGGATTTTCCCTTTCTGTCTGCACCTCTCCTCTCTGTGAGCTGATGTGGTGCCATGGAAGGACCACATGATTTGGAGGCAGAGAGACCTGGGTTTGAATGTCAGCCCCTGTGAGCTGGGACCACACAGGCACCGCCCCAAGCCCCTCTTCCTCTGCTGCACAAGAAGAGGGACACGAGATTTCTTGCAAAGTCTTTCAGCTGCAGGGGCTCTAGCTCCCTTGGAAGGTCAGTGGGGAAGTGCCTGGCTGATGGGTTGGCAACCCTGCCCCTGGCTCTCCCAGCAGTCCTAGCAGGACCCCTAGTCTTGCTGGAGAAACCATGTAGTCTGATGACCTCTCAGCCATTTGGGCAAGTGACTCAGTTTCTCTCAACCCCAGCTGTCCCCTCTGTAAAATGGACAGTTCCATAGTGATAAAAGCAAGTGCTGAGCTGTGTGTCCCCTCCAGGGGCTCTGCCAGCTGATGCTCTCCCTAGGGGGCTGTCTTCCATTCCAGAGCCTCATGAAATCCCTTTTCTGCTTCCCCTTCCCTGACTTCACACCCAGCTGCACTGCAGCAGGTGATAGGATCTACCTGCAGAACCAAACCCTGGGCCCCTCCCCACATACATACACCGCCCTCCATCCCATGCTGCCTACAGGTACCTACTGGGTGGATCCAAACCTCGGCTGCTCGTCCGACACCATCGAAGTCTCCTGCAACTTCACACATGGTGGACAGACGTGTCTCAAGCCCATCACGTCCTCGAAGGTGCCCATCTGCTCCTGCCCCCGTACCGCCTAGCCTGGCCCTCTCGCCCTGGACAACAACCTGCCTAGGTTTTGGTCTGGGCCTTGACTGTCTTGCTTCAAGGCCTTGGGAAAGTTCATCCTTTCTTTCTGAGCCTGAGTTTTCTCATCTGTAAATTGGGGATGAATTGTTCAAAATCCATGGCTTTCCAAAACCTTTGAATTGTATGATCTGATGGTTCTTCAAATAGATCCTTCTGCCTAATGACTAAAAGCCACTGCTTGGCTAAGCTGGTGTGGCTTGGAGAACCACTATGTGATTGCATTGTGTGCCAGAGTTGTGTATGCAGCTGTTTAACTTGTGTTCTTTGACCACTTCCACGTGTCCAGCTCTGGGCTGAGAATTTTCTGTGTCTCAGAGCAACTCAACAGCGATCCAAAGCCAGCAGTAGCAGTGGGGTGTAACCTTCCCCTCAGTGTCCCCCTCTATAGATCAGGGATGTCTAGTTACAGTAAGTCACCCACATGTGAGGACGACTCATGCTGCAGTGAGAAGAGCCACTCTGGCTACAGGGAAAGTGAGGGTGTAGCACCCCCTTTAGTACCCATTAGTACCCATGGGGAGGCTCTAGGAATTGCTGTGCCGACCATAGTTTGGCCATCTCTAGGCCAGCCAGCCCATCAGTGAGTCCTCTTGGGGCTGACCCAGGTGCTGAGAGTCAAGGGCCAGCTGCCCACTGCCCCATAGCGAGAGCTCTGGGTCCAGCTGGCCCATTTTCCTCTGTCTCTGAGGTCTGGAGGCCCCGTGTCAAAGTTGCCCAGCAAAGGGGTAAGGCGAGTTTGCACCTGGATTGGTGGTGGGATTGCCCATCTTGGTCCCATCTCTATCAAGTACAATGAACCACTGAAGCCATAACAAGTCTGCTGTTTTCAGAAGTACCCCACCCCATGTTGGGATCTTGGAATTTAGAAAGAATGGAGACGAAGGCACTTCTTATTTCCCCTGTACCCCAAAAGTCTCTGAAACTTGGGCAAGATCCTCTTCTCTGGGCCTTGGGATCCCAGCTCAGCACCAAAGACCCCTCCCCCCATACAAAGAGGGGTGAGTGGTAGATTAGATTATGTCAGGACATTGGAAGCAGACTGGCTGCCTTCCCCTCCTGCCCATCGCTCCTGGCTGTGGGATTGGCCCTCTCATTAAGGGACTTCCCTATCCCTTAAGTGGGTATAGGTCTGAGGCAGAAACAGCTTATAGCTACAGCCTCCAGGAGGAAAAGAGGCATTCTGAGGGCTGTGAGCTGCCATGTCTGATCCCTTTCACCACCGTGCCTCTTCTGCAGGTCGAGTTTGCTGTCAGCAGGGTCCAGATGAACTTCCTGCACCTGCTAAGTTCCCAGGTGACTCAGCACATCACCATCCACTGCCTTAACATGACCGTGTGGCAGGAGGGCACTGGGCAGACCCCAGCCAAGAAGGCCGTGCGCTTCCGGGCCTGGAACGGACAGATCTTTGAAGCTGGGGGTCAGTTCCGGCCCGAGGTACCCGTGGACGGCTGCAAGGTATCTCTCACAGTCCCCGATTCAGGGACAAGTGGAAAACTTGTTTTTATTGTAAAACGGGGTGTGATCATTTTATACTATATTAATGTGGTATGTATAGTCTTTATAAATAATTTAAAATAATTCTATTATGAAGTTACTTCTATTCACTTTCCTCCTGGGGGCCTTCTAAGGGAAGACCTGGGCTGGTGGCAATTCTGTAGGCAGTAGATGCTCTAACTTATTGGCAAGACTACTTGTAGAAGGACTGGATGTCTGCTCTTCTGTCTACCCCTTCCTGGTCAGGTGCTAGTTCCTTCTTTTAGCATTTTTGGTTATTTCAGATACCCAAAGCAAGGGTGGATTGTTGGGGGAGGAGACAGAAAATTGTCAAAAGCAAAAAACACTAAATTTTAACAAAACTGATATATTCTTGGTAAGGATGTAGGGAAACCAACTTTCTCACACAAAGCTATTTGAAAAAAACTAAATCGGTAGAGGGTTTCTGAACAGCGGCTATATATATGTAGATAGGTAGATAGATAGAAAGATAGATAGATAGGTAGGTAGGTAGGTAGTTAGGTAGGTAGATAGATAGATAGATAGATAGATAGATAGATAGATAGATACCCAGTGTGTAGTCAAAGCCTTAGTTCATGTATCTCTCTTCTGAGTCAGCAATTCTACTTCTAGAATTTGTTCTAGGGAAATAAGAACATTCACAGAGGTTTAGCTACAGTCCTGTCCATCATAGCATTACTTAAAGAGTAAAAAATTGAATACCATCTAAATGGACAAATATAGGCCATGATTACAGAGAAATAACACGTGGTCATTAAAAAGTGTGAGCCCAGGGCCTCCCTGGTGGTGTAGGGGCTGAAGACAGCACTATCAAGCTATTGCCAGCCACTGCAGCATGAGTTCGATCCCCGGACATGGAGCTGACCTACATGGCACAACAGACCTCTCCTGTCTCCCTGCTACTCCCCTCAGCAGTGTATTTCAGTCAATCCACCTGTTCTGCTCCCCACTCTCTCTAGTGAATCCTCTCACCCCTTCACACCTCTGGCTTGCACCCTAGTTCTTGTATGCATAAATAAAGAAATCTTTTAAAAAAAAAAGTGTGAGCCCAGATGGAGGGACCACACACGTGCTTTGTGGCAGGGACCCCAGTGGGTACACATGACATGTACCCCTTTCCTGCTACCCTCAGGTCCAGGATGGCCGCTGGCATCAGACGCTCTTCACCTTCCGGACCCAAGACCCCCAGCAGCTGCCCATTGTCAGCGTGGACAACCTCCCTCCTGCCTCATTAGGGAAGCAGTACCGCCTCGAAGTTGGACCTGCATGCTTCCTCTGACCTCTGACCTCCTGGTTCCGCTAGGCCTCATGGGGGAGGGGAGAGTTGGAGGAGGCACAGGAAGGGACTTAGTGGCATGTGGGCCCCGGAGGGGCCTTGGGCAGGCCCCTGCTGTTGTCTGCCTGGTAGAAGTGGCTGGGGGGTAGCAGGGAAAGGGGTGTCCTTGGGAACAACTGATTCCAGCTCAGCCCCAAAGACCAACAAAAGAGCCAGCTAGAGCAAGCTGGACCTGCAACCCACAGGAGCCCTGCAGCCTATCTTCCAGCTCTGCGCCCACCCCCTTCCCACCCCAGCTTTCCGCCCAAAGAGCCTCACCTTCAAGCCGGCTGGAGGGAAGAGGGCATCTTGTCCCTGGTCCCTGCCAGGGAGCTTTGATGTGCAATATTAGAGAGGAGACATGAAAAAAGGGAGAAAAGGAAAGAAAGAAGGATATATATTTTATTTAAACAAACACAAAGAAGGTGGGTTACTATTTTTTCACCTGGGTAAGAGGTGAGAGGGGTGAGTACGAGCAGCCAGGGGGTGGGAAGCGATGGATGCCAGGGGGAGCGGCAAGATCCTCGGGGCTGGGGTGACCACGTTTGCTACCTCCCACTGTGAAATCTCTGGTGCTCACAATTTTCTCATAGTGTATGTGATTTTTTTAAGGAAAAAAAAAAAACCCTATTTAAAATTCTGAAGGTGCTACCATTTTTGCCACAGGCTTTGAAGATACATTTTGATTTTGGGGTCTCATCCACACTTTTCTCTCTCCTCCAAATGGCCAAGTTTGGGGACAATTTAAAAAATTTTCCTAGGATCTCTCTTGTATTCATCAGATAATCCCTTAAGGAGGGGATGGAGAGGAAAATGAGGAAAGAAGCAAGGCAAAAAAAAAAATGTCTAGCAGAAACAGAAGTAAGCGATTTGCCTTTTACCTTAGGGGGTTTGAATTATTTGTCCTCTTTCCTCTTAAGGTAAAGAGGGCAGGGGAGGGGGCTCTGAGCATGAAGGATTTTGACTTGACCTTTCACATCCTAGAGGGGATGTAGGCTTGTCCTGTAGGGTGTGATCTAGATCATAAGGGTCCGGGAGAAGCCTTGACCTTGAAGAAAACCTAAGAGCTGTGTTGGGTCGGACTGACCTTGGAGGTGGAATATAAATATGGAACCATCTCTTGAAGCTTGTCCTCCAAGCTTGTCTTCCCTAATGCAATTGTCATTCTTTTTCTCTGTTGCTGGATTCTATAGAAACCAAACACCCTTAGCTCCAAGTATAAATGTAGGCTGAGGAGAAAGAGATATTGGGGGGCCCTCAGAGTTCAGCATGATTAGGGATGTTCAGCTTAACCTGAATTCTACTCTATCAGTGAACCAGTTGGCACCCAGGTTGTATTTTGAGGTTATTTTAACTATGGAAATTGTAGAAGGGGAAATTTTATGTGAAAGTCTGTTTGTGTCTTTTTTTCTAAAGTTGTGTCTCTTTGGGAATTGGCTTGATTTTCATTATTTAATACCTCACTCTGGCCCACCTTTCCTGCCTCCCTCCCTTCCTCCCTGGACTCTCCCCTACCCTGGCTCCCCTGCCCCAGTCCAACGGCCCCACAGAAGTGCATTTTTGTAGCCCCTCTGGCCTCATCTCTGTGCTGGGTTTTCCCAGGCTGCCAGTCTCCACCTGGCCTTCATCTTGTTCTTGGATTTTTCTGCTGTTCTTGTCCATGTGTCTGTCCACATGTCGATGTGCTAAAACCCCAGCAGGTTCCGTTTCTCCTTGTCCCTTCTGGATTTTAAATAAATATTTAAAACTGAGGCAATGGAATGATGTCTCTGTGACCTTGTGCTTCTTTGAAAAACCTGGAGGGATGGTCCCTCAGGGGGAAAGTTGGTCTGATTTTCAAGCAGTGCCTTCCCGTGTTAAGCTGTGGTGGGCCCTGGAGTTGTGGAATTGGATCTGTTAGTGTGGCTAGGAGGCCCTGAATCTGGTGGAGGCAACTGAAGTGGGGGAGCCTGGTGTGGTTAAGGGGTGGAGATCAGGCAGCAGGAGACCCAGCAGGGGTGGGGCATGAGGGGACACAGTCATACAATCTCAGTGTGGAGAATGGAGGCAGCCAGAGATACTGCATTCATCAGGGTGTCCAGAGAGACAGACACACCAATAGTGTGTGTGTGTGTGTGTGTGTGTGTGCGCGCGCGCGCGCGCGCGCGCGCATGCACGCTTTTGCGCACAAGCACAGCAGATACTCACAAGACATCTTTGATAATTTCACTTAAAGTCAGTTTCCAAGAACCTATTGACAACATCAAGTCTCTACTTAAATGAAGAGAAATTTATATACGGCACTTGATCCTGTGATTATATTGGTGGGCATGTCCCAAGGTCTGTAGGGTAAGCTGGCCAGCTGGAGACCCAGGATTGCTGATGGTGTGGTTCTTGTCCAAAGGCTGGCGGGTTCGAGAACCAGATGGGCTGATGCTTCGGTTCATGTCCAAAGGTAAAAAAAGACCGATGTCCCATCTCAAGCAGGCAGACAGGAGGAGTTCTTCCCTAGCCTTATCATTCTACACAGGCCTTCAATAGATTAGATGAGGCCCGCCCACACTGGGGTGGGCAACCTGTTTTACTACTCAGTCTAACCAGTCAACAGTTCATCTCATCCTAAAACGGCATCACACACCCCAGAATACCTCACCAGATAGCTCTGGTCCTGTTAGTTAACGCATGAGTTAACCAGTGCAAGTTGAGGCTAACAGAAAAGGACAAGAGGATAGCCAGATGGGGAGTGGGCATTGGGGGGAGGGAATAGCTCCTAAGCAGTTGGGCCTATTTGGGGAGCAGTAAGTAGTTCAAAGCAGAGCTGCAGTTTCCAGTGTGGGGAAACCCAATGTCCTGGGCGGGGATAAGAATAAGCCATGGGTTTGTGCAAGACAGCAGGGTTTGGGTTGACCAAGTGTGTTGGAGCTGTGATGGGCGCTGGTGGAGCTTTTCAGGGATGAGGGCTGAGCCAGGAGGACAGGAAGGAGGTCTACACCACAGCCCGCATGCCCAGGCCGTCAGCAGCATCTGTAGGACTTTGATGGTCAGGGAGGGCATGAGACAGTCAGGAAGAAGTGCTGGGGGTGGGGGAATGGGGAGAAGTAAAGGACTATGTTAAAGCTGTGACACCGTGATTCTCGGCTGGGTGACCTGGGGGCGCCTCTATGGCCTGGTCAGTGAGGCTGGGGAAGCAGGGCCAGTTCATTCCCAGCCAGGGTAGGCATAAGGTCATGGAGACAGAGGGCTGTGCTCCCCAAGCAGCAATTCCTAATCTCTTGTTACATAAGCAAGTGTCAGGAAACCGCCAGGGTGAGCTTTGCTGGCCCCTCCAACTCCAGGGAAAAGCCTAGGTCAGCCTGTGTTTTGTCCACAATGAATCAGACAGGGGGTAGCTATAGCCCACAGTGACCAGCAGCTCGGTGGGTTCCAGGCCCCGTTCCTGACCAGAGCGTGCTCCTGGGTGGGTCCTTCTCTCTCTGGGCCTCAATTTCTCTCTCTGCAAAGTGGGGGTGATATGGCCTTCCCTGCTTACCAACCACACACAGCATGATTGCTCCAACATAATAGGGTAAACCTTCTGAAATATTGTATCCACCTACTTTTTGACCAAGAAAATCCAGTTCTGTATAGTTCAATCCCCAAATAGCACCACTGAAAACAGCAGTGGCTACAACCTCCTGTGCTAAGGCTGTGAACCAGGAGCCACATGGAGTGCGTTGGGTTTTCATCTTGGGCACAATGCAGTGAGACATGCACGGTCACCCTGGCTCTCCCAACAGGGCAACTCAAGTCCAATGTGGTTACAAGCATCACCCAAGATCACAAAGTAGGACTAGAACTTGAGCAAATCTTTGGGTTTATTTCCTCAGCTAAGACACAATTTCTCATTAGGACCAATGTATTATCCATGGTTGTTCATGAATATCACCAGTTGGTTATCAGACAGAGGGCTCTACCCTGGAGGTGATGAAGAGACGTGCAAAAGTGGCTTTTTCAGAATATACTTGGTGGTGAATGGGTGTGTTTCCCTGATGATCTAAACCTCACCTGCTGTGTGACTTTTCCTAAGATCACCTTACATCTTTAAACCATTTGTTTCCTCGTCTGTCTACTGGGGAAACATCCTACTTTCTGGATTCTCCCATACACATAATTTTGCATTTTGAGGTCTTTAGAAGTGGATCACAACCTGCAATCAAAGAGGAGTTTATATAACTCAAGTTTTTTCTTTTCCTCTCCATCCTTGCATGTTGCTAAACTGGTGGTGACTGTAATTATAATAGGTGGACCCTTAGAAGCAAGTCTGTTTCATTTAATAAGCATTTTACAGATGTGAACTGATTTATTCCTCATATCAACCCAATGAAGTAGAAGCTCTTATTCTCCCTGTTTTGCAGGTAGGGAAATTGAGGGGCAGAGTTGCTAAACAACTTGCCCAAAGTCACACAGCCAGCAAGTTGTAGAGCCAGGACAATGCTTCAGCCACCATCTGACATCCTTCTGATCAATATTCTATCTGTCCTGCAAAAATTCTCTTGATATTGTTTTCCGGGTCACATGGAGATTTGGGCTGGGGGTGGGTGTGGCTGCCCAGAACCTCAATCCACAGAAGTAGGAAAACTATGAAATGTAAGAAAATTGGAGAAAATTCTGTCAGGGTAGTGCTGAACATGCTTGGAGGCACAACTTGTATAACATCTTTGCAGGGAGAGGAAGACCCCAGAGGCAGCCAGAAGGACAGTGAGAATGAGGACTTTGGAGGAACAGTGAGGACAACCTCAGCCAGTGGATGGCGCTCATAGCCACTTTGATGATACAAAGGGTGGCTTTCTAGACTCCACACCCCTCAAGTCAACTCTATAGCAGAAGGAGGAGCTTTTAAAACTCCACCCCCTTGGGCCTCCCCGGTGGCGCAGTGTTTGAGCACTGGGCTGTGAAGCTGCCCGCAGCCTCTGCAGTGCCAGTTTGATCCCCGGCCACCGGCGAGGGTCCCACACGGCGCGCAGACCTCTCCTGCTGCCCACTGCTCCCCTCAGCAGTGTACTTCGGTCCTTCTGCCTGCTCTGCTCCCCGCTCTGGCTCTGGTGAATTCTCTCACCCTCCGGCGCTTCTCACTGTACCCAGTGCTTGTATAAATAAGTGAATAAATCTTAAAAAAAAAAATAATAAAATAAAATAAAATTCCACCCCAAGGGCAGGCTGATGGGGAAAAGGGCAGACCTAAGGCTTTTGACTATTAAACTGCTGGGGCTTTGGGCAGTTGAACCAGTGGGAAGAGGGGTGTCTGAGAGAAGCTGCCGGCTTGCCACTTATGGTGTTGGCTTAGTCCTTGGACTCTGCTCAGAGGATGCTAACTGGGGTCTGACTCTCAGCATCTGGCCACATGCCAGCCTGTGAATTCTCTCCCTCCCTCCCTCCTTTTTCTCACTGTGTAAATAAATCCTGTTGTTGTTTCACACTGTGTCTACTTTGGGCTTGTATCTGCAGTTATACACTGGCATTCAGCTGTGGGGTGAGGAAGCACCAACCAGGTCACGCCCCTGCCCCGCTGTGGTCAGTGTCAGGAGGACTGCCTCTGCGAAGAGGCTCTGCGCTTACCACTGCAAGCGCAGCCTTCCTTTCTCCCAATACTCTGGCCACCGAAGTGGGGTTTTTCTCCTGCACCAAATGATCCTGTGACTTCAGAGGACACCTCATGTCCTGCAATTCACTCTGTTCTGACAGTAACCGGAGACAACACCAGATCGCACAAAGGGAAGACTCAGTCCCACAGGATCACCCCACTTTGGAGACCAGTATGAAGTCCAGCTTGTCACTTGTGCTTCTGACTGACCGGCTATAAATCAGAGGTGCCCAATCCTTCAGGCTTTATCATTTGTTAGGACAACTGAAAGAACTCAGGAAAGCCGTTTTCATATTAGATCAACAGTTTATTATAAAACAGTACAGGCCAGGAACAGTCAAATGGCAGAGTAAAACAATGTCAAATAGGGTGGGGTAAAAGAGCAAGGTATGTGGGAAGGGCTGTGGAGGCTCCAGGGCCTGTCCAGGTGTGTCCCTCCCCACTCACCTCTACATGGTCCCCAATCTGGACCCAGGAACTTAGGATTTTTATGGAGGTGTCATTACGTAGCCTGGTTGGTTAAACCATTGGCTGTCGATGATTGAATCAACCTCCCATCCCTCTCCCCTCCCCAGGGGTCTGGAGGTGAGACTGAAAGTTGCAACCCTGTAATCACAGGGTGGGTTCCCCTGGTAACCAGTTCCCAACCTGAGGCTGCCCCAAAGCACTGGCCTCCTCCATGGCCAGCAATCACCTCATTACTGATACGTGATTTCAGGTTTCCAGGCCTAGTCTCCCAACCAGGAAGGAATCCAGGCTGCAATGGCATCACTGAGTCCCAGGCACTCGACCACTGCCGGTTGGTGTCTCACAAAGCTGCAGCAGGAACTTGGAAGACACTCAGGCAAGAAAGTCAAAAGAGGATGATTTGGGCCTCCCCGGTGGCGCAGTGGTTGAGCGCTGGGTTGTGAAGCTGCCTGCAGCCTCTGCAGCACCTGTTCGATCCCTGGTTGCTCTCTGGCCACTGGAGGAGTGTCCCACATGGCACGCAGATCACCCCTGCCACCCGCTGCTCCCCTCAGCAGTGTCCTTGTTTAGAGGGGAAAAAAAAGTTTATTTTTTAAAAAAGATTTATTTATTTATGCATACAAGAGCTGGGGGACAGGCCAGAGGTGTGGGGGATGAGAGGATTCACCAGAGACAGAGTGGGGAACAGAACAGGCAGACTGATCAAAGTAGACTACTGAGGGGAGCAGTGGGAGAGTCAGGAGAGGTCTGCTGTACCATGTGGGTAGCTCCCTGGCCGGCCTGGGATCGAACTTGTGTTGCAGTGGCTGCGGACAGTTTCATAGGTTGTGTCTTAATGCCTTGCGCCACCAGGGAGGCCCCAAGACCCTACGTTTATTAAGTAGAAAGGGAACAGAACTAAAGTGGACTCCTAGGTCGGTGGAACCAGGCCAGGGAGGGGCAAGGGAGCCCAGTGGAGTCGTGTCTCAGGAATGTAGACCTTCTTTCCCTAATTATTCTAAAGCTTCACCAGTCTCTTCGTGATTGGTTAGTTCTCAGTGG